CATCTATATATGCTTGGCAATCTCTTCCACATGTGTTAGCCAGTGATGAGCTGCTCCTTGTGTTGCTCCTGCATTGTCACTTCCTGCATGTTAGTGTGACAATGCTTATGCATCCCACATGTGTCACCACCTATAGGTGTCTTTATCTCATCAATGACTTGCTTATCTTCCATGGGCTCTGTAATGCTCCGCAGACCCTGTGAATCTCGTTGGAGTGCCGATGCATCTCCCTCAACTGTCTCCCTCAGCAGCGAGGCAGTTGGCTGCTGAGCTGCTGTACCTTGCTGTGGTGTTAGTCCTAACCCTCATCATGTGTGTCACAATGCCTCCTTGCCCACTGGTTTGGTAAAGATATCCACTAAGTTATCTTCAGTGCCAATGTACTTGATTTTGACCTTTCCATCTTGTACGTTGTCTCTTATGAAATGGTATTTGGTGTTGATATGCTTCAACTTCCAATGTTGTGCAGGGTCTTTGCTTACTTGGATGGTGCCTGTGTTGTCTGAGAAAATTATGGGGGTACCAATGTCAACCCCAATGGCCTTGAAGAGGTGTCCAAAGAAGAGAATTTCTCGTGCAGCCTTGGTCACTGCTACGAATTCTGCTTCTACTGCCGATAAGGCGGTGCAGTGCTGTAGTGCAGACTTCCATGCTACCAGATTTCCGTGTATGAAAACTGCTGACCCTGACAAGCTCTTACATTGTGCCATGGCGTCGCTTGCCCAGTTTGCATCACTATGCACCACCAGAAAATCTTGTTGCTTGTTGCTACCATATTGCAAGTGGATGTCCTGGGTGCAGTCCAAGTATTGGAGCACTCTCTGTGCTGTGTTGTAATGTTCCTTCGATGGTTGTGTCATGTAGCATGCGAGGACACCCATGGCTTGGCTGATGTCTGGATGTGTTCTGTTTGAAAGCCATAGGAGTTTGCCAATGATTTGTGGGTATTCCTTCTGCTCAGCTATGCTTGCTGTCATCTCTGGTATTGGGATGTCCTGGAGTGGTATGCTGGATTTCCTTCTATGTTTATCTAAATGCTCATTTAATAGCTGCTTGACATAGCTGGTTTGCATGAGGTCCATAGTCTTTGCCTTGCGGTCTCTGGAGATCTTGATCCTGAGAAAATGGGATACATTGCCACCCTCCTCCATTTTCCACTTCTTGCCTATCTCCCTCTTAATTTGCTTGACCATTGACAGTTTTGGAGATATAATTAATGTATCGTCAACATAGATAATCACTATTGCAAAGTTGTCCTCCTTTCCTCTGGTGTAGATACATGGTGCGCAATCGAGCCTATGGAAGTTTGAGCACCACAGGAACTTATTGAACTCCATGTTCCACTCCCATCCTGATTGCTTGAGTCCGTATAGCCCTTTTACTACCCAATAAGCTTTTCCTTTTGGTACCTTTGCTCCTTCCAGTGGTTTCATATAGATGACATGCTTGAGTGTGGAGTTGAGGTAGGCCATTGTGATGTCGAGTTGATGGACCTCCCAGTCCCGCTCCACTGCCAGTGACAACAGGGCTCTTATCACACTGAGTGGTGCCACCGGTGCAAAAGTTTCTTTGAAGTCTATACCCTCTCATTGTGTGAATCCTCATGCTACAAGTCTTGCTTTATGTTGGACAGGTACCCCATCGGCATCCAGCTTGAGATGGAGGACGATCTTAGAGTTGACAAGTTTGGTGTTTGGTGGTATGTCCACAATTTCCCAAGTCCCCATGGCTTCGAGCCCATCTAACTCCTTGCATATGGCTTCTTGCCATTGCTGTGCCTCATCACTGTCAAGTGCTTCCCTCAAAGTTGGTGTAAGGTTCATGGTGGTTGTATTGGCCTCCCTGAGAATGTCTTGTATGTTGATCTCCTCTGGCTCTAGTATGGGTTCATGGTTGATGGTCTCTGATCTGGTACTCTCTGCCTCTAGACTTTCAAATCCGATTTGCAGTGGGCTCCTTTCTTTGGGTCGATCATGCCAGCCTTTATCTTCATGAAATGTAGCTGAGTTACTCCATCGGATAGATGGTGTGTGTTCTGGAGTGTGGAATTTCCATCCCTTGTGCTCGTCGTCATAACTGATCATGATTCCTGGTATGGCTCTCGCACTGTGCTTGCCTGCATGATCTTTCCTTGGGAGGTGAACCCACACGAGACAGCCAAAGACATGCAATTGTTTTGCCAAGCCATGAGCCATTGTATGATGAAAGTCTTCATATGGAATTCTGTTAGCATTTGCTGATGGTGTCAAATTAAGTACATGTCCAGCAGCCATGATGGCATAGGGCCATAAACCCTTTGGCACCAATCTTTGGATGAGCATTACTTGCATCTTTTCTTGTAGCGATCTGATGGTGCACTCTGCTCTTCCATTTTGCATGCTGACATATGGGGTGGTTTTCTGCCATTTAAACCCCGCCTCCTTCTTCCATTCCTCTGCTGCCAAGCTTGACCATTCTGTTCCATTGTCGCTGCAGATGCACTTTAGCATGCAGTCCATCATTACCTCTGCCCTTTTGATCCATGCTTTTAAGGTGGGGAATGCTTCTGCTTTGCTGAGGAGCAGTCTCACAAATACATATGATGAGGTGTCGTCTACAACTACTAGTGCATGATGATAGTTGGGGTGGCCTTGTAGATCTGTCATTAGGTCAATGTGTATTAATTCTAATGGTGCTTGCACTCGTTCTGTCTTGCTGCTTGCCATTCTTGTGTGTGTTTGCTTTGCCTGACTGCAACTATTGCAGTCTTTTGAGTTGTGCTCAAGCTGTGTTTCTCTTCCTAGGTAGTGAGCTTGGATTTGCTGGGTTTTATTTCTACCAGGATGGCCAAATCATTTGTGCCATAGTTTGCTTGTTGTGTGGCTTGCAGGCCTTGCTGGTGTCATGTTATCATCAATGCCCTCAAGGGGGTCATTGAGCTGTGCTGCTAGGGAGTTGGCATGAACTTCCCATCTTTTCTGGCATTGGTTGGTCTTACTCTTAACCATGCTTCCATCATGTTGGAGTATTGTAGCTCCAGATTCTTCAAATATCACTCGTGCACCATCTTCAGTTAATGCTGGAACAGACAATAGATTCTTGCTAAGGTCGGGAACATAAAGTACATCTGTGAGGGGTATTTTAACATCTCCAACTTGCAAGGTTGCATCTCCTATTGCCTGCACTCGCAACCATTCATGCCCTGCAGTGTCTATGGATCCTTGCTTCGGCATTGGAGCAATGAGCTTATCCTCATCACATACCATGTGATGTGTAGCTCCAGAGTCAAGAATCCACATACTGTTTTGGTTACAGTTGCCAGTGTTGCTTATGAAAAGGGTGCACCTGAATCCCTATCCCTGCTGAGTAGGAGTTCACTCCTGACTGCTGGTGCAATTGATTGCGATGTGCCCAGGTTGCCTACACTTATAGCACTTGGCCAGTTCATTAGGGTTTGCGGGGTCACACCTACCCCTATTGTAGCCCTCTTGGTTGAGAACCTGTCTATGCTTGCCAGCTTGGCCTGTTGAACTTCTATTGCTCGTAACTCTGGCTGCAGCTCGGATACAACCTGAGAGCTTGGCTTCTTGGTGCTTCTTGGCTAGTGCATGGTATGCATATTCATAGTTGCAACCGGGTTGAGTGGCCTTGAGGGAATCTACAGTTTGGGTGTATAGCCAGTCGTCCTTGACACAGCAGTAGAGGGTGGACTTCTTGAGCTTTTCATCCATGCGACTGCCCAGCCTCGCAGCATCATTCCAAATTCGATCTAGTTCCTTTCCAAGGTTGATGACATTTCAGTGGACTAACTTGATCTCATGCACTTGGTTGTGAATGGCAGAGAGTTTAACTTCGTCATTGATTGTGAGTGCTGTTTTGAGCTTCTTGTACAGTGTAGAGCTGAGTTGCTCTTCTTCACCTTGTTCTCAGATGGTGTATGTATGAATACTGCTTTCAGGACTGTGGTCGCATGACAACAGGATGAGGCCTAACAGGTGACTATTTAGTTCTTCATTGTAGTCCATGTGGTTGCTAGATATTTCCCCAGTAAGGATCTGCTTTGCATTCTTGATGGGCTGTATGCAGTCCATAAACATGGGCTCCCAGATGGCCCAGTTGTTCTCGTTGAGCTTGACGATCTGTGATACAATGCTGAGTACTGACTTTGGAATCTTTTCGACTTGGCTGGTGTTTGGTTGGAGGTTCATCATAGAAAAGGCACACTCCAGGATTTGGTCTTTGTTCCAGTCAGTGTGAACCTCTCTGATCACTTGCATGGTGCATTCAAGTAGGGCTATGCTGTCTACTCTGGGTGGCATCTTGATGGCAAAGTGCCTTGAAGCTGCTGAGCTTCAGACTCTTAATCAGTTGAGGAATTTCATTTTTGTTATGTTATTAATTCTATCTACTAGCTTCTATGTACATTGTCATCTATATATGCTTGGCAATCTCTTCCACATGTGTTAGCCAGTGATGAGCTGCTCCTTGTGTTGCTCCTGCATTGTCACTTCCTGCATGTTAGTGTGACAATGCTTATGCATCCCACATGTGTCACCACCTATAGGTGTCTTTATCTCATCAATGACTTGCTTATCTTCCATGGGCTCTGTAATGCTCTGCGGACCCTGTGAATCTCGTTGGAGTGCCGACGCGTCTCCCTCAACTCTCACTGACATTGATGTTCTGGCCGACCTGTTCGACAGTGTGGCAGGCGATAACCGGTACTACGCAAATTTGGGTAAAAAGTGAGTTTCGCTGTATATGCACACATGCTCGAGTGCACGAATCTTGATGTTCGCATCTGCTTCTGTGCTTTCTTGGAGCAGATTCCGACGCTTTCTGAGTCCACAGAACAGACAGCCGGCGTTGCCGGTGGTGGAGGCACACAAGCAATACACAAAGATCCTTCAGTCCATGCCAAGTTCGAGGTGAGCGAATGCTGCGATTGCGAAGGTGTGGACAGAAACAGGGGTATCAAGAGTGCATAGAGAGTGAATACAAGAAAAGTGTGGTTGAGGTGATCACCAATTGCGGGTGACGGTGAGGTCGACGAGAAGATTGATAAGAATGTAGATGAGAAGAGCATTTAGCAAAGCGAGGAAGAAGCGAGGCTTTGCTCTTGGCACTCTTCGCTCTGGTTCCATCGAGGCAGGCAAGGGCAAGAGAGGCTCGTTAGCTGTGTGTCCAGTGTGAATGTGAGGATGGTGGAAGTGAGGAGCGGGGACGATCACAATTCGAGCTGTACCATGCGATGTGTAGGGTGAGCAGCCATAGGAAGGGTGAACGGATCGAGGTGGTTGAGCAGAAGGGGCTGCCGAGGAAGACGAGGAAGAAGGTCCGGCGCCAATACCGCCACCAGCACCTTCTCGAATGGCAGTCTCATAGGAAGGGACAGGGTCATCCTTGTATGGTTGCGAAGCGTCGCTTGCTTGGGCTGTATTCGAGGTTGATGGCTTTGCGCCGGTCGAAGAGGGTGGGTTTGGCGCCATTGTGTTCGTTTGTGATCCTTTCCGTCACTGAGGTGTATTGCAAGGTATGTTGATAATAGTAGTGGTGGTGTTCTGGAAAGCTCAAGATTGAATGCTGCTGCGTTATGATGGAATGAATGCAGGGTTCAGGCAGCTTGCAGTCGACGGAGCTGAGTTTCCTAATAGAACTTTCACAAAGTCCAACCTCTTTTTTTTTTTTTTTTTTTTTTCTTTTTTTTCTTCTTCTCAGGTTTGTTAGAGCGACAGAGCCGACAGCATATCAAATTTTCGGACCATCCGACACTCAATCACACCTTCTCGGCACTTGATCGGATTGATGATGGAGCATGATGATACTGATCAGCATTGATTGCAGAGATCGTACATGAAAGTGAGCAAAAGAATAGGGAAAGTTGGCATCGATGGAAAGAAAGAAATGTATGGGAAAAGCGAAGCTCGATTGGCCACTTTGTTAAAGACCAGCAAGCATTATAATCCCCGCTTTGAATTGATCGAGGCACCTCCTCATGGCCAGCATGATCGTTGCCAGATCCAAGCACGCAAACGCCCGGATCGACTAGAATCAATGAGCTTTGGTAATGGAGGTGCGCAAGTTTCTTTTTAGTAGGTTATGGAGAAGAAGAAAGCAAGATCGTTCGTCGAGACATGCTTCTTGTGTTGGCAAATTTGCTCGCTGCTCTCCCAAACAAACCAAAAAGCGAGAGCGACACGTGACCTTTGCAAAGACCCTTTCTTACTCCCACCTTTCAAGTTGAGCTGCGAGGAACCTTGACGCTCGAGCCTCACGCTCCTTCATGCTTCCCTTTCTTCTCGACGCACCTTCAGCTTTTCGCACGCAGACACGCTCGATCACTACTGTCGGTATACTTCCCACCAAGGCCAAGTGACAATGCAGCCGATGAAGCGTTTCGAATCACACTGCTCAATCTAGCTAGTCTTTGGGCTAGTCCTGCCATGCTTCTGGATACGAATCTGACTGTGCGCTCTTCCTACTCGATGTCCTCTCGCCAACACGGGAGGCCAAGATGACCAACATGCCAACCTACGCCGACCTCTACAACGAGAAGCTGCGTGCTTCTGGCCAGTCAGGACCATCGAATCCAGTCCGCCTCACTATCTCGAAAGGCGACTATGTCTTTGATGCAGAGACTGGCCGCTTCCAATACGAGGAGCGATGGGAGGAGGAACACTTGATGGAAGATGAGAATTACCTCGATGCTCCGTCTCCCAAAGGTAACTCCGGCAGCCGCGAACCCTCGCCTCCTCCGATGGCAGCTCTACAGCCCACACTACTCTTCGGACAAGCCGACAACTTGACTCATCGGCCTTCACTATGGGTGTTGGATACCAACACACTCGTCTCGTGCCTCGACCTGCTCAAAGCCCTCTTTGCTGCGCTTCTGACGCGCAATGTAGCATACGCAGCTGCAGTCAAGAGGCCGACTCAGCATTCGGCTGAACCGACACTTCCATCGCCGATCAAACTCGTCATTCCATACGTTGTCGTATGGGAGCTTGATGGGCTCAAGATCACGAGCCGCAAGAACGACTCAGGTAGACCTGTCGCTTCTCAAGCGAGGGAAGCGAATCATTGGCTCTTCTCAGCTCTACAAAAGCAGAAACGGGTTCCTATCGACCAAGCTGGCGCACATCTTGCCGACACTCTTTGGCCTCTCTACGCCCAGCCATCGGCTCACTACAACGGATCGAAGCGCAAGAACGGTGCAAATTCTCGGTTCACTTTCCAAGATTCGCTCTCCTGCGACGACGAGATCATTAAGTTCTGCGTCGACCTGAAGCACAAAACACCCTCAAGCGTCTGTTTCTGCTCGGATGACATCAACGCACGCACCAAGGCAGAGATGGATAACATCGACTCGTTGGGTATGCGAGAGCTAGCTCGCGCTCTGAAGACGAATGTCGGGGCTGCGCAGAGTACGGAAAGCAAGTGGATGCTGGTTGCTGATGCGCTGATCGAGCAGTGGGACTATCAGAACGGCACTGTCCAACAGCATGATCAGCAGCAGCAGCAGCAGCAACAGCAAAATCTGCAACAGCGATTCGACCCGCACTTGGCGCAGCAGCCTACGTGGCCGCTTGCTCTCGCTCCACACGCAAGTCAGTCGCTTGGAGCGACCACATGTACCCATCCCATCGCTCCGCCTCCAGCCCTCATCCCAGCTGCTCACATTGCAACCAATAGCGAGATCCTCGATATGGACATGGACACGGAGGAGAACCAGCCTCCTTCTCGTGCTGTACAGTCAACTCCAACTCCGATAACCCTGACACCTGCCCGCTCTGCTCCTTCTCTCAAGCGCTTGTCCTCTGAAGGCCGCAGCACCAACGATAGCATACATAGCCCGCAGAAAGTGCAGCGATCCAGCAAGACCAAGCCACGGCGCTCCTCAGTCTACAATTCTGTCTCTTCTGCAACCCCATTTGCATCCACAGCTGCCACAGCAGAACAAGAACATACCAACGGCGAAGCACTCAATCCTCAGCTCGACTGGGAGGATTTGATGCAGCAGTTTGGCCGGCCGAACAAAAAGTCTCGCAATACCAGATGGTAGATTCTCTCTCTCGCATCGTCACTCTATAGCATAGCCTTTAGCATTCACATATATACTTCGTCGCAGCATAATCTCATTGTCGCCCTCACTGACCCACAATCAAGCTCAATGTGCTGAGTGAGCCCTGAGCGATGCTGAGCCAGCAGTGAACTGAGGCTAGCATGAGCGTTACCGGTCGCTTGTTCGGTGTACGATTTTCGGAAGTCGGGAATTCCTCACCTTCGGCTTCAGCTCTGTGCACACGACCCCGAATGAACTTGTTCAACCTTCCTATCGCTACCCACCGTCTCGTCACGGAGCATTCTCATATACTTCAGCACTGTCACTTTCCTTTCAGTACCTCCTGCATCGATCCGCCTCTTGCAAGATCGCCTCGCTTGACGCTCGCACGGCATCTGAGCTTGACTTGCGAAAAGCGCACTTTCATCACATCACCAGCATATACCTTCGCCAGCAACGTACACCCCACACTCCAGCACAACCCCCCAGCCAGCCCTCATCGTGCATCCCCACCTCGCCCAAAATGCCGCGGCAACCAACCAAAAGACGCAAAATCGCCCAGGACCTCGATGTGGAAGGCGATGAAGATTGGCAGTCCGACGAACTCTCTTCCCTCCCCGCAACTGATGATGAAGACTCCTCCTCTTCTTCTTCCGGCTCTGACCCCGGTTCCGACTCTGGCTCGAACTCGGACGAAGAAGATGTAATCGACATGCTCAAAAATCCAAAAGGCAAATCTAGAGTGAGCAAGGTCGAAGTAGTCATCCCTCTCACCACTCCTTCCGGCGAAACTCCAGCGAAACGAAAACGTGGTCGACCACCCAAAGAACCCGAGCCTAAAGAACCCAAAAAACGAGGTCGTCCACGCAAGTATGCCCCCGGAGAGAAACGTCCTCGTCGTTCCCGCCGCAAGCTCAACCCTGATGGGAGTTTTAAAAAGCGAGGAAGACCAAAGAAAGTAGTGGATCCAGATGCAGTCATGATGAAAGTGCCAAAACGACGCGGGAGGCCGCCGAAACCCGTGGAAGAAGGTGCGGAGGATTCCAAACGCAAGAGAAGCGGTGATGGGGGAGGAGCGGGGAAGAGGAAGAGGAAGCGCGAGTTTGATTTGTTAGCGGGATTGGATTTGGAGTTTGACGACGAGGATGGAGCGGGTATTGTTCCTGGTGTTGGTGGTGGGGGTGAGGAGGAGGAGGAGGAGTGGGAGGATGAGGTCGATTCGCCAAGGAAACAGGATGATCTGTTGGCGAAGTTGAGGAGAAGGATCTTGTATAGACAGGCAGATGCGGAGTTGCAGGACTTTGTGGATAGTTTGGGGCCGGATGGTGAACCGAGGGCATCTACCTCGAAGGTTGGTGCGAATGGTGCTGCTGCTGCAGAAGCAGAGGAGAATGTGGATGAAGGACCCAGGCCGGGCTTGCCTCTGATGACAAAGTTCACGAACGATGACGGCGTTCCATCATCGGAAAAGCGGAAAGAGCGACAACCATTCGAGCCCACAGCAGACGCACAGAGCAATGGAGCAATGTCAGCACTCGCCGAAGCAGCCGTAACCGCTGCCGAATCTGAAGAACAAGCCAAGTTGGCGGCATCAAAACCAAAGGGTCGACCAGTAGGATCGAAAAACCGTAAACCAGATTGGGAAAACAACCCCCTTCTCCTTGCTTCTCGTGCTTCCAACGGTGTCGATCATGGCTCCTCGCTCTCGCTCTATGGCGCTCCTTCGGCTGCTGCTAGCACCAACACCAGCAGCGGAGGATCCAGCCTAGTCAAACCAACATCATCAGATGCATACTTCCTATTCAACACCTCCAAACGCGCACGTGGGTTAGCAGGAATGTCCATCTCCACCTCCTCCTCTCTCATCTCTTCCAAACTCCCAGCGCTCGACTCTAGGAATCTCGAACGCGTGGTTGCAACCCAAACCTGCGCTGACACTACCCTCTCGGACCTAGCTATGAAGATGTACCGTCGCCTGCTCCCAGTGTATTTGGCGCAGCTGCTGGCGGGGTATGCAATCATCTTCCACGGCGTGGGTAGCAAGACGAAGCTTCTCACAGAGCTGGTTTCGCGTCGAATAGAAGCGGAGGGGGATGCAGTAGGAGTGGTGGCTCAGGGAGCGATGAAAGGATTCAAAGTGGAAGATATGCTGGGGGGAATAGAGCGTGCGGTGGGATTGGGGAATTTGACGATGAGTGCAGCTGCCACTAACGATGAGGAGACAGCTAGAGCGGGGATGGTCGTCTCTACCCTCACTGCAGCTCGAGCGGAAAGGATTGTACGATGGTTCTCAACCTCGCACTCCACAGCAGCGGGACCAACAAAGCTCTTCTTAATACTCGAAACGTTCGATGCGCCTGGCATGCAATCTTTACGATTCAAAAGCGTACTCGAAACCCTAGCGAAAAGCCACAACATCCACATCATGGCCACTACAGAACACGTCAATTCGGGTTTCATCGCTTTTACTACCGGTCAACAGTCTTCTCCCCCCCTCACTCCCACTCCTACTCAACCCCTTGTAGAAGTCGAAGTAGGGAAGGGTAGAGGAAGATTGTGCTGGATCTGGCAAAACATGTCAACCTTCATACCAAGTTTGGATGAGATGCTGATCATGCGTTCCAATCCTGCTTTTGCTTCGTGGATGCCTTCCCTCCCTCTAGCTCTCGATCTCATTGGTTCTGCCGCTTCACTCTCTTCTCGTCCGACCCAACCTTCTGGAAGCACCTTTTCTATTAGTGGGGAAGCAAGTGGAGGGGTGGCGTTCTACAACGGTCTCCAAGTATCCGATTCCTTCCGAACCGTATCGGAGACTTCGGCGATATCAATTCTCAAATCGGTCACTACAAAGGCTAGGGCACTGTTCAACCTTCTTGCCAAACAAACACTTTCCATTGGTGAGGGAGAAGTGGGGAATGGAGTTGGCGGCGTGGCGTATGCAGACTTACTAAATAAGGCGAAGAGGTCATTTTTGGTATCGAACGAGGCAGATTTCAAATCGTTGCTGATCGAGTTCAAAGATCATCATCTATGTCACATCTCCAAGCAAGGGGTGATTGGGATCGGTTTGGCGGATGCGAAGGTTTTGCAGAGCGTGTTGGATCGGTTGAAGTCCATCTAGTTGCAATTGCATCATGTTCTGTCTTCAGGTATGCTGTCTCGAGTGTGATGTTTGCTGAGCGCTGAGATTGCGTGTGAATGAGGGGTATACTTGCTTCAAGCTTGTGCTGCGGAAGGGGGTGTTTGATGTGGAAATGAGGAGATCATTGATCCTTCTTCCCCTCCTTCCCTTTACCTTCTTTTCTCGCTGGAGGAGCAATATCAGAATCATCCTCTAAGAACGCAGCAACGACATACGCCGCTAGCACAAGGTTCGCTACTAACGCTGCTAGTCCTCCTGCATATGTTGCATTCCCTGATCATCCCAGACCGCACCGCCAGAATCATTCAAAAGAAGCCTTGTCAGCATCTCTCCGCTCTCTTACTTTCTCCAGGCCCATTGCGACCAAGGTGGGTTAGACTTACCATCCAAATACCTGTCCTTAGCGAAATAATACGCCGAAATAGGAGCCGCAAAAAGAGCAACACTGAAGAACGCCAGCTTGTAGTAGACTCCTCTTGCCGGGTCCCTTCCTCGAGGGGCGACCCTCGATGGCGTTGGGTCCAGACTCGACATCTTGGGGGCGATTGATGGTTGTGAAGAGGAGAAGGGAGGGTGGTCAAAGCGACAAGCGCGAGAAGAAATGGAGCAAAAGGTTCGGAATTCGGGTTTGTGGAGAGACCCTTTCCCAAGCACGACACTTTTTTCTCCGTCCCCTTACCTTACCTCCTGCTCCTTCTTATCAAAACAGCATCCACGTAGACGACTCAAGCGAAGAGGAGAGGATGCCAGAGAAAATCCTCCTCATAGGTCCCGTTAACGGGCGGCTGACAGAGCTGGTCTCCAAAGTATCAGCTATCCAGTCGAAACACGGTCCTTTCACAGCGCTTTTCATCCTCGGTGACCTATTCCATCCCAACCCCACCGACTCGGTTCTTCAGCAACAAACCAATTTACTCGAGGGCAAGCTAGCGCTCTCTATCGCAACGTACTTCTACCAGGGCACAACACCGCTGCCCTCCCCTGTTGCTGGTATGATTAACGAAGCGGGAAAGCAAAACAACAAAGATGTACCGGAAGGACTAGTGAAGGTGGTTGAGAATTTGTACTATGCAAAGGGGAAAAGCGGAATTTTCACCACTCCGACCGGCTTCAGAGTAGCGTTTGTTGGTGGGAGATGGGATGCGAAAGCGTATGCAGAGGCCTCCGAAGCAGGGGCCCAATTTGACCCGCAGGAATGGTACGAATCCCCCACCCAACGTTCAGAGGATGAGGCACTGCCGTATGTCACACCAGCAACTATACACCGTCTTCTCGCACTTCCTTCTTTCCGTCTCCCCTCCCCTTCCCCCTCCATTACCACCACATCGACTAATGGGGGTAGTGCGAAAGCAGGAACGCTAGCAGCAGCACGCACAGCCGCAGCCCAAGAAACAGCCCGCTCGTCCGCCCAATCGTCCGCCCTCACCCTCCTCACTTCCCGAACACCAATCGATCTTTTACTCACAAGCGTCTGGCCGAGTGGTGTCACCCTATTCTCCACACCTTCACCCCCAAACCCATCCGATCCACTGGGAGGTCTGCCGGATGGAACGGCAAGAATGTGGGGTTCACCAGCCATCGCTAGGCTCGCATTGCACGGTTGTCCGCGGTATCATTTTTCTCTTGCTCCCACACCCGCTGCGGAGGGGGAGGAGGGGGATCTACCGGTAGGGATAAGCGAAGAAACGCTGCAAATGGGGGCTTTCTGGGAAAGACCACCTTACCTCACCGACTTGTCCTCATATCTTCCACAGCCGCTGGATCTGGGAACACCGGCGGGAAGGAGGGAAGCGGAGAAATTGAAGAGTGTAACACGTTTCGTGAGTTTGGCGAAATTTGCCAATGAGAAGAAGAGGAGGTGGTTCCTTGCGCTGAATTTGACCCCGGCGGAAAAGCAGGAGGTGGGGCAAGTGAAGGTGCCGGGGAATGTTACTCAGACGCCGTACTTTGTTCCGAAGCAAGGGGGGCACGGGGTCAAGAGGCAACCCCCACCAGCAGCGGTGGTTGGGGAGGAGGATGGAGGGGTGAACTACAGATTCCAAGAACAAAGAAAACGACAACGTGGGGAGGGGGATTCGGAAGTGCCACCCAAAGGATACGTTTGCAGGATATGTGGTGTTGAAGGGCACTACATTCGAGCTTGCCCTTCAAAAGCTCAACAAAACAATTCGGCTTCTACTGGGACCAACACCACCCCTCTACCCACCAACACCAACCCCGACGGAGACCAGAAGGGTGGATGGACCAAAACCACAATGCCCCTCCCAGCAGGTCTTCCAGCCAAACCCTCCTTCTCCACCCATCCTAATGCTAATCCACGTCGACAACTCATCCCGGTAGGACCCTCCAATTGCTGGTTCTGCCTCTCCAACCCTTCCGTAGCCAAACAACTCATCATTACCATCGGTTCCGAATCCTATCTGGTTTTCCCCAAAGGTCCTTTCTCGCATCCTTCGATCAACAGTATTCCTTTCAACGCGAGTCACCTCCTTGTCGTACCCTTGACGCACACGTCTAACCTTCTCCCACCGAACCATCCCGTCTTGAACAGAGGTGACGACCTGGAGGAAGCACGGGAGAGGGAACGAGTGAGGACCGAAATGGAAGAGACGAAAAAGAGTGTTAGAGCAATCTGGGAAGAAAAAGGCCATGTGATGCTGGAATGGACCCTGGTCAGAGCTCAAACCAGTAGTCGTATGACTCATTTCCAAACCCAACTGCTCGCCCTTCTCTCCGGGGTCGCAGAGAATTCCGATCTGGTGAAGAAGCTAGATGATGGGTTGGAGAAAGCTTGTACCGGGTCAAAGATCCTACGCAACCAGAACGAGATCGAGGGCTATTTCGCAGGGCAGGTTCCCGCTGCAGAAGGAGGTGAGCAAGATGGATATTTCCACCTTGCCCTCCATCAAGGGGAGAGGAAAGAATGGCTTATTCCTTTAACAACGAATACGAGGTTTCCGGTTCAGTTCGTGCGTCATACGCTAGCTGGTATCTTCGAGCTTCCACAGTTGGCGGATTGGAAGACGAGCATCGGTGCACAGGAAGAAAAGGGTGAGGAAGAAGAGGAGGTGGCAGTGGAGAAGAAGAATTCGGCTGGGTTTAGGGGCTTATTGATGTCCAATAGCTCGTAGCATATCTCTCACTCTGACAGCAGGAGCGTGTCTGCGAATGGGCATGATTTGCATGCAACCAGCGTGTGTGTATCTGTGCCGAGACTGGGTGAAGAATCAAAAAGCATCGCGACGCTTCTTCTTCCTCCGTTCGCGATCGGTACCATCCTCACGACGTTCCCTTTGTTGTCGTTTTGCCTCCTTTCTCCTCCTTCTATCCTCTCTACTCTCCCCGGCCCTCGCTCTATCTCGTTCCCTTTCACCCTCCCTCTTCATTCTATTCCCACCCCTGTCCCTCACATCACCCTTTCTATCCATCCGCGCATCCGCACCATCCTCCTCAGTCTCGAACAAAATCCGCCGCAACCTCAACTCAGCCTCTTCCCTCGTCAATTGTACCCCATCCACCCCTCCTACTCCACCTTCATCTTCACCATCGGTAAAGAAAGGAGAGTCCAACTCTACACTCATGCCTAACTTTCTCTTTTGCCCTCTTCCCCCATCTCCTTCCCTCTCTGATCCTCTTTGAGACTGTGAAGCGTGGTTTGGAGCAAGCAGTGAGAGGAATTGCTGGGCGAACATCACACTGGGTGGTGGAGAGGGGGTGAAGATGGGTGCGATTTCTGGCCATGCTTTTGCCCATGCTTTTGGGCCGTGTTTTGGGACTGCCGCCGCCGCCGTCTCCTCATCCTCTTCCTCCTGGGGTTGGGATGGGGAAGAAGGGGCAGGTTCGTTTGTTGCAGTGTGAGATCGGGTGCGGGTGCGGGTGCGGGTGCGGGTGCGGGTGCGACCTCGTTCTTCTTCGTCAGAGGAAACAGTGAAAACAGAGCCTGAGGCTGAGCTCTCTGCATCACTCTTCCCCTCGCCCTCTTCCTCGTTTTCCTCCTCAGATACTATCCCTTCCAATCTCCGCCTAATCTTCGCCAAATCTGCATACTCTTTCAGCGGCCAACTCCCGCCTTCACCCTGATTTTCTTCTAGTGGATCACATCCCCACAACCTCTCTCTCCCCCGCAACCTCTCCTTATCCACCATCCCCTCTCGTTTCCTCACCCCCCAAATCCGTTGCCTCCTCAACAATTCCCCCCGCACGCAACTCTCACTTGCCTGTATCGCAGATTCGAAACAAAGCCTTGCTTTTGCTTTTGTGGTCCTATCCAACTTCCTCAATTCCACCCCTTCTCCCCCTCCCCTCTCTTCTGCATCTCCTCCCGCATTGTTATTGAGTAGGGTTTGTACGCCAACAAAAACATACAGCATCCCCAATCCGCAATGTAGTTCTGGCCTTCCTTTATACGGATGTACATTGACCCTTTGTTCCAACAACTCTATCGCGTCGCTTAGTCTTCCTTTTGCTATATACTCCTCCATCAAGGCGGGGGTGATATGGGTTGATTTGAAGCTGCTGCTCGATTCCAGGTCCATCATCTGTAGAAAGCCTATTTTGCCTGGTGCTTCTGCTTCTGCTTCTTCGACCTCCTCCTGCGAAAGAGCAAGCAGGAGAAGAGCAAGTTGGAAGCCTTCATCAGAAGTCCATTCATGCGCTCCAAGGATGACTTTCAAAAATCTCGCCGCTAACCCCAGTTGTCTGCGCTGGATAGAGAGGTGTAGGAGATCGTAGCATTTGCGTATATGTTTTCGTCGATGGGAGGTGAGGTTGGTGCGAGAGAAGTTCGGGCCTAATGGCGTTCCCCGTGTTGTAAGCAAAGCTATTGAGGCGGAGGTGGGTGATGAAGAGGGTTGGGAAAGGGAGCGATGGGAAGGAAGGATAGGGTAAGAGTTGGTTTTGAGGGCTCGGATTTGATGGTTTTGACGAAAACCTGAGCCGAGGAATGGTGGTGGGACGAAGGCGGTATTTCGTTCCATCTTGCGCTGATACGAGAGTTGGAATTAGAACGTTCTGGGGTGAAGAGAATGTGTGCGTGTAGTTGTGGTGTGGAGCCGTAGGTCGTGATTGAGTGAGATGGTCCTACGTGGCGTGCTGGTGTGAAACTAAAGCAATGGTCTTGCTGGTTGCGAGCGTGTCGGCGTGGAGTGGAGCTAGGCCTATTGCACAGCCGCTCCCATGGATGCTGCGTCTTCTGATTGATGCCGATGGCCAAGCAAGAGGCCAGCTCTCCGTGAAATGGTGATGGTTGGAAGGTAGGACAGCAATTCGAGGTGTTCAGGAAATGTTTTGGCTGGACCCAGAGACTCCACATTACGCAGACCGAGATCCGAGCTCTCGCATTCTTCTCCTCTTCATCGTTCAGCACCTTACTCCCGTTCGACTCACACAGAAGACCTAAGCAAGCACTTCACCAAACCGAATTGTAGCCACACACATGAGACCAGAGATAGCAACAAGCATAGTATTACATCAGATCAAACCAAAAACCAAGAATCGATCCCTAGCGTCTGGAAAGCTAGGCCTCACTAGCAACCGAAATCCGTCTACTTCCTCTTGTACCCCTCTTCGCCCCACCTCCCGCCGACGCCGCTGCACCACTCGTCTTTCCCCTCCCACCTCTCCCCTTCGTCATCTTGGCCACCTTCGCCTGAGCAGCACCTTCAAACGCTTCATCCTGTTCACCCTTCTGCGCAGCCTGAGCCAAAATCTCTTCAAACTCCTTCAGATCTCCTGCACCCTCACCACCCGCTCCACCACTCGCACCACCTGCACCCCGTCCCGCACCACCAGCACTTTGCGTCTTGTTCGCCCTCGCCTTGGTCAAAATCTCTTGGAACCTCTTATACACTTCCGTATGGTATAGCTTATCCTGGTAGAACGGTAATCCTTCAATGAGCTTCTTGATCGATCGTTCGCTCTTGTAGGGCAGCAACGAAAGACATAATGCAATATCTCGCCATTGTCGTTCCGAGTTAGCGAGTCGGAAACGTTGACAGAGCTTCTCGACCACATTCTCTGCCTGTTTCTCTTTGTCGATGAAAGTAAAGATGAACTTCATGGTCCGGGCGAACGTCTCTTCGTCGACTGCGTGCTTGCCGATGGAGAGATGCGAGATGATGTCAGGCAAGTTGTTGTACACGGCATTCTCCTTGGTGGCAAGTTCACTGAAGAAGAGCTTGGCGAGATCCGAAACGCGCGGCTCAGGGTCTTCGAGACATTTGGCCATCTCTCCGAGCTGACCTTTGACCTTGATCATTCCATTGAGGATCAAGTGCGTCAAAACCATGAGCGTGTGCTTCTTGACCGAGAGATCCGAGTCACCAAGACCAGCATAGAGACGATCGGAGTTCTCGTCGACAAGAGAACCGAAGCAAACAGCAATATCACCGAGAGCAATGACCACGTTGCTGCGGATGACAGCATCCTTAGATGTGGTGAGAATGTGAAGCAGCAAAGCCAAGTTGGCCTCGCAGAAGGTCGATGAGACGCACATAAACTTGCAGAGCGTCAAGACAGCAGCCCTTCGCACCAATTCGTTGGGGTACGACTTGGGGCTGCTGCAGATATGGGTGATGATGGGACCAAACATAGCCAAGACGCTGCGACTGCCGTAGAGCAGCTCCTTCTCGCGAACACTGGCAATGACTTCACCAATCTCGTCTTCGGCGTTTCCGGCAACTTGGTCCAGCTCCTCGACTGCAGCAGCGGCAGCAGCAGCACGACTAGCCTTGCCCTCGGAAACAGCTTTTGCCACCGCCTTCTCCTTGTCGGCCTCGGCCTTGCGTCGCTTGTACTCTCGCTCGACCAGCTCGAGATAGACAATGTGCTTGAGAGCAACATGGCCGACGCAGAAGAGGAGTTGAGCAAGCTGGAAAGCATCGCCCATCACTGGTCCGTCTCCACTACTGGAAACAGCCTCCTGTTGTGCATCAGACATCGAAACGTCGCTAGCAGCATCATCGTCGTTGGTGGTGGCACCGTTAAGAGACTGCAGCTGAGACGCAGTCTTGCTGCCAAACACGCGCGAGGTCATACTGCGGATGATGTCGGTGCAAAGGGCATCAGGCTGCTCACCGAGCAAGTAAATCGTGTTGAGCGCATTCTCGGCCAAGCTGAACCACTCGCCGCGGCTAGCACCCGTGAGCACATCGCCGGACATCTGGATGGCGGCACGCAGTCGACTAAACATGGGATGCGTCATCGGGTAGCGAACACTCTCGTCACTGAGAGCGCCTTTAACCTTTTTGACGCTGCCTCCGAGTCGCTGAAGTGCAACACAGGTGTACTTGGCCAACACCACGTCACGTGCACCCAAAGGTCCGAGTCCAACACGTAAGAGAATATCGATCTGTTCCGAGATGATCTCGCGCCTTGCTGTAGCAAGCATACCGAGCACAATGATAGCACCTCGTCGCTGAGCAGCCGAGATGGCACGAGGAGCGGAGTAGACAGCCCAGAGCTTATTGACGACCTCCGGATGGACGAGGTTCTCGATCTGCATGGTCTTGAGCATCTCTTCGAGCGAGGTGAGTTCGGCGAGCGTAGCACCGAAAGTGCGCTCGATCATGTTTTTGGCGATGCGAGCAATGTTGTCCTTGGCGTTGAGATCGGCACGTGCATCAAAGTACAGAGCACGGTAGACTTCGATGAGACGTGATCGCACACCTTTGAGCTGACTGCCGTCTTCCATGACGAGAGTGTTGTCCTTGGTCCAGATGAGGTGGACCATCTTGCGAACACCGGCAGCGGCGCCGGACAGCTTGTACTCGTAAGCGACACGGAAGAACTCCATGCTTTCGAGGACTTCGGCTTTGTTGGTGGAGGCGAGAAGCAAGGTCAAGTTGGGCATGGCGGTTTCGAGCTGAGTGATGAAAGCGATGGCATCAGCATAGTATCGCTTGGTGAGACGCAAACGCATCACCTTTTCAGCATCGACGGGCTCCATTTCAGCCTGAGCAGCAGCGAGAGCTTGCAAGTCGACACCGGATCGACGACCCTCCTTGGCTTTGGGCTTGACGATTTCCTTCTTGACCTTGCTCTTGCGGCTGCGAGCAGGCGGTGCATCCTCATCGTCGTCATCCTCACCCTGCATCACGGTGTCGTCTCCATCCTGCTCGTCGCTTCCTTGGTCGTCCTCATTGTCGTCGTCCATCTCTTCGTCGTGGGCTTCAGATTCGCCATCCTGGTCGACCGAGTGCTCACCAGGCAAGTTGAGTGAGCCTTCAGTCTCCTCAAGCTCTTTCGAGACGATATCGAATCGCTTCTGCCACTCTTGCAGCGACAGCTCACCGCCGTGGAGCATACCGAAAGGATGTGTAAGAATGAGCTTGGTCAGCAATGCGATGGCATTCTTGCGAACACCACTGCTCTTGTCTTGGAGATGGCGAACGACCATGTCGGTGATCTCGGTACGCTGCTTGGGGAATTTGGTGGGGAGATCGAGAAGTCGAGAGCAGACAGTGATGAGCTTGCTTCGAACATATGAGTTGAGATCGAGGAAACGCTCAATGAGAAGATCGAAAAAGGTCTCGATCTGCTTCTTGCGGGCTTCGGCACTGCCGCGGTTCTCGTCCGCCATGGTCTCGTCGCCGTTGCCGCCGTTGTTTCCGTCGGCATTGAGCGAATCATCGGTAAGTGCCAACTCCTTGATGAGCAGACCGAGTGTCTCGATCAAGGCGTTGCGCATGGGGTAGGATTCCGAATCCAGATGCTTCTGCAGAAGGCTGATCTGCTTGAGGACGCTGCGTGGGCTGAGTTCGGCCATACGAACGAGAAAACGACCAAAGGAACGTGGACTCTTTGTATCCATGGCGCCAAAGTTCTTGGCAGCGACTTCGCGAAGGACTTCCTCGCCGAGACGTTCGTAGTCGAACTCGAGACGCATGACGGCTAGCAACTCTGCCATGGGTTCGGCGAGATGCTCGTAGTATTGTAGACTCTGCATGATACTGGTCTGAGCGCTGAAAGCCTGGCCGTGGGCTTTGACAGCTTGGCAGATGACTTTGAAGATACCGAGCTTGATGGCTTGAACCTTGAGGTACGACTCGTTCTCCTGGAGGAGAAGCGCAGGTCGGAGGAGACAGCCGGAAATGAAAGAGTCGCGCGCTGCAGAGACGGTCCACATGCGCTCGCTCCTGACACGAGCGGCCTTGGACATGAGGGTGAGCACGGCAGGGATCGAGTTGGACCAAGCCCATGCATCTGCTTTAGCAGAGCCAGACTTGGCAGCAGCTGACTTTGCTCCTGCACCACGACGAGCTCCTCTTGCGGCTACAATGGCTGCAGCTGAACCTCGGTTATCTGCTCTCGCACCGCTGTATTTCTCTGCTACCGAAACAAGCGACTGAAGGAGGAAGGCGTATCGTTCGAGTGTCTCTGCATGAGAAGAGTAGGCGTTCGGGTCATCACCGTCGAGCTCACGTTGCGCCTCGTCGAGAGCATTGGACATGCCTGAAGCAATCACATCGAGAAGCTTGTTGCAAGCGTTGGGACAGAGGTTGGCAAAGTGTTTGAGATAGGAACGGATGAGGTCGTAGATCTCTGGTGTAGCAACGTTGTCTGGACTGTTTGTGATGGCGTCGATGGCTGTGTCGAGGGTTGAGATCTGCTCGGAGGCGTTCATATCCTCGACAGCGGTTTCTTGTGGGATGATGTAGGGCTCATCTTGCAAGAGAAGGAGCTCGTCGGCGAGGTTGTATCGACCACTTGAGCCTCCACCTGCGTCATTCTGTGATGTCATTGTTTGCAATGTTGTTCTTAGCTAGAGCCCTTGAAGCGGTGTCGCAGCCCGCGCGAGACAAAGGTGGAGTGAAAGTCGGTGGAGCTGTTGGTTGTGGGCGTGGCAAGTACGTGTTCGTGATGATCGTAGTAAAAAAGGTCGTGATACTGTACAATGGCGTTGAGGATGGATGTCGGATGGAAGGATGTCGGATGGATGCCTTTGCCTTGAAATGTCTAAAGCTCAGCCTGCGACCCTTCTGGCCCATTTTCTTTTTGGTCTGGAAATGCGCAGGTGTTGGTCTTTCACTCCGACGCGCCTGAGCCAGGGTTGCGCGTGTTGTTTTTTTTACACCAGTGTTAGACTACGAAAAGCCGCGCTCACAGCACGTGACTCAAATCTGAAATATTCTGAGAATCATCGGGCGATCGAATCAAGCGATTGAATCGGGCGATCCAACCTGCCAACGCATCAAAGGAGTGCTCAAGCCTCGAATTGGCGTCGTTGCTAAGTTACAGTATGTACATTTTGACGGAGAGCGTCCCGATACCAGCCAAGAGGGCTTGAGATTAAAAAATTAAAAAAAAGTGTCAGGTAGGAAGATCGACAGTCGCAATCTCAACTGTAGTCGCACGCACCGTTACTGTATCCAAGCCAATCCTGGGACTAGCAACGTCTCGCTCTTAAATATACCACCACATCGATTGCTGGTGATCGATATTTCTGTCCGCCTTTCTTGCCACCACCGCTAAGCATCCAACAACGGCTTATCCTACGAGACAGCAAGTCGTTTTTTTGCTTTGGTCATTCAAGGTCGAGTCAGCTTTGCTCAACCCACTCGAATCGCGAGCTCCGCTCTAAAAGGCTCCTCATCGCATCGAAACAACCGACTTCATTTGTCACACGCAAGCTTTTGGTTCCCACGCCTCCTCTCAAACAACTCATCCTCCGTTCGAGCTGACATCCATCAATCACAGCCAAAATGGTAAGTTTCAATTCAAAGCGACACACACATCTGCATCCTCAACAAAGCAAACCCACCGAAGTCGAGTTTGCTGCCACGTCGCAACTTCAACAACGCAGCCGCAATCATCCTTCCTGTCTGCTTCTTGTGTCTTTGCCCTCATCGATCATCGTCCAGCAGTGACACATAGCTCTTTACGTCAGCAACAATGGCGAAAGCTCGTAGGCGCAACCTCCGCGCACCTGCTTCCGCCTCACCGTCACCCATCACAACTCGGTCGCAACAGCAACAACGACGACGCCCCGCCACCTCTCGCGACGGATCCGTCGACATCGATAAAGCCATCGCAGCAGCCAAAAACCCTTTCGATGGCGTCTATCTCGATTCGGATGCAGAGGCTGATGCCGTCGAACAACTCGATCTGAAATCCTTTATTGACATGACTTCGCATTCTTCCAATTTTGCTCCCCTCGTTTCTGCTGCTGCTGCTTCTGCTACTCATCGTTCTCGCGATACATCTCGTTGCTGCGTTTCCACCGACCATGCCTCCCCTCTTGCCGAATACGCTTTGGATCAACTCTCGCAGGAACAACAATCGAGCGCATCTTTGCCCGCACGCAATGTCGTCAACTTCCTCCGCAACAAATCCGGCATCAAAACCCGCGTAGGCGCACTCAACGGTAAACGTGTCGATTACTTTAAAGGCTCTGCCGCCGTCAAAGCTCTCCTTTCCCCCGTCTATGCTAAACTCAAAGACGTCCCCAAAGTCGCCACAAAAGAGGAAGCAGAAGAGGCACTGCACAACATTATCCCCTATGCCTTCTTCCTTCGTGTCGATCGCGGGGCTTCCACCGGTGGTAAGGATTCGCCGAAAGTGGTGGAGATCAACCAGCAACAGATGTTTAAGAGCGACCAGTACTACGTTTGGCTCTACGAGGGTTCTCAACTGGGCTTGAAATTGGCAGGGTTGGGAATGGTAGGTGTGATGTTGGCCGGTGTAATGTTCCCCTTGTGGCCACCGACAATGAGGTTGGGGGTTTGGTATTTGTCAGTGGCAGCGTTGGGATTGATTGGGTTCTTCTTTGTGATTGCGATCATTAGGTTGATCTTTTGGTTGATTACCGTGGTGGTGGCGAAACCGGGTATTTGGATCTTCCCGAATCTGTTTGAGGATGTTGGGTTTGTTGACTCGTTCATTCCGCTTTGGGCTTGGGATGTGCCTCCGCCGCCGAAGAAGAAGTCCAAGTCTGACTCGTCAGGTGCAGCGGGTGCCGGGGAGAAGAAGAAAGCATCAGCATCAGCTGCAAGTGGAGTGCGGGCGAGGGCAAGACAACAAGTTTTGTCCGGATTGGGTGGTGCAGGTCCTACTGCTCCTCCTAGCCCTCCTAAGGCTCCTCAACAGGCTGCACAGTCGACTCCGGCTAAAAACCACGCTGCTCAGAGCAATGGAAGTAGCAGCAGTCAGGGAATTGGTAGTAGTGGTCCTGGTGCCGGTCATAGTTTGGATGACATCAACTAAAGTCTCGCACTTCTCACATCCATCAGCTCCTCTATCTACCTTGCTTCAAAAATCGATTCTGACTCTCGAGTCAAGATTCTGCTCCATTGCATATCTCTTTGCTCCGATGTAATGTCTCGTCCTCTAACAATCAATGCACTCTTGCCTCCCTTCCTCCTTGTCTTTCTGCCTGCTGCTTCGGATTTTTGTAGGAGCCGCTACGGGAAGAATTAGCCATGGAACCGTCATAATGGCATCATGGAAGCCGTTCGAGGCCATGTTGAATCTGGTATACAGTCCCTTGATGCGATATCCGACGCCGAGGAACTCCGGCCTGCCTTTTCTAGGCCTCAATTTCATTCCCTTTTTTTTTTTTTTTTTTTTTTTTTTTTTTGGGGTTGCCTTTCTTGCTTTTTTCTCTTCGCAATTTCCAGCGGCTCCAAAACGACTTTCCCGGCTGTGCCGCCGCGCCTTTTTGTTCGCCGACGCAGATCCTGAGCGAGCTTAAGATTCCCGAACCCCGCACGACTCATCTCGCTAAATTGGACAGCCTAGGTTCTCTCACGCTTACCCCCGCTTCAGTCGATCATGTCTTCCTCCTCTCTCTCTCTCTCTCTCGCCACCTCCGTCTGGGCCACATAAGCACGAGAAAGGAAGAGAGCGGAGGCGGGGTTCGTAGGTGGTCGGCAAATCGGTTAGGGCTGGGATGGGGTTGTGTGGGGTACAGATGGTTCGATTAGAAGCCGCTCCTCCGCGGTGCAATTGTTACTCCGCTGTTTTGTGCCGTCCTTTGCATTGTTACCCACAGCAGCGGTATTTAGAGTCCGCGGCTCCGCTGGTTGCTTCGATGCCGTCGAGCAGTGCACCACAGTTGCGACGCTTCAACAAACGGCAGAGTAAACTACAACCATCGTCACTGCAAACCAAGGAAAGTATGAGATGGATCATGTTTCCGAGCTTCCTGAACAGGAGCGATTTACCGATGCAGGAACTCCAACCTTTTCCGGCGCTAAACCTTAGTTACCCTTGTTACCGATCATACAGCTATACATCCTTCCTCTGATGGGACGAAAATCTACTTCCGTCCTCCAAATCGTGAGTTGGGACTTCCTTCCCCTCTTCTGCGTTGTGCGCGGGTTGGTGGAGGAAACGCAAGCGAGCAAAAGGGTGCATACTTTGAAGAGGCGAGGGTAAGCGAAAACAGAGGTCCGGGGAACCCCGCAGGTTCTTTCTCACTACGATGCTGTACAGGCTGGTGATGATGCCCTGCATCAAAAGGGTCTACAGCATGACGCCTCCCCACTCGTTCCTGGGACTGAAGATCCGCATGCTAGCCCTTCCTCGAGAGCATATATACTAGCTCCTGCTCCTGCTCCTGCTCCTGCTCCCAACTATCTATCTCCAAAAGCCAACTCGGACCCCCTCCCACCTGGCCCGCAAGATAGGATCTACCGATCATGGTGCGCAAAACCCTCCTCTCCTCACTTTCCACCCTCGCCCTTACCCTCATCTCCTCAGTCACCGCAACCGAAAACTACATCGTCTCCGGAGACCGCTGGCACGATACATCCTCCAGCTACATCAACGCCCATGGAGCGGGTCTTCTCCATGACTCCTCCGCCTCTCTTTGGTATTGGGTTGGCGAGTACAAGGCAGCCTCAAACGGGTTTCAAGGGTTTTCTCTCTACTCTTCTTCCGATTTAATCAATTGGGATTCTCACGGACTCATCCTTCCTCCCTCCTCTTCTCTTCCGTTTCAAGTCGGAGAACGACCCAAGTTGATCAAAAACTCCAGCACAGGGGAGTATGTGCTATGGTTCCATGCAGACTCCTCCAACTATTCTTTGGCTAAAGTTGGAATTTGTTATGCGAACAAGGTGACTGGACCGTATACGTGTCCGGAGAACGGCGTGTTTAGTCCGTTAGGTATGGAAAGTAGGGATATGAACGTTTATGTGGATACGTATAACAACAATCAGGGCTACTTATTGTTTGCAACGAATGGAAATGCCGATGTGGGGATCGCAAAGATGACTAGCGATTATAAGAATCTTACTTCGCTGGTAGGAACCATTGCGTCCAGACTGGAAGGTTTTGGTGTCTTCCGTGACGATGCGGGACTCTACAATATGGTGGTCAGCAACCAAAGTGGATGGCAGCCAAATGCCAACTCTCTTTACACTACTCCTAATCTTGGAACCCAAGTTCCTACGTATTCGAACTACATTGCGAACAACGCCTACAACACGTATAACAGCCAAAACACTTTCGAGATTAGCCCAAACGACAATCTCGAGGTGTACCTGGGCGATAGGTGGTGGGAAACCGATCTCCAACAGTCTTCTTACGTCTGGTATCCGCTAGTGAACAGGCAGTTAGTACACGCTCCGCTTTGGAAACCCGACGCATCGAATGCTCGAGGATACTCTGCTCCCAGTAACAAAACCTTCCCTCTCTCCCCCTCGACCACTACCATCAGTGGTAATTCTCAAGCAGTCTTCTCTTCATGTTCAGCCTGCCCTTCAGGCCAAATCGCAACCTACGTCGGTGACGGAAACACTTTCACCCTAAACAGCGTCTCCACTCCCAGTGGCGCTGCTGGTAACGTTTGGATTAGTATTTACTATTCCAACCAGGACAGCTATCCTGATTGGAGGTTCGGTACGGTTAGCGTTAATGGAGCAAGTGCGCAAAATGTCACTTACCCCACAGGAGGTAGTCCAAATGGTGTACTGCAGGATACCCCAGTAAAGGTACAGCTGAGCGCAGGTAGCGGGAACAAGTTGACTTTTGGTGCAAGGGGTGGAGATTCTGCCGCTGATATTAGCCATGTTATTGTTTGGCAGAGTGATCAGTGATTCACCGGCCCTTTCCTTTGGGTTGCTTTCTTCTGCATACGATTGTGGTTCAATGATGCCTCTTTAAGTTCTTGCTAGGTGTTTATGTGGTGCTCTTGTAGATGAGAGAGCAGAAAACTCCCTTGAAGAACGGCTTGAGGAAGCTCGAGTGAAATTGAGGTTGAAGGATCGGTGAAAGTTGTGATGTGACGAGGACAGCGCGTCGCTGATAAAACAGACAAATCAAGAGCATTGTGCAAGCAGTCACAGACCGTTGCGATTCACCTTTCAGTCGCTTCTTGACGCACGTCATGTTGACTCAACTACCCTAAACGTTCTCCGCAAAGAGCAACAGAGACGGCAGCAAATGGGTGTGAGCAGTTGTCCAATGTCTAGCTTTCAAAGACATCAAGCACGATCGCCGTCCGAGGAGGGCTCATTCTCTAGCTCAACTCCGAAGCTCATCCCAGCAACACTCACCGTCTCTACGCATCGTGCACTGTCTCTTGATGACAAATCGCGTGACACTCACTAAGGACAACCTCAAAATAAATAAATAATCTGTTCTCTTGGTGGTCAAAAGGCTAAACTGTCGTCATGCTCTTACTTCACATCCCGTCACAACACAGATGCAAACCGGGATGCCACAAATTGTGTATTGAGCATTCATCCAATGAAAGTGTCGATAAAACTTTCTAGCGCCAGATAGCAGAGAAGTAACTAGAAGTCCTCGACTCATGTCCATGCTTCCCCGTCATACCTCTCAACCCAGCCTCAGCTGCCGAAGGCACATTTGTCCTATCTCCCAACCTCACCGACCCCAGCTCCTCCTCCCTAACACCACCCATACTCGCAGGCCTAATCACCCCTCCACCACCGGTAACTTGAGCAATCAACAACCCTACCTTCCCCAACCCTACTCCACCTGGTGCAGCACTAGGCATCAACAGTGGAGCAGCCGGCCTCTTTGGTCTGCCTAACTCGACCTGGTAGCGAGATGGTAAGATATGCATTCCTTCCCCTCGCTCGTAGTATTCTTCTTCATAGTGTAGTCTAGCTGCTTTGAGTTGGTCTAGGATCCCTTCATACAACTCGATTTCTCCGTCGAGAAGCGATCGGCCTAGAGCGTGATAATCTTGAACACGCTCTGTGTGAAGACGGTCCATTTCGGCAAGGGTCACGTTGAGGACTGTTTCGCATCTTGAGGCTACGGTTTCTGCTTCTTGTGGCGACATCTTTAGTTTAGGTGTGGGGTCTTCGTCGGTTAAAGAATCGTCTTCTTCACCCGTGGCCTCGCGGTAACGGGCAATCGTGGTTCGGTGAGTTTCCAACAACGCTTGTGCTGCCATATGCGGTCTTGAGAGCTCTTTGAACCGTTCATGCTGACGCAGTAGTGTTTCTCGCGAATGATGCTCGTAAATATCCCCAACGGACTGTAAAGTTTCAGCAGTGTTCTGAAGAGCAGATGTCAAATTGAGACACTCTTGACAGTCTTCTCTCCAACACCAAGCTCCGTGTTCGTTCGTCGCGCCTGTGGAGGATCGTTTGCCGATGTTACCCATTGGTGGACCGTGGATTTTGTGCGCATCATCATCCAGCATGAATCCTGCTTTGTTGTCTGAAGAAGGACCAGAACCGGCACCAGTCAACGTGCGCAGAAGGGTGTACGAAAGATCACGATAGTTAGAGGACGTAGCAACATGACCCTCACGATGGTTTTTGTACGCAGCAAGTACGCCATGCTTGCCTGCGTTGTGTTCACCAACACCGTTGATGGTCTTTTCGAGGGTTTTGAGGAATGTATCCATCCTTTCGGCTTCCAGAGCTGCGTCAGTGATGTCAAAGTTAAAGTCTGGATGCCAGGTCTGTGCGAACACACCTCCTTTTCCTTCAGCATCACTTCCTCGCAGCAGCGTCGCAGCGGTAGAACGCCATTCAATCTCGTCTTCGCAACTGAGGAAAAACCGAATAGGATCCGAGTATCGCAGTACGGGATGCCTGACAAGCCTCGAGATCCACATTTCGAGGTCAGCACGACGAGTCTCAATAAAGTCCGAAGCAAAGCGCCCCGAGTATTGCTTTTCCGGAAGTGGAGGAATCATTAACGCAGAGTAGTGCTTGGCAAGGACCTGATGCAACCATTCGAACTGAGTGAAGCGACGCACGACGGTGACTTGGGCTCCTGGAGGGTACGGTCCACCCAAAGGATCGTATGGGATACAACCTGTTCGACCGGAAAGGGAATCTGAATCGTCTCCAGTTCCGCCATTGCTAGGCTCATCAACCGGGTAAGTGCTTGTGACGTAATAGACGGTATACTCTTGCATGCCGTTCAGCTTCGTTCGCTTCTCGGGATGGTGCACCTGGACGAGGAAAGGCGGGCATTTGCTCTTCCACTTGGGACCTGCAGGACCAGCAACGACGAAGTGATGATTAGGGTCAGCTGCACTTGCGTCCTCGTCGACAGTCAGATCCTCTGCGTCTTGAGAAACTCCGTCTTGGAAAGCGACACCAGTGTGTGCTGCATGCACAGCTTCATCCTCCTCCACAACCTCCGTCAGCGCCAGAGCACCAGTGGCAGGCTTCCCGCCTGACACCTTGCGAGCAATGCTACGCGAGCGCTCATCCTCGCTGGGATCCGAACTGGCCAACACGTAGTCTTCGGCTCCACTGGTGACGAAGCTGGCGAAGCGATTGAAAGTCTTCTTGCCAAAGATGCTGCCTTTCCAGTCCGAACCAGTTGTGGTGGTGGTTGACTCAGTCTCTGGCATCGACTCAATCGAATGAGGATTGCTGTTTGCTGCGCCATTTGACGCAACCGGAAGAGGATCCGCTATTGTCGGAGGCTCAGCAGCGGCGACCGCAGACCAGCCAATCGGATAGGCCTCAGTGGAGGCTGCAGGCATTCCGTCGATGGCTGTTGTGGTCGCGTGGCTGAACACGTCTGCTACCGGCTCGTGATCAATGATGCTTGCAGTCGAAGCCTTGGCTTCTGATGGCTCGACTTGCTGCCACTGTGCAACGTGGTTGCCAATGTTGAGGAAAGCACTGACGGAGATTGAGGTGTGCGGCTCAAGTTCGACCGGCTCCTCGGACCACGGCGTCGAAGCTGAAGTAGCAGGATCTTGACTGTCAAGCGAATCATGCGATTGTGTTCTTGCCTGTTCTACTGCCTGACCTGCACTCTGTTGGACGCCTGCCGGAAGCACGCGAGACTGCGCTCGTCCAACAGATCCCATCTGACGAGTTGGACTCGCAACAGGAAGCGTTGAGCCCCTCGCACTCTTCGTCTGATCCCTTCTGGACGAAACAGCAGGAGAAGGCAGCTTCAACCTGCCTACTTCAATATCCTGGCCAAGATTGTCAGGCGTGCTAGGCGGCTCAACCCCAGCACTCGCCGGCGGTGAACGAGTAAAGTCCTGAATGTAGCAATACCATCCCTGCGGAATGAGACCTCGCGTCGGGACACCATACTCATCCCACACAATGCCGAGACTCCAACCACCAGCTAAGGACTCGTTGACGATGTCAAATGGCTGCCCAGCACGGATGATGAGCTCGTTGAAGGCGGCTTCACCTTCAAAGTCGTATAGCGCGCGTGCTGGCTTTCCAATGCCAGGTTGAGGCATGCGAGCCCTGATCGGTCGTGGTGCATCAAGTGTTGATATTGTGGTGGGTGAGAGCGCCGACCCTACTGCTATTGCGGAAGCTACTGCGGTCGAAGCAGGCTCGGACTTCTGCCTGTCGCTGTCACCGGACTTCGAGTCGACGACGATGGAAGGTGGGCAAAGCGGACTCGGGCTAGCCTTGATTGCGACAGCATCACCGCTGATACCCGAATTTCGGCGTGGATTTGCATCAATCGTAGCTTCTTCCTCGATCTCCTCAACAGTCGCTGACGAAGCCAGGTTGTTGCTGCCACTTACACTGTCAGCCAGTGCGGCTGCACCAGTCACAGCCACATTACCACGCAAAGCCTTCGGCAAACTCGCAGCCTTGGTCGGACCAGCGTTGCTTCGCGAATCAAGATCGAAGAAGCTCCCATCATTGGCACGCAGATGGTGGCTCGATCTTGAGAAACTGATATCATCATCATCAGCCAACAGCATCGATGGCTCTCTGGATTTCTCCGTCCCTGCGTCTGACTCTGCCTCGGAAGCTGATCGACTTGCAATCGAAACGTCCGAAGGCGAAGGCGAGATCGCTGTACCCTCACGATCAGCATCACGGCTGCGATCCAAAGACTGGGGACTCGCAGTAAAGATGGAGCTGAGGCGCCCTTTCTTGCCTCCACTAGTCATGCGAGTGGAGCGACGACGAGCGGTGCCTGCGATAGTTGCGTTGCGAGAGAAAGTGGAGGATGCAGCCACATCCTGGTTCGAGTTGCTCGGTCGAATGGTGGCCGAGCTGTCATCACGGTCGTGCTGAGATGTGACATTGAGGATTCTTGAGTTGGTGAGACCGTTCTTTGCTGATGTTGAGCGAGAAATGGTGGCGTCTGTGTCGATCGTTGAAGGCTCCTTTGAGAGAGCCTGCGTGCCGAACGCATCAGTGAGAGAAGGGTAAGAGCTCGAAGGGGAGGGCTCGAGTGTAAGGCTGTTCGAGTTGGGTGGGATGACGACGGCATCCATCTTGAGTGCATCAACCAGTAAGCCTTGAGTCGCTGTTTGGTAGATGGAAGTATCCTCGCTCTGATCTGTGCCGTTGGGTGAGTGCCCATGCGCACCGAACGGCTTGTCGATGATGATGGAGGAGCGTGCATCAGCAAGATTGAAAGCGCCGGCGATGCCGTTGAAGCGATCGCCTGTGATCTGTGCTTGCAGCATGCGGACCTGATTGCTGATCCTTGGCTTGGCTTTGGCACCAGTGTGTTGTGGCTTGATGCCAGTGTTCTGCTTCGACAATGCCACGGGAGTGGAAGTGGAAGGAACAGCAGCTTCGAACATGGTACGCAGATTGCCAACACGAGATGGACCCTCGCCGTTGATCGCGATCGGCTCGTTGCGAAGCAGACGAGCTGTACCTTGCCCGGGATCCTGATCATCTTCGCTTGCATTGAAGAGTCTGCTAACGGAGGGAGCTGTATAGGTTCGACCACGTGCCGCAGGTCGGGAAGTGGACCGATGGACATGGTCTTCATCTTCGCTTGAGGTGTCGAACGCATTGACAAAGTGGTCTACGGACGATGCATCATAGCCATGTCCGAGATGTGCACGGCTGATGGTGCCTTTGGAGGGTGGTTGGTCCGTGAAAGACCCGCCAGTGGTGTGAGTTTTGATATAGTGGCGAAGAGCAATCGAGTTGCAAGTGCCCGTGAAAGCGGAGGAGAGATGCGATGGTTTTGGAGGAGGCGATGGACGAGAAAGGGCGGCGGAGTGACTAGATGCGATGGAGCGGACAGAGCCTGTTGGAGAGATGTCGTTGGTCATTGTGGAGATATGCTGTATGTATGGAGCAGAAGGACGATACTAGGCCATGAATCCGTGAGACTTGTCGTGAAGAGATGATGATATTGGTAGATGCCAGGAGCCGAGAGGAGACCGATGAGTGTGCGTGTGAGTTTGGTACGCTGCCAACGGATGAGGAGAAGAAGGCGAATCGAGCGGAATGCTTTGCCATTGCTCGTGGGTCGATGATGCCAGAGAAATGCTACCACCCTAAAGATGAATGGATGAGAGTCAAGAAGCAACCTTGGACGTCGATGCCAACAAGTGCACCGTCCTCTTGCCCATCCAAACTCACACGCTCTGCCGCACTTTGCTCCTCTCCTCACGCACAACTTCGGCATAGCCGACAAGGATGATTCAGGGTCCATTGCTTTCTTTCTTTCTCTGTCAAACTTGCCCGGCGAGACAGAGAGAGAGAGCCTTGACTGCGTCGGCATAACTATTGTGTGGAGAAGCGAGGAAGCTGAAGCATAAAAGTGCAGATTCGTGCATCAAATTTGTATTCAAACCCGCAGCCAGGTTTGTATTGCGAATCCCACTTGTCAGCCCCTGTCTTTCAAACGGTTGCGTAGAGAACGGAAACCCAACACTTTTCCCAACCCGAAAGCGCGTCAGAAAAAGCGTTGTTCTTGGCTCGAAGCCACCAAACTTCCTCCTCAACGCCGGTCAAGGTCAGTCACACGAGGGATATCGATCAAGGGCGCATAGCATATCATGTTGATTGGGAATGTGGTTCTATCCGATTGCAAGTGAACAGATGGAGCATTTTAACGATGATGAGCGGACAAGAGACTTGTACATAATTGAGACATTGTTTCTATGGTTGCGGAACTACGAGGAGAAATGCTGATTTGCTTACAAGACTTTCATGAGATGTGCTTGCTGTTGATTTTTATTGGGATGCATGATGCCAACACGGCTATAGGTGCTAAATTCTGGAACAGCCAAGGAACGGAGCGTCGATGGATTGTTGTTAGCCTAAAAGAACATGGTATGGTCGAGATATTGCAATCAATGCTTTCAAGCGGCAGGGAGATAAGAGGCACTGATGAGCTTGGCCAGCCATCTACCAGCTTCGTCTGCTGCTAAGTCCACGATCACCGCCGACAGTCGAAGTGCTCGAAGCATATCCGTTCCCTCCATCGGAGAGGTGCCCATCAACGTGCTTTTCGTCGAGCTCTCTCCTTGTCGTCTCTCTACGCATCGACACGCGCTCCGCACTACCAATGCCGCTTCCATAAGCGTGGCTACGAGGAGAGGCATTGCCAGTCACCTCGGTCAGCGGAGAGCCAGTGTCGAACGTCTCGCTTGCATTCGGCATCGGGACTAAGCTGGTCTTGCTCTCGCTAGCGTACGAAGAAGAGTGATGATTCGTCGAATTCTGCGATACTTGCATCGAGCTCATACCTGCACCGAGGTAATGCGACGGCGATGAAAAGAGGTTGCTATCACCGGCGTGCGGCGAGGGATGGTGCGGCAGTCGGTCGCTGTCGCCGCTTTCATCCGCTCTTGAATGGTTGCTGTTGCTGAAGGCAATTGGAGGCAGCGCACCGTTGCAGCTTAACTCGTTGCCGTGCGACTGGTCAAACAGACCGAGACCAATACCGTTCGGCTCGCCGTGTGGCTCAGCTTTGCCATCGTGACCTTCAGCAGGGTAAGCGTCTTGCATGTGCATGGTCGATAGGCGTCGTCGAGGCTCGTCATTCGGACTGCGGTGATGTGTCGGATATCCCGCATCGCCTCCTCCTCCGCCATTGAGGAGTGGCAAGCCATGCTGATACTGCTGCGGCTGATGGTGTTCTTGCCAGCGTGCGCCGTTGGGATCCATCGAGAGCTGCCGGTTAGACAAGCCTGATGGCGTGCTGTTCGAAGAGCCTCCACCACCTTCTCGCCTCATCAGCTCCGCCCTCTGACTCCAAGCAGGAGAGGCAAATGCGTGCGTACTAGGGACTGAAGGACTTTGCTCGCTCCACTCACACTCGGAAGCGGAAGCTCCCATATGCATCGAACCATGGGTCGCAACTGAACATCCACCGTGCCAACTCTGCGCATAAGGCGCCGCATCGTGACCTGCATGCACCTTGCTCTCGTACTCGACACCAGGAGGCAATGTCGACGTGCCGAAAGCAGACCGAGACAGTGGGACGCCAAAGTGGCCTGGCTCGAATGCAACCGGTGCAAAGCCGGCAGCTGGTGAAGGAAAGAACGACGGAGGCGGAGACATCGATGACGAGCCCATCCTGTTGTGATAGTCTGCCGCCGTTCCTGGCTCAGGCCATCGAGGCGGATAACCCATCTCGCCCATCTCGCCGCCACCCTGCATGCCGGCAGGGTAGGACGAAGGATAAATGTAGCGAGGTGCATTGCAAGCGCTATATAGCTGAGCAGCTGCAATGTGGTGATCCTCATTGTGGCGTACCGAGGTGGGGGTCGCTGGATACTCGGTGAGTCCCACCCGCAAGAGTGGGTCTTCGAGCATGCCTTGTTGGTTCATATCGGCGTAATGACCGCCGAGGTGATGCTGTGGGTGATAAGCGCCGTGCTCCTGCTCGCGCTTTCGAACGCCACCTTCCAGCTTGCTTCCATCGACCTCTCTCCTCTGTGCGCCAGCGTGGCTTGCATTGTTGCTGGACGAAGAAGCGCCAGAAGCAGTGGTGCGCATCTTGCTCTGCAGACGACTGCGACTGGTATGTGTCATGGTATGACGGTGCATTACATCTTGACGTCGAAAGCACTTGCCACAGATGTGACACTCGTACTTGATCGAGTCGTCGTGCGTGGCTCGATGACGAAGCATGTGCTCGTGGCGCTTGAAAACCTTGCCGCAGAAGCAAGTGTACGGAGGTTCCGGCTTGGGTCCATAGCGACGACGCTTCTTGCGGATGACACCATTGATGTTGCTGCCATTGCCCATATTGCCGGTAGGGCCGTTGGCAAAGAGCGTTGTACCATTCATGACCTGCTGAGAACCAGTGGCGCAACGCGTGGCGTAGCCAACCCGCATTGCGCCTCTCGAGGCGACAGCTGCTGCCATCGCTGCTTGGTCTTGACCGCCAAAAGCTTGGTTGTTGGAGGTCAAGAAGGAAGAGGCTGGAGAAGCAGATGACCAGTCGTTGGTCATAGCAGCTCTGACGTGAGGCGGGATGAGATGAGCAGACGAAGAGGAGGACGAAGAGATGGAAGCTTGGGTGGGATCAAACAATGAGGAAGTGGCGTTGTGCGAGTCCATATGACGCGTTGAAGTTCGCGTGGTCAACATTGACATGTCTACAGAAGACGAACAGCGAGCGAGTTCAGCTCGATTCTATGGAATGTGATTGTGACTTGTGAGAATCGAACTCGACCTGATTGGAAGGCTTTTCTCAATGTGACGTTCCGCACGCACACAGGAGGACAAGCACAAAGACTAGGTAGGACGAGGGGGTTGACAGACAGCGTAAGGTTAGACACTATGCGAGCCGAACGATGTTGTGTCCGTCGATGGGTGGAGCAAGCGGTTTCGATGCAGAGTTTGACAATTCCACTGAAAGGGAGACGTGGCGACGCGCAGAGATGTTGGACAGTGCCAACGCAAGCGCAGTATGGCCTGACGTTGAGACAGCGAATCAGCTTTGACTGCGGCGTTGACGTGTGTTGGAGCTGCAGGTCGAAGTGTGTGTGCAGAATGCGCAAAAGCAACCAATGACAGGCGATTGGCTCTTATGACTCTGACTTTGGGACAGACGAGAAGGGTTGAAGGAGGCCGATGGAAATGGCTGACGCAAGATAGAGAAGAAAAACACGGTTGGAGGGGCTCGGGGCGAGGACTGCAACATTGTGTGTCTGCTATTAGTACGTTTTCAGATCCTTCAGAGATCTCGCTGCGAAGCGAGATCAGGGTGACTAGAAAGCAAGAGGAGCCAGGCGACCGGGGACAACAAATGAAGCTGGTTACCGCCTTGCACCGAGGCTGTGATGCAGTATTTTGCATCTCAACGGCGGATTTAGGTCCCGGTCTAGTCCCGCTCTCAGCTCTTTGCAAAAGCCTTGAATCACTGCGCCGGTCACACGAGAGAGAGAGAGAGAGAGAGAGAGAGAGAGAGAAAGAGAGAGAAAGAAGGACAGTGAAAGACGTTTGAGGAGAAGAGCGAGGCCAGAACACCAGATATCGGACCAAGATTGAGGACAGGAGCCCGCAAGATCCAGAAAGTACTGACATCACACACTATCCACTCGGCACCCTATTGTTCCATTTGCACCATATGAAAGCACCAACTTGCCAGGATTGGCTTGATATTGTGCATCTATCAGCGCATTGCCACAGTACTACTGCTGTTGCTGTAGCTACAATGAGCTCGCACGGCAACTCGGGATCGTGCACGATTGACAAAGGGGACGGCAGCATCCAGCCTCGTCTCTTGGCCCTTCAGTAATTTGAGCTACCGCTTCCACGCATCATGCAGCTTTATTTGTTCGAACCGATGGCATGAGAAAGGGAGCTGCAGTCCGAAGAAGGCTAGTGCCGTAACTACCCAAGCTTTCTAGCTTTTAGCGTGGTACCTTCTCGGTCTGGCAACTTGCATGCGAGCACACAAGCAAAGGAACATTGTTGAGCCAGCTTTTCTGTGTCGCCGGTGAGACAATGCCAGCACATGGAAGTCGGAGCCCGGTCAAGAAGAGCCAAAAAGCAGCTCACGCTGATCTGAGAGCTCCGTGTCTGCCAAAGTTCGGGCTAAAAAGTTACCGATCCACCACTTCATTGTTCGGCGACAGCAAAGCGCCCAGTCTCATTTCACTTTGCTCACTCACTTGCACAAATGCAGGCGGAGCGGTCTGTGCTCTTGCATTGTAGCAGCTGCATAGGGCAGGGCTTGGCTTTTTGCAGTAAGTGCAGGTCCTCGTCTCATCAGCCTATCAAAAAGGCACACTCAGCACCGAGCAACGTACTGCTTTACCAGAAATCGATGCCGCAGGAGACTAGAGTATATTATGTCGCTGCTGACTTCATCTCGGTGAGAGCACGACTATCCCTTTCTTTCGGATGCAATCTTGAGCGCGGCGTAATACGTCTCTTCAAGCTTCGCCTCTTTGGGCCATGCCATGCTGTGTTGTGCGATACACATGGCTGCCGCAGGAACAGGAAAATCACTGACCGGCCCGATTCGACGACCCGAAGACGACCAATGCCGCTGCAGGCGAGATTGAAATGTGGAAATTTGGGCACGGGGGAGAGGAAAAGCCACCATCATCATTCTTCGAAGTTGGAACAAGGGCGAGAGCTCGTTTAAAGGTTACAATGACTATGAACTCAGCTTGGCACACCGCGATGCTCTGTAGATGTGAGGCGCCTGGGAAAAGAAGGTCCAAGCGGTGACCGCTCTCACCATCTCACTCAAGACTGGCACCGATGAGGAAGGCACGGTGAATGGGACCAGAAGTGATTCAGGATGCTCGAGCTCGACAGCTGGGCAACCTTGAACTTGGGTGGCCGTAGCGAGCTGTCGAGGCTCAGAAGCTTCCACTGCGATGCCGATGCAAAAGGCGTGTGTGCAAAAGGTGGTAAGGGAGTCCGGATATTCGCGGGTGTGTGTGCACGGTGGAGCGAAGGTAGCGTGAGAGCGGTCTGGGCCAGTTGCATGACAATGAAGCTCTGTTAGTCCAGGTGCTAGACGCCCGGACATGTTCATGCTCGGTATGAGTTCGGTTACTTTGGTGGTGATGGTGGTACATTGTTCCCCTTTTGTCTTTTTACTATCTTGACGTTGCATCGGAACTGGGTGTGGCTGCCACATGCCAGCGTTGCATGAAAGTTCCGGAGGTGAAGAGGTGGTTGAGAGATGATGTGCTTCTCCTCACTTACAGTGCGTGCGGACCGGATCGACGACCCTTTGTGAGCGAGAAAAAGTCTCCGAGATGAGTCGGTGAACACGAAGGCAGAGCACAATAGCGTCGTCCATCAATGCCGTCTGCGTCGATGGTTTGCTCTTCCTTTGTGCTGATCGGTCTCATGTCAAAGGCCTAATCAGTGAGGAAGTGTGCTTGTGACATTCGATTGTAAGCATCTAACAAAGGTAGAAAGCGCTCGAGCCTCTGAAACAGATTGGAAAGAGATGTCTTAGGCTTGTCATCATGCTTTGGCCCGGATGACATCGGCCTCTCACAGGCTGCCGTGCTTTGCACTCGTTTTCAGCTTTTGTTTTCTCTGCATTTCCTCGTATTTCCTTTTTGTCACCGTGCGTCGCAAGGAAATGACAACTGCTGTTCAGAGCGCCTCCAGGACGCCACGGCTCTCGTTTCGGTCTAAGCATCGAGATTCCATCAGAGCTTAATCTGTTGCCTCAACTTCTCTTCCGTTGACAGGGGCTCGAGTATCAGGCTCATGCTGACTTTGGCTGTTTTACATTTGCATTGGCGTAACGTGTCTGCGGCGCTGGACTGAGGAGGCGCGTGCATTCAGCGTAAAATTTGTTTACTTTCTTAGTCCTGTTGCAGCCTCTTTTTCATCTTCATCTTCAGCTGGTGATGGGATGATGGGACCGAAGAACGAGGGCAGAACCCACCATCCTTACTGTAGAGTGGGAGGTCCTGGCAACCGCCTTCGCATACGCTTCCTGGTTCGTCGTGGTGTCCTCCTTGAACTTCAGAACAAGCTGATTCCAGAGCTTGGATCCTCGCGCCATGCCTCTCTTCCCAATTGTATTCTCTGCACCCTTTCGGTGAAGCAGCGATGTTGCCTCAAGGTCTGTTTTCCTCTAGCCTGGGAAAGGGTGCCTGAATGTTGCGATGTGACGTAGGAGTCAATGTGATTAAAGAGAGGCAACGTTGCTTGCGGAATCAAACCCTCCTAGTTCCAGTGTATCCATAGCATGATACAAGATCAGGCGATGCCAAGTGGTAGAGCTCAGCAAGAAAATTGGGCTGAACAGTGTCGAGAAGAAACCATTCGCGCCTTGGAATGATCTAGGAAGATCTTCGTCGCATGAATCTGGTACGCTCGTGTCAGCACATATTGGTGGGCTCAGTCAAGGGATCCCAGACATTCGGCTGTTGAGGACACGAAGATGGGCGCATCCAAAGACCTTGTCGCAGCGGGCAGCGGAGCAGCGTCACACGGTCCATCGATGATGCCGAAAGGGGAATTTGTTAAGTCGGCTTAAATTTTCGGCAGTCAGAAAGGCTTTTTTTTATGCGGAGAACTTTTTGTAGAAATGCTCTCCTCCACACAAAGCTCTCATCCAAACCCACGACCCACGCTTTCTTCCTTCCACCTCTTCTGCTTCCTCATCTTCCGGATTCACCCACAATCATCATCCGATCCAAGCAGACTCCCACAATTCTACGCAACCAAAGCTTTGCACTTACTGAGCCAGCCTCAGGGTGAGAAAGCTTTATCATACCCCGGTGGGTCGCACAAAGAGCCTAGCTGCTGGCAGCAAAGGGTCAGCTCAGGTGGGAAGAGAACGGATAAGATAAGGGGCTTCCATCCTCTCACGCAGGGATCCCCATCGCAATTCCAACATGACAAAACGCACCTCCTCCTGGCAAGCTCTCTATCGAGCACTACTTCGATCTTCATCGGCATCGGTACGGTTCTCACGACCTGCAGCACGCAACACACGGCGCTATCTACGAGACGACTTCACCGCTGCTCTCTCCCCTACCTCACTAACAAAGTCCGGCATCGGACCGAAGACTGCCCACAATGACAGCGCCAAACACACCAGTGCATCAAACCAAGATGACAACATGCGCCGATTGACAAGCAACACGCTCGCATTTCACTTGTCGGCATCGTTGTACTCCAACGTGGCTCAACAAAACCCGGAGTTGAATGCAGCGACGAGGTCGGGGTCCCCACCAAGCCCCCCTTTGTGCGTGGGAGTAGCAGATCAAACCCGACAACGTGCAACCATTTCCGAAAGCGATGGTACCTCCTCAACGCCAAGCAAAGCTGCAGGTCGCTTTGCCCACCGTATAATCTCCAACCTCTCCAGTCTCACCTACCACCATCTCTCGCCACATACCCAGATGCAATCGCCTCAATCATCCCACTTGCGCGCAAGTAGAGCTGCACTTCGCAAGCCGAAAAAACTCTCCTCTCTTGCACGTGTGCTTGGTAAACTCGACTCTCCTATCCCTGGAGAGGAACCAGACTTGTACACTGCCTTGCAGGAGGGAAAAGGAGAAGAAGAGGCGATGTTGAATTTGGCACATATGAAACTACCCTTTTTGTTGCCAAGTCCCAAGCCGATTAGAGGGCCGAAGGAGGCTAGGTTGAGGATTTGGGATGGTCAGGGTCCGGAGAAGGTTGCGTCTGAGGGGATGTTGAGTCAGATGCAGGAAGATCTAGATACAGTGGAAAGGTTATTGGAAGAAAGCGGAAAGAAGGGAGGCGGCTGGGATGGGGGAGGGGCAGGCAAGCAAGTTCAACAGTTGAGAGAGGAGGCAGATGGGTTGAGGAAGAAGACTAAGGCTGCGAGCAAGGCGCTAATGCAGGCGGAGGAGAAGAGGAAGTTGGAGGACGTGGGAGTGAAGCATTTGGCGGAGTTGATTGCGGCGGCACAGGACAGAGAAGGCTTGATGCTAGGAAAAGAAAGGTGGATGAGGAGGGCGAGGGGGGAGTATTTGCCTCCATAACCAGCTCGTCTGTCCTACACAGCATCACAAGCAGTTCAAACCAGCAGTTTTATTCGGATGGCAATCGTAATGGCATCCCCAAACACTGCTATCATCACTTCTAAACTCTGGAAGATGTGTCTTGAGAAGCCTCGTTGCCGACAACCAGGGCCCAACCTCACAAAAACCTCGGATTTCGGCGCGTTTGTGTGAGTGTTTGGTTGCCGGAGACGCGTTTAGCTTGTGTTGTTCTCTCCCTGTACGACCCTGTATGATCTCTAACTCTTGCCTTTCCTCCTCTTCCTCCTTTCATCTCTTCTTCCTCTTTATCGAAAAGATGTTTCCTCGCCCTCGACGACCAGCCTCGTTCCTCCACAACCCCTCAGCAGCAGCCGCAAACCTCGGTGATGCATCCGAAGAAGAATCTCTAGTAGAAGACAGTCTAAATCACGCTGGACCTTTCCAACCATACCGCTCTTTACCCCAACCTAGCCTGTTCACCCGACCTCGACCACCACCAGAGGCAGATGGATTCGCATATGCTGCTACACCCAGTGGCATGCCGAACTTGCGGTCGGAGATCATACCGCAAGGGATCTTCAACCAGCCACCAGCACAACCTCCTAGGATAGAACGACACCGATACCGACCCCCTTCCCGACCACCGCAGCACCAGCAACAGCAGAGGATGTTCGGTAGTCCACCAGCCGACGTTTCCGGTTCTGTTTCGGGTTCGTTTAGCTTTGCTCCCCGAACACAGCTCTTGCCTGCATTTACCGCTCCACAGATAGCTAGAGGTACACTCTTCCCTTCCTCTCCGCCTCAACAACTAGGGGCGAGTCTGGATAGTGCAGCAATAGCGATCGAGCAACGAATCCAAGCTGCACGATCTGCAGCGGGAGAACCGTCGGCGAGAGTTGTTTCTTTTTCCTCTCACCCGCAGGTGACTACACCTCAAAACGCACCAAACGTAGGAAACGCATATCCCGAACCCCCACGAATGCCCGCTGCTGTGCGTGGGAGAGGTGGGCGGAGGGACGGTGCGGATGCGAGTACATCCCATCTCGGCCGTCGTGCCGGTGGGAATGCGAATGCTCCGTTTTCGCATCAACAACATCAGGTGGTGATGCCGACAAGGTTGTTCGCTCTCCCACCGGACACCGCTTCTCGCTTCCCACCTTCCCCACAAGCAATTGCACACCCGTTCAACACGCCTCAACATAATCCTCCCCTTCATAGCCACGAATATCATCAGGCAGCAGCAGCAGCAAGTGGCCCATCAACGTCGATTTCAATCTCAGCAGATCCGACAAATACAACCTCCCATTCAACCTCGCATTCGACGGAATCGCCTGAGGTAGTGAGGTTGAGAAAATGGGATGGAACCCAAACAACCGTTCCGAGTTACATTCTGTCTCGTCAAGCGGAGAACGTTGTAGAGGACACTTTCGAGTATGATACTGTGCATCGCTTTCATCCTCGCCACATCCTTGATCGGCAAAAGAATCGTGTTACTGGAGAGGAAGGCGAAGGAAAGGAAGGGGAAATCCAAGATGTGGATGCACTACAAGCAATACTAGAGACTCAGTTGGGGTTGAGGGGTATGCATGGTTGGTATGGATACACGTACACGAATCCCAAACCACCTACACAGTCTACAAAGGCGGTACAAGAAACGGAAGAAGAACCCAACAGCAGCACCGGTGGGAGAACTTCAAGGAAAAGACGTCGTTCGAACTGCCCTTCCTCACCACCTTCATCATCCCCCACCACCCCTTCCACTACCAGAGCAGAGGAAGAAGAAGAAGAAGAAGAAGAAGAAACGAGCCCAATAGTAGTATACGACACATTCGGACGCATCCGTGGCACAGTCGTCCTCCCATCCTACTCCAGACGAGGGGGACCACACTTCCCACTCCCCTCGCCCAAGGAAACTTTTGGAATCAGACACAGCGCTGGTTCTCACTTGGTCTTGACTGCTGGGTCTGCGTTATCGACGAAAGAGGCAAGACTGGTTGGTCAAGTGGAGTTCGTCAAGGTGCGATACGATGAACTACAGACGCCAAAACGCAGTGTGGGATCAAAGGAAGCTGAATCCGAATCAAAAGAGAGGATAGGAGGCACCGTCAGATCAGAAACCTTCTACTCCGAGCTGAAGGCGAAACGGAAAGCTTTGACAAAGTTTCAACGCACACACAGACCTGCCCTCCTCAAAGGATTGCAGAATGCTTTATTGGATAGCACATCTCTCACTTATCCTTCTCACTACTAAGATGATGCGGAAGCGTATGATGGTAATTGCGTAATTAATCTATAAGAACAAAACCTGAATCTAAGTGCGAATCCATACAAAATGCTTGAATCTGTTACGTTTGCGAGACACCGGGTCCACTCTCATCTCGAGGACTACTCTTTCTACTTCCTCCAGCATCCGAACTTGTGTCTAACGCTGAACCATTCCTAGCTGCCTCCAGGACGGAATTTGACATTCGAAGCCCTAACAGTTTCTCCACTGGATCTTCCTTTCCCCCACTTTGCTGCTGAGAAGCGAGCGGACTGGGCTTGATGGGAGCGCCAAATGGAGCGCCTAAGCCCGTTGAAGCTTCGTCCTGAGCAGGTGGGGTGGGCGTATCAGCTTTCTCACGCAACTTTGCCATAGCTGAAGCAGCCGCACTTCTTTCCGCTGTCATACTGTGACTACGACGCGAGTCTTTTACTAGGGCCGTACCTTTGACGCTGAGTCTAGCGATGGTGTTGGCGAGTTCTTCGGCGCTTTCTCCTGCCGGCATGCCACTGGTGGTGGATTGTCCTGTGGCAGCTGCAGCTGAGTCATTCTTGCCACTGCCGCCGCTAGCGCTGCCTCGAGAAGTCCCGCCTGAAGGAACCGAAGCGAGTGGTGTTACAGCAGGAGAATTAGTAGAAGCTCTTCGTGTGAGATGCGAAACGTTGCCAGCAGCGACCATCGGGAACGGATAGCCATCTTCCATCGAAGGCTCCAGCCCACCTGGCGTTCCATCGGATGCTCGACGAGTCATTGAATGAGAGCCAGCGCCGCCTACTGCTGCTCCATCCTCGTCGTGGTTGACAGCGGCATACGATGGCCTTCTTGGCCCGGCACCAGGCGTCTTTGCAATATTACCTCGCACATCATCCACCACTTCGTCTGACGATGTGTCCAACGCACTCGACCCAAACATTCCTGTCGACTGTCGAGTGGGATTGATCCTACGCGGTCCAGAAGGCTGTGACCAATGAGGAGTTGCAGGCTGCTGCTGACCATACCCGGCCCCAGACATGGGGAACATAGGATTATATCCATCAGGCGCACCGGGAGCAGCGTTCATGTAGTCACCCATGTTGGCACCCGTGTCGCCATTCTGAGCTGCGTTGGCGGCGGCAGCTACACCAGCACCCATCTGCGTGTTTCCACCAGCGTCGGGACTGAATGGACCGATGCCTGGACTCAAGAATTGCGGGTATAGAGGAGGCGTCTCAGGGACTTGGTGGAACGTGAAGCCTGGCATGCCTGGTGTCATGGGCACATGCATGCGTGCCGTCATGGGGCTCATTTGCTCTCCTTGCACAGCGCCACCTATCGCAGTACCAAAACTGTTGGCAAAGTTGGATGAAGGCAGCTGAATGCGTCCCGGGTGCTGCGAGTTTGTCGGAGCTGGTGGTGAGACAAGACCGGGCGACATGAGATCTGATGGCAAATAAGACGACGCCGCACCGAAACCATTGGCGGGAAGCGTGATAGACATGCCATAGTTATTCTCTCGTCCAGATGAACCTGATGTCACATCTTCGTTGTTGCTTGACTCTGCAGATGCAAATAGGCCAAATGATTTGACAGTCGATTCGCAGCGATCTGAGGCCGTGCTACCATCGGCATTCTGACGTGAGCCGTTTAAAGCATTGCCAAACATGGAGAACGATGGTTGAGAGGATGCACTCTGAAGCACTCTGCCTGCATCGCCAAAAGCGGAGAAGCCAGGGGCCATCTGCTGCTGTTGCTGTTGCTGTTGTTGTTGTTGCTGTTGGCCGAACCTCTGTTGCTGCTGCTGCTGCTGCTGCTGCTGGAGTTGCATCAAAGGCTGGTACTGCGAGCCGTATCCAAGTGATGCTTGGTTCTGCGATTGGAATGCGGCCTGACCGAAGGGTGCTTGCGCCTGTTGCTGCTGCGGCAAGAATGCTCCTCCGGCTCTTTGCTGTTGTTGCTGAGGGTAAGGTTGCTGCCCAAAGCCTCCTCCTTGCATCGGAGCAGCAAGAGTCGGTGCACGCACGTTGTTGGTCATATGGGACGGCAAAGCAGCAGCTGCAAATGCACCAGTATACTGAGCCGGATTGCCCGGCGTGCCGATGGCAGGACCGCTCTGTGCTGCAAAGCGATCAAAGTGCACCTTGAGCGTTCGACCGCTGTACTCGTAACCGTGGTAGAGGCGCACAGCATTCTGCGCATCCTCTTGCGAGGCAAACAAGACCGTGCCGAAACCTCGACTTCGACCATCAGGACCAATAGCTACGTCTGCACGCTGAATGTTGCCCGCAGCTCTGAAAAGATCCTTGAGATCCTGCCATTGACAGTGGAAAGGCAAGTTTCCAACAAACAGCACTCGACCGGCATATGATGTCGTTGGCATCTGAGAGTTGAATGGTTGCGACTGCATCGATGCCATGGCTGGGTTGCCAAGTGCGCCGGGTCCTTGTGGCCAAGGTGCCATCGCAGTTGCGCCCGGAAAACCTGTAGGCACCGACGAACCTCCGGCGTTCGATGAGTAGAGGCTGGAAGCTACATCATTCGCACCGGTCCCCCACAACCCGGGAGCAGGCGAGAGGCCGGCCATTCCCACACCTCCGCCTACATCAGAACCTCTGCGCGAGCCCATCGGATTCGCGCCAAGCGACTGCACGGCAGATATGGTACGATGTTGCACTGGAACACCTCCAAAGCCGGAATCAAAGCTAGACCCAGGCCGCTGACGATTGGGAGTGTCGTTGCCGGAGGTTTGGAACATGGCTCGCTCCAACTCGGAAGTTTGATTGCCGCTGCTAGCACCGAGACTCGCTTCGGGAAGCGTGGAGAACGAAGCTCGAGTGGAGATGGGCTGTGAAGCATCGACAGCACGAGCGAGAGGAGAAAGCGCATTTGGCGAGCCAGCACCGGTGAAGGAGCCAGGAGAGTAACTGTGATTGCTGCCACCACCACCAAAACCGGACGGCACGCCAAGGAACTGGCTCGAACCGTTCCCGATGTGGATTGGTGACGGACTGGCACCATTGCCAAGACCATTGGTGGCGAGTGTCGGCATGACAGCACTGCCAGCTACACCGACAAGGGTACCGCTGCGATCGACGCGAACGTCGAGCGTCCTCCCTTGCCAGGTGAAGCCGCAGAGCATATCAGCAGCTTTGATAGCATCCTGCTCGGTTGCCATGAGGACGGTACCGTAACCCCGACTTCGGTTGTCTGCACTGAGCGAGACGTCGGCGCGAAGAACAGTTCCGGCTTTGCGGAAGAGATCCTTCAAGTCTTGCCATCGGACGCGATAGGGGAGGTTGGAAACAAGCAGCTGCGTACGCGGATCTGATGCAGAGAGGGGGCCAGTGCTCGGTGCCGGTGCGGCCAGGCCGGAAGTCGGATCAAAGTTGCCAGATGCTTGATTGCCAGATAACGGGTTGGATGCGTCTCCAGTCGGATAGTTGTTGCCGCTGTAGAAGGTCGCCGAATCAGCGGAGAGGAGGTTGGTGGTAGAACTGGAAGGCCCATCGGAGAAGGATTGGCGTCCGAAAGGTGGTCTAGCGCCGGCAAGTCCAGCCTGCGAAGGTGGGGCGAGGGAGGGTGAATCAGTGCGAACACCGGATGATGATGACAGACGACGTTGTTCGTGGCCAGTAAAAGGAGGCACGAGGGACGTTGGCGAGCGACCATTGAAGCCTGAAGATTGCGATTGATTGAACAAGTCGGTTGGCGCAGGTGCCAAATTGTTACGACCGGTCATAGACTGAGGTAAAGGAGATTGTGAGTGGCGTAGTGCTAAAGAGGCGTGGTTGAAAGCATTTGCGGAAGCTGCAGCGGCTGCAGAAGTGGTGCAGAAGTTGGAGGCACCGCCTGCACTGCTCTGTCTTGAGTGGCCACTGCTATTTCTGATGCGATCCCCAAAGCCATAGAGACCGGCGGAAGGGGGTGAGGCATTAGCGCTGGTGTAAGGAGATCCAGAGAGATGGGACCCAGCTGTTTGGTTTGATGAAGATATGGAGATGCCTTTGGGACCGGTAGATGTTGGGTGATCGTGAGCTGATGATGCAAAGGAGCTAGCACGACTGCTAATTGACTGGCCATCAGAGGCTAGACCATGAATACGACTGGAAGCGCCCAGGTTGATGCTGGAGGCGGGACCAAAAGCTGTGGCGTGGGGTGAGAAAGGAGAAGTGGCTGACTGCGATGCCTGGGCGGAACCGCCGTCGGAGGAGTTGCCGGATGGGTTGGTCGACATTTGTGCGAATTTGTTCTGCGCTTGGCAGTCGAGCAGTTGGGTAGATGATGATAGTTATGGTGCTGCGATGGAATAACACCCGTGTGCAGACTGAAGGTTGTGATGCTGATATGCCAATGCTGAGGGCAGACTGGTCGTTGCTTTGGCAGTTTGCTGAACTGTGGCGGAATGATCACTGACAAGACGAGTGTCGGTAGGGGTTGCAGTAATCTGCACCGTGCCAGGCAAGAGCACTAAAGATTAACGAGCTGAGGATGATGCTGCTGATGCAGAGAAGATGTATGGCGTGAGTCTAGAGGTTGGCTGAAATGTAAGGTGTCTGGTGGATGTTGTGGTAATGCAATGTTTTCCCTCGCCGTGAGTTCCTTGAGACAAGGATGAGAAAGCGATGGTGGATGAGACCAAGGAGGAAGGTAAAGAAGAATAGAATCGAGAAATGACCAGGTGAACCGTGGTAAAGAGGGCATGTATAAGCCCGAGCAAGAAGAGAAACCAAAGTAAAGTGACTGACTGAATCCAAAACCTGACTGTTTCCGTTACCAAAAGAAGACCAAAGGGGAAGCGATGAAAGCCGTCGACCTGAAAAAAGGATGCGACGATGCCGAGGTGGTGGTGATTGATGTTGATGATGGGAAGGGGGGAAAGAGGGTAGAGAAAGGAAAGGGACGAGGGAGAGTGGAGGATTTGCTCACGCTCAGCTTTAGGAAGGGACACGTGAGATGGAACACGGAGAGTAACGATTTTTAAGCAGGAAAGCAAGCGAGCAAGCAAGCAAGCAAGCAAGCAAACAAGCAAGCCAAATTAGCGGTTGAGGAGCACGGCCTGGGGAATTCACACGCAGACACTGAGTGACAAAAGCCGGAAATCTGGCACGTCGTGCTGTGCTGCTGGCTTGAAAAGTCATTTCCTGCAATGCTCGTACGACCATCGCTTTGCTAGCCATATCTCTATTCGTACTTGGTGCAGATACAGTCATAACACGGCCATCTACGGCCATCTTGAGAAGAATGCGAGCCGATAGAGTTAAGCTTGGACTGGATGCTGTTCAAGTAAAGTGCGGCTGAAGAGCAAGGGAAATTGACCGAGCCACATGTGAGCGGCAGCAGGAAAGAAGAGCCAAAACGCCCTTGACCGGTGAGCAAACAGCAAACAGCAGTGAAGAAGCAGCGGCAAAGCAGCGTCATCGTCTGTCCAACCAACAGACCCACAAGCGCGAGTCGAGACTTGGGCGAAACGTTAGCGCCGATTAAATAATGCTTAGTAATTGCACCTTTTATTTTATTTTTTATTATTTTATTTTATTTTTATAGCTTTGGCGAACACAAGTCTGTGTGGACCGCTTTCCGCTTTTTGGCCTTTTTTGGACGGACACTTTCTTCTTGAGCTGATCGACCCGCATCGGCTCGCAAAATTCCTTTGCGTGAGTCAAGACCAGCAAAACCAGCATTTTCTCTCATCTCCACCATCGAAGGCAGCTGCAAACCTATATCCTGCAGCATCAGCTTGTACAGCGCTAGCACACAGATCTCCTGCCCAAGATGGCGGCATCAACCTCCTGCCGCAAGAGCGTTGCAGGTCTTCTCGTCAATCTCTCGCTCAACAAGGCAACAGCATCCGCATCTGCAAGCACATCCTCCTTACGGTCGAGGTGCTTCTCATCGTCGGCGACATCCTCTCACTCGTCATCATCGTCCTCCACGTCGAGGCAGTCCGTCCAGTCATTAGCGTCTTCGTCTTGGTCTGCGCCATCCACCTCGTCGAAATCCTCTTCGAGACCTGTCAAGACGATCCCCGCTTCCTCACCACTGCTCGACAAGCCATTGCCCATCCATTTCCCATCCAGCACACTTCGAGCCTTCCCCTCGCTGCTTCACTTTGCTGACCCCGTGCTCGACCCACACCCTAAAAATGTGATTCAATCCACACCTACATCCACCAACCCATACCCTTCCACCATCACTTTCTTCAACGAGCCCAAGATGTTCGAGCCCACCCCGCCCTCCGCCGACTCGCTCGTTCTTTCTTCTGGATCCGATGCGGATGAGGTCAACTCGGAACAGTATCTCTCCACTGTTACTCCCCTCTCGGTCAAGGAAGTGCGCGATCTTCACCGTCACGCTATTGTGCTCAAACGTGTCGTCCACATGACTACCAAGGGTAAAGACGCCAGCATGTACGCTCTTGTCATTGCAGGTAACGGCAACGGCCTTGTCGGCTACGGCGAAGGCAAGGACACCAACGCTTCTAAAGCCGGTCGCAAAGCTTTCCACGAAGCTGTTAAGAACTTGGACAGTGTCGGCATCCACAAGGGCAGTGATGGTTCGCGCACCATCGAGACTCAGATTGAAGCCAAGTGGGGCGCAAGTCGTGTTGTGATGCGTCCTCGACCCGCTGGTTTCGGTTTGCGTGTTCCCCCTGTTATCCACGCTATCTGCCGTTCGGTGGGCATCACCGATCTGAGCGCTTCCATCTATGGCTCAACCAACCCGGTCAACGTGGTCAAGGCCGCTTTGCAGATCTTGTGGGGTGGTGCTGCACCTTTGGGTATGGGCGATGGTGTTGGTGGTCAGATGCGTCGAAAGGACAAGGGAAGAGGTATGCGTGGTCGACTCGATATCCAACGTAGCCGCGGTCGTCGAATTGCCGAGGTCAACATGGCCAAGTGAGCAAGCCTATCTCGCTCGCTTGACGCGGCATTGCCTTGACGATGACAAGGAGAACCTCATTTGCTTATGACCTCTGAGTGTAACAGCAATGTGTACATTATCGATGAGCCATCTGTTAGCTTGTGAACAGTAGCTTGTCAGGTTTCGGATGAGCCGACAGATGCTCGTGACTTGAAGAAAGCAACGCTGCTCTCCTCACAGTCACATTGGTTCCCTTCTGACCTTTCCCTCCTTTCTCACAGTCGGATCAGAGCCGATCGCTACTTTCAAGCCGTGGGAAGTTTGAAAGCAAAACAGTTGAAGATGCACCGGCATCGCCAGCGCGCGACACAGTAATAGGGAACACACAGGATCGGGGAATTGGAAGGGTATCAGGTGATGAGGAAGACAAACAGAATGCAAAGCTAGTGGGAGCTAACACAGCCTATGCATGAGGATTAACACCATGGTATGCGAGGAGCATGTTGCTATGACAATGCTTATGAAAGCAGATACATGGCATATGGACATGGCATATGGACATGACTCGACAAAGTAAGTACAGATGGGTGCCCAGAGCATGTATATATAATACAAGTCATGTTGCTACCATACAATGAAAATCTATGCCTTTTTAACTGAGACTACCCAATTGTGAGAGTGCCTGCTAGTGGCCTCTGTATCAGTGTACCTAAATTCAACTGGCTCCCAACGTGGGGCTCGAACCCACAACATTCATGATGGCAGGAGAAGGAGATCACCAAGCTGGTGAGATGGCCAAGAAGACAAAAGGAGGAAGGAAAGGAAAGGTAGTCCAACAAGTACAGATTGACGATGAGGCCACTGATGGTAACGAAACCAAGTTCAATGAAGCAGAAGAAGGGTCAGACTCCGACGATGACAATGAATGGTATGACTACCACACCTTAGCCAAGATCATGGAGGCAGTCCCCAAACTCATGTCGCAGAACTACTATAGCTGGAGCACCCTCATCAAGGCCACTCTCAGAGTTATTCCCCATGCCATACAGCACTTGGAAGGCATGTATGATAACAACCATCCAAAATGGAACAGAAACTTTGACGACGCTTTAGCGGGTGTGCTATGTAGCACTTTAGACGCTGAAGGAGAGCACAACATCCTCTACTTATTGCTTGACATTAGTAAAGCATATTTGACTTTCCACCAAACCTGGAAGAAAATCGAAAACAGCCTGACCAGTGAAGCTACTAGGATCTCACAATGAATTGCACTCCTTGCACAACTCAATGAAGTCAAGATGTTTAATGCTGATGCACAGAAGCTAGTCCAAGACATTAGAGTCATGCAAACAGAGACAAGCCTACTGGGAGCACCTTTCGGTGACAATGCCATATATGCAGCACTCCAAAGGTGCATGATCTGGCACCCAGTCTACAAAGAAACAGTCGCCACTGTCCATCAAGTTAGTTTCGATGCACTTGCCACAGCATTAATGATGTGCCAATCTGCAATCGAAAGCATCCCTGCCCAAAAGGTGGATCCACGACAGGCAAGCGCTCGGGCAGCTGGTAGCAACGAGCAGGACAGCAACACTGATGAGAATGCTGAAAGCTCAAAGGCTAAGACTGGACCAAGGAGGATTCGCTGCTGGGTGTGCAGATGCTATGGACATGGTGCCAGAAAGTGCAACACCACTGTCACCATCCCCGAGAACTCCCCCCTCACCCAGACTAAATAGGAAGTCTGGTGCTCACTCACTCCGAGTTGGCGAAGGCCCCCAAAATCAAACCAATCAATCCATTGGGTTCTAGATTCGGGAGCAACCTTCCACATGATTAATGACTACAGCATGTTGATCCATCCAAGAAAGTGCAGAAAGCATGTGTATACTGCCAGAAGCGAAGTCTTAGAAGCGACTGCTGTAGGGGACATTAGCATATCAACAGAGTATGGAGAGATACTGCTCCAAAATGTTCTTTATGTTCACAGTCTCAATATTAATCTATTGTCCACCAACTCATTGATGGACGAAGGAGCATGTGTGACCCTAGACCCTAAAGGGGGACAAATATATTTGGCAGACAGCACAATACTAAAAATAGTAAAGAATCACAAGAGTGGATTGCTGGAAATACAAGGTGATACATGGCGACTGAATGCGATGACTGCATCAACACTGCTATTGGAAGGGGTGGATGAAGAATTCAGGCTAGCCAAATGGAAAACAAAAGTTTCCACAAAACAGCTCTGGCATGAGTGACTGGGACACCCAGGTCGAGATAAGTCCAGGGCAATCATCAACAAATTGAGAGGTGAACCTGTAGAAGCATTGGACCCAAACACAGCTCTAACATGTGAGCCATGTATACAATCCAAGAGTACGGTCACCAGGATGGGGCAAGGTAGCAGCGAAAGAGCCGTGGGGCCCCTGGATCTTGTCCATATCGATCTAATCATCGATTCATCCCATGTGACAGAGTACACATGCATATTAGTACTGGTCGATGACTATAGCAAGTACGTGCACATACAGCCACTATCACAAAAAGGTCACGCATTTGTGCAGCTCAAGAGAATCATTTTATTCCTAGAAACACAAACAAATAGAACATTGAAAGCAATTCAGTCTGATCAAGGGACCAAATGGAGGAGCAATGAGGCACTGGAATGGACACTCGGGAAAGGGATAGAATGGCAGACCACTGTGGGATACAATAGCAGACAAAATGGACGAGTGGAACGAATGAACAGGAGTTTAGGTGAAAAGATGCAGACATTGCTGATACAGAGAAACCTACCAAAGGTCTTTTGGCCATATGCGATCCGGGCAGTGGCTTTCAAGATGAACCTAACTCCTAATGTTGATGGAGAATTCCCTTACCAGCTAATGTTCAGAAAGTCGCCAGAATGTTTCATACATCTCATGCATGTATTTGGATGTTTGGCTTGGGTAAATGTCCCAAAAGCCAAGAGATGCAACAAGAAATTGGATCAGAGAGCAGTCCCGGCCATATTCATAGGATACAGCTTGGAGAGAAAGGGATGGCTGTTCTACAGTCCTGGTTACAGCCCAAACATCTTCTGGAGCAACTCGGCCAAGTTCATGGAAACCCAATGTTGGTCAGACCAAACAGAATGGAAGCCAGTGAACATTCAACCACCTCCAATTCTGAATAATGAGGAGGACCTAGCTAACTTGGGGTACATGGAGGAGGACCTCTTTGATGAGGACGATCAAGATCCCTTGAGTGAATACATGAGCATGGAGACAATCTTGGGGGAAGGAGAGCACAAGGAGCCGAGATACAAAGCACAAAATTCTTTTGGGCTAGTAATGACAGGGTTTAAGAAGGAGGAAAGGAATCTCAACCCAACCGTTTGGGAGGCACTGGCTGGAGAGGACAAGAGGTTCTGGGAGGAAGCAATGTGCAAAGAGCTAAAAGGGCTAGAAGCAATGAATACATGGGAGACCACTGACTTACTGCATGATATGAACACAGTCAACATGCATTGGGTATTGAAAATTAAGACAGATGCAAATCTGATACCCATGAAGTACAAGGCGAGACTAGTAGCACAAGGATTCACACAAAGGGAGGGGATAGATTATATGGAAATCTTTGCACCCATGGCACCCATTCAGTCAATCAGAGGAGTACTAGCAATTGCCACTGTGTGGGACTGGGAGGTCGACTCGATCGATGTCAAGCAGGCTTACTTGAACTCCAGCCTACACCACGATGTCTACCTCAAGCCACCCATTGGAACGAAAGTGCAGCCAGGGAAGGTACTAAAGCTCATGAAAGGGCTCTACAGTCTGAAGCAATCAGGCCACAAGTGGAACATAGAGTTAGACACACAATTGTGAAAGATTGGCTTTCACTGCATGTCGAGTGCCCCATGCCTGTACTCGAGAGGGACAGACAATCGACTCACAGTGATAACAGTGTATGTGGACAATATGCTCATTGCATCGCCTAGCTGGAAGGAAGTTGATCACACCAAAGCAGAGATCATGAGCAAGTGGGAGACAGAGGATAATGGACCAGTAAAGGAATTCTTAGGTATAAAAATCATGCGAAACAGGGGCCAAGGCAAAATATCGCTCGACCTAACAGCATACATTAAAAGCATGGTAAGTAAATGGTTGGAAAAGCCAAATGAAAGGTCATGGATACCGATGCAAAGCATCACAAACACTGTCGGAGGAAGCAAATGTACTCCAGAGTGAGCTAAACGATATCAGGAGTTGGTGGGTCAATTGCTATGGGTGTCCAACATGGTATGGCCAGACATCTTGTTCACAGTTGGAGTCCTAGCACGACATATGTCAGAACCAAATGATAGTGCATGGCAAGTGGGGATACATCTGCTGAAGTACCTGAACCAAATGAGCGAATATTGCCTGGAGCTTGGAGGGATGCATAGGAAGCATGCGAAACAGCCGGTGGTCACGTATACCGATGCAAATTGGGCTTCAGACCCTACCAATGGATGAAGGAGCACATCCGGGGCAGTCACATATGTATATGGATGTCCAGTCAGTTGGAAATCACATGTACAGAAGTGCGTAGCATTGTCAGCAGTGGAGGCAGAACTAGTTGCTGCGTTGGAGGCAGCAAGAGAAGCCCTTTTCTTCTCGTATTTACTCAGGGATTTAGGGATCACAGAAGTCGAACCAGTCTTGTACACTGACAGTCAAGGATGTATACAGGTCAGCAAGGATCTGGCCAAACATTGGAAACTTAAACACATCGACACTAGGTATTACTTCATTAGGGACCATGTGCAAGACAGTGACATATTGATTGAGTATGTTGAAACAGCCAATAATGTGGCTGACATACTTACAAAGCCTCTCAAGGGATTCAACACAACAAGGATGTCAAGAATGATAGGATTGGGCATGCTGTTGTGGGGGGGAGTTGAAGATGCACCAGCATTGCCAGCGCATGACACAGTAATAGGGAACACACAGGATCGGGGAATTGGAAGGGTATCGGGTGATGAGGAAGACAAACAGAACGCGAAGCTAGTGGGAGCTAACACAGCCTATGCACGAGGATTAACACCATGGTATGCGAGGAGCATGTTGCTATGACAATGCTTATGAAAGCAGATACATGGCATATGGACATGACTCGACAAAGTAAGTACAGATGGGTGCCCAGAGCATGTATATATAATACAAGTCATGTTGCTACCATACAATGAAAATCTATGCCTTTTTAACTGAGACTACCCAATTGTGAGAGTGCCTGCTAGTGGCCTCTGTATCGGTGTACCTAAATTCAACTAAAACTCAACTCAGCCACAATCGACTTGGGCTTGGCCTCAATTCCTGAGGATCAAAGCAGAGCAGCATATCAGTATACAGTCTGTACCTGCCTTTCATTTAGTCATCCTCCGTAGTCTCGTCAGTCCTGTATCGCACGCTCAGCACGGGTTCAAGTCTCACTCCGATCCTCGTTGGTGCACTTGTGCAATTCTCAACCAGGTTTCATTCGCTTCCGATGGTCACAAAAGATTGATTGCGTGCATGCGTGCATGCGTGCATGAGTGAATCTGCGACTGTCTCCTGCCCTCTTCACTCGTCATCCGACGAATCGCTCTCACCAACAATCTCGTGCAACTCAATCAAATACTCGTTGAGCTTTTGCCTCGACACTTCTCCTTCAACTCCCATCGTTCCTGCATTTGCCTGCACCAATCCCACCTTGTCTGAGTTGCTGCTTGGTTTTGGAGGGTTTTCAGTGCCTAGAGCCAAGTTGAGGATTGCTTGTAGCTCGGCGAAACCAATCGCTTTGACTTGAGGCGTAGTTGGGCTGGTAGAGTGTCGGAACGTTTGCTGGAACTTTTTCATGTTCGAAAGCAGTTCGGCGGGAGACTTTGAGTAGAGTAGTTCGAAGAACTTTTTAGCTCTTTCCAAGCTGATCTCCGATCCGACACTTCCTCCCTCTCCTGCTCCCACCGTCCCTGCAGCAGTTGTTCGCACCGGCACAACGATATTCTTCAAATTCTGCTGAACAGCCAATATCCCCCTAACCACCTTTGTCACTCCTTGACGGTTAATCGCTCTGATCTTATGCACTAACCCAATAAGTGTAGCGTCGATGAGAGTTGAGATTCCGCTCCAAACCCAAGCTCTTGACTCCACCGGAAGCGCTTCGGAGAGAATATCATCGAGATTTGCTAGGTCGGAGTTGAGATCGACGATGTGAGGTGAAGGTTCGATAGCAGAGGAGATTAGGTAGGTTGATTCGGTGATGGAGAGGGTGAGGTAGGTGAGGATACGAAGACGCATCTCGAGACGAAGAGTGAAGAGGATGGTGGATGAGAGATGGAGGTAGATGTTTTGGAGAGTGGGCAATTTGCTGACAAGGTCTGGGGTTAGGGGTAGAGGGAGGTTCTCTTCCGTCACACCATCTTCGCCAGTGCTGGTGGGTGGAGAGTTGATGTCGATAATTGCACCCCGTCGACCACCGTTGAGCGCCCGAGGCTCGATCACGCTTAGCCTTGCTTTGGCTCGTGTAGATCGAAGAGGATCATCGTTATGTACCTTGGAGCTCTGCTTCTCGTGAACAGGTTTCAATCGACCCACATTAGCCGAGAACCATTCTACACTGTGCTGCAGACATCCCAATGCCAGCAGCTTCTTGCGGGAGGTTGTAAATTCGTGGATCGCAAGAGATTGCGGTTTCGCCTTCGCATAAGCCAGTTCGAATCTCGCCTCTTGCGCCAACAACTCCATTTTCCGCTGCGATGGTGTTTTGGCGTCGCGTAGTTCGGCAAGACACGCCACCATCTCCGATCGTTGTGCCCAGTTCGATGACAGTGCGAATCCATCCCCTGCTGCAGCGGCACCACCGGTAACTTTCGTTTCCCCATCCTCTCCTTCTCCACCTTCGGAGCGGATAAGATCGCGGAACCTCTCCCCACATTTCTGGTAGAACTGAATGACAACCATCACAATCAACCGACTGTAACTCTCCCTATGAAACGGTGTAGTCCTCAACATCGAATATAGACTATCGATCAGGACGATCACGTTACTCGCTGCTTTGACTACCCGTCTTACCTCTGCTGATCGAGAGCTAGGGTGCCGGGAGGAGGGATCTTCAGCAAAGCTGTCGGTCTGACCTGTGGCACCGGTGAAAAGGGTTTGCACTTTTTCTTCGAGTTGAGGTAGAAAGATGTCCTGTACGAATTCTTCGAGGAATGCAGAGAAGCCGCGAGATGTTTCGCCTGCTGCGGAGGAAGGCATGACGGCAGAAACGCGTTCGACGAAGGCAAGTGCCGGTTGGAAGAGGACGGAGACGTTGAATGCGTCTGGTTTCACCAGGAGCCGGTGGGAGGAGCCGGTGTAGGATTCTACGCCACTACCACCGCGACTTCGACTTCCAGTACTGGATCCGGTTGGTACAATCGCCGTTGTAGAAGTGCTAGCGGAGAGCGAGTTGGAGGAAGCAACAATAATCTGATTCCCCGCTCTCACACCCCCTGCACCCGTCCCAGCTTCGAGAGAGACCAAACCGGGAACGGAAGCCTTCAAAGCCTGCGTTACAGCCAACTGATGTCTCTGCAACGGCCCAATCTCTCTTCTCCCAACCTTCTTCACGCCTTGTCCACCCCCTTCAGCCAACCTAAACAACTGCTTCCCTCGATCCCTCCCAAACCGATGATCCCTCAAAACATCATTCACACTCACCACCGCATTCCTAACCCCACTCGCACCCTCATCATCCATCAGATAATCATGCAACAACGTCCTCACTTCCATCTGAATCGGTTTCCACACCTCCAACAAACTCCCCACACCAGAAAGCTTCTTCGATGCCAACTCATCTCTAAACCCTGCTCTGGATGCAATCATCCCCGCCACCTCGTATACTACTCTATGACCCTGCAGTACGGCATCGAGCTTGGAGAAGAGCGTCCAGAACAAGTCGCGCATCGTCTCGCTGTCTCTTTGCAACGCTGATGTTTCGCCTGCCGATATGCGGAGCATGGTCGATACGGGACGGTTGGAGGTGAAATTGAACGAGCTGCGTGAAGAGCGCATTGATTCGGTGAAGGAGCGTGCGAGAGCGGAAGAGGAGGCCAGTAGGACGGATTCGGGTCGAAGCGCGACAGAGAACCGACGTAGAGGTTCGTTACGGGCATCCACTTCATCGATGGTGGTATCGACAAGTTGGTGGACCTCCATGGCGAGACGTTGAGAGATGATGTCAAGTGCTGTGCCCAGTTTGCCGAGACGGGAAAGGGATTCGAGAAGCATCTCGATGTAGAGGAAGGAGTCGGCTTCTGGGTTGGCGTCAAAGTCGGGGCCGTATCGTCCGCCCACCTGGCTTGGTGGGTTGCTTTGGAGATCTGAGGTGTGCTCGCCTGTAAGCGCAGAGAACGATTTGGTCCAAGTCATGAGTGCAGCTTCGGGAATATCCGAGGCAAGGTTGGGGTCGAAGCTGGGTCTCGAACGAAGACTTTGCAAGAATCGTGTGAGCTGTAAAGAAGAAGACTGCTTTGTTGTCTTTGCTTCTTCTCCAGCTGCTGCACCAGTGCTGGCCCCTTCTTCTTCTTCTACCCCAGCAACGCCCCCATAATCCGATCCGAACTTGACCAACGGCAACTCCTCCTGTCCCGCACTATACACCTTCCACCTCGCATCGCAAAAGTAGCTCTTCAAATACAAATGATTATGCAACTCTTCAATCAAAATCTCCAACATTGCCTGTTCCTGCCCTTTGAGGTATGCTCTCAAATCATTAGTCGCCCCAACCTCCACCACTTCCGGTTTATCAATCGTCTTCAACGACCTCACCAACAGATACACCGATTCCAAAAACCTCTTCTCGGCCATCAAGCTCTCCAGTCGATCCGGAACCGCTTTTAGATGCTCTACCGTATCCAACAACCTCAACGCCTCTTTCACCGCCTGGCTCCTCTGCCACATCTGTACCAAATCCGCCCTTTTCGCCCCAAGCGCCTCCCTCGAATCCCTCAACCTCCTCCTTGCACCACTAACACTCCCCTGCGCAGCCGTCAAACTCGCCAACACACTATTATGCATCGTAATTGCCGTCGCAAAACTCTCATAATGATCATCCACCGTCCCCTGCAAACTCGTCTCGATCAACTGTTTCACCTGATCAAACTCGAACCGTGACGCTCCGAGACTGCTCGAATCCAACATACTCAGCGCAAGCGCGACAGAGTTGAACTGATCATTTGCGACGAATGGCCATTCCGCCTCGACTTTGCGTAGGATGGCATTGATCGATTGGAATACACGAGGGTCGTTGCGATCGATATAGGAGGTGATGGGTTTACGGATGTGGGAAGAGGTTTCGGAGATTTTCTTCTCGTTGTGACGTCGTCGGGATTCTTCTTCGGCTGTTGTACCGCGCATGATGCGAGCGGCTTGACGTTTGCGTCCGGCGGAAGATAGGGCTGAGAGGACATAGTTGAGTGCTGCTGGCTCATCGGGTTGGGTCAGAGAGCCGAGGGGGGCGTTAGAGAGGCGACGTGGATCACGCTGTGGTCGTTGGCCAGGGACAGAAAGTCGATCGGTGGGGTTCGAATAATTGCTGTATAGCCCGTTATCGTGACCTTCCGAAGGAGCGTCAACGGGGGAAAGTGTGCCGTAGATGTCTTCGTGATCTTCAGAATCAGCTTGACTGGAAGGCGTTCCTGAACGTGCGACTTGAGCCATCAACTGTGCTGTACGATTGTGTCGATCCGATGGGGGAGTTGACTGTTGGTGGTGGTGCAATGATGAGCCATCTGTACTCTGAGCAGAAGGATTGCGGGCGATACCGGATCGTGAAGCAGCCAAAAGATCTCGCCCCGGCCCATTCTTTGCAGGCGAAGAAGGACTCGAAGCACCGCCATGAGCAGCCGATCCAATAGGTGGGATTTGCAGTTGAGGTCTCTGAGGCGTCACCCTCCCACGATCTTGTGCCGTGGACGTAGTGTTCATCGACGATAGTCCCCTCTGGTGCTGCTGCAGTTCAGGCGCTTGTTGAGGCCTTCGCATCGACCTCGCAGGTCGCAATGGCGAATGAGGGGTGGCATCCACGACTGCCGACGCTGCCTCCTGACGCGAAGGCGTGCGGCTGTGCTGCAACGAAGCAGTGGATGGATTCTGGGGAGCTGCCATAGAATAGTTCGGATCAAGTGCGGAGCCAGACGAGCTGTTGTTGTTAGACCCCTGATGCTGTTGTGGCTGACCATATGAAGCAGCATTGTTGTAACCTCCCTGTTGCAACTGCTGCTGGTGGGCGTAGCCTTGTCCGACATCGTAGTTAGACATCGAATTGGACGGCGCATGGCCAGCATAAGATGTCCCTGCTCCCGAACCAGCCCCGCCACCTATCGATACTGAGCCAGGGTGTTGTCCGAATGCTTCGCCGACGTGGGGTACTTGTGTTCGAGCCGAGCTGAAGCTGGAAGCAGCTGTGCCTGCGCCAAGATTGGTGTTTCCGTGCTTGATCTTGGACCGGATGTCCTTGATCGTGTTTGAGCGGCCGGACATGGTGGCGACTGAGCAGTAGCAGCGCCTAGCTTGAGAGGGTTCAAGCCGTTGCTTGCCTGTGCATGTGATAGAAGGTTTTCGGTTTTCGAGCCCTGCTCAGGGACACTCCGGCCGTGTTGAAGCTGCTCTGATCGGGTTGAGTTTGCCTGCGCCGTTACTGGTGAGCTCAGATGTACGACCGTTTCTACAGCATAGAGAGACGGATTTGGGTATAGAGATGATTGTGGTGTATGTAATGTCGTGCAATGTCAAGTCAAGATAGGAGGATGATCGTTTTGAGATGGCCCGAACGCACGCACTTGGCTGCTGTGTGTTGCTGTCTTTGGCTGCGTGACAGCGTTCTCAGCTCGGAATTCGGAGCCCGATTTTTTCGATGACATTTTTGGACCCTGAATTTTCGATTCTTCTTTCCTCCAGCTAACAACGACTTTCTTCTTTACTTCTCCCCACCCTCTCATTTTCCTGAACCCAGAACAACAGAGCTGCACTCGAGACCTGCTCGGGCCAGGCAAGAGGAAGATCATGAGCGCTGATGGTAGCGCCGATCCCAACTTTCCAACAGGTCTTCGCATCCAACCTAGTAGCTTGCATCGCAATGCCGCACACAAGTACCCTCGACCATATCAGCAGAAGGAAGTGGACGGCTCAGCAGCCGCTCACGGTAGCGAACAAATAACATCATGGGAGCAAGACACCGCAAAAGACATCGATGACTACGGAATCGCAGGAAGAATCTGGGAAGCTGCTTACTTGCTAGCACGCTATCTTCGACCTGCAAACCAACAACCGGGTCAATTAGAATTCGATCCTCCCTGCTCACTATTTTCGGAGGCAGGACCCAGCTCAAAGCCTCTGACAGTAGTCGAACTGGGGTCTGGCGCCGGATATGGGTCTCTACACCTCGCTCGTCAGATAGTGCAGCATGCTAAAACAGCAACAATCAAGCCGCCTCAAGTGAGGTTGGTTCTGACAGATCTGGAAAACGTAGTCCCTCTCATGGAGCGCAATGTCGAACGCGCCGGTTACAAACAGTCTACCGAAGTGATTGACGTCAGCATACGAGGCCTTGCATGGGGCAACGAAGAACACGCTTCGCGGCTGCTTTCGGAGCTCTCTCACAGTGCATCAAAAGCGTCGAACAACCCACTCACCCACATTCTGTGCTCGGATCTCGTCTACTTTCCGGAATTGCTCCCGCCATTGTTGCGATCTATCATCTCGCTATCTAGCGATGGACTGTCTAACGCCGATACGCAATCTTCTGAAGGCAAAGGACCAGAGCTGATCATCTCATACCAAATCCGTTCGTTGACCAAAGAACAGCCCTTCTGGTCCGCACTCGGTTCCTGGTTCGACTTTCAAGCCGTCGACTGCCGGCCGATACTGCGCAAACAGACAGAATCGGACTCTGTCGATGTTACAGCGGATTCAGAATGGCATCGCTTCGGATCACAAGGAGAGGACCATGGTGCATCAGCTGATGCGGATCAAGAGCTGTTTGTCTTTGTTGGATACAGACGCGAGGAAACGTTCGGCTTTTTGGCACCAGAGAGTGACGCCGACCTGATGCAGGGGAACAGGCTAAGGCCACGGCAAGGGCAAGGAGAGAATGGCGAGGATCAATACGAACTCGAGTCGCCGACGTCCGGGACTGACTACTTCGAATGGCTGTTGTTGTCCAACATGGGTGTTGGAATGGGCTGAACAACCGACGGTGCTTTTGGACTTGACTCTTCCGCATCACGCCCTGGTCGTTTCTTCACTCTGGGAGCCCCAACCCAGTCGGGCTTGCTTAGTAGCCAGTCGCACAGCTCCCGACGAGAAGGCAGCCGCGCATCGTTTCGTGCTGCAGGTGTTCGACGCGGTACCGAAGCGGGCTGCTGTGTCTGCTCTTCTCTTCGCCTATCAGTAGGACCCTCGCTTCTGTTCTGCCGCTCAGCACTTGACTCTTCCCGACGATCTTTGTCAGAGGTCTTCGCATGCGCATCTTCAACCGGTACACCCCCTCGCTTCACATTGTCGTGACGTCTTTCGAGCGGTGGGGGCGGAGAGGAAGCAAGTAAAGGTGGAATGTCAGGATTGTCACAAGTGTTGGTCAGCCAGCCATCGATGTACTCTGGCCGGTCTTGGTAGTCGTAGCGACGTCTTGGTCTCGAATGGTGCTGACGCTGCTTTCGTCTTTGTTGACCGAGGTAGAAGCTGCCACTTCCTGTCCAGTTGACTGACATGGTATTTCTGGAAGGAGAAGAGTCCGAGCTGCTTGTAGCTTAGCTTTTGTTATCTTTGAAGAAGTAGGTGGAATACGTGATGTAGCTAGAGGGGAAGGAACTATACAAAGGGTCATGCCACGTTGGCTCGCTCGAGCTCAACTGAACCATATACCAAGATACCCGAGCGAGTGAATGTACGCCCTGCTCCCAAACATCGCAATCATCGGGCACGCTGTACAACTCTTCCAGCGACTGCTATACTTCAGCCATATCTGTGGAATGAGTTTTGTGTATGGCTAGCATGGCCAAAAGAACGCCAACGATTGAACTCGGAGGTCAAAAATTCCATTTGTGTGACTTTGGCTAGGCCTAACACCGTTTAAAATCGCGCAGATCGTCGCTTCTTTTAGTTGAATTTAGATGTACAATACTTGAGGCCACAATCAGGCACTCTAGTTGTCAGTCAGAACTAAAACAAAAGGCTTAAATTTTGTAAAGAGGTAATGACTAAGCTAAGAGCATATATACATGTTCTTGGCACCTGACTGTGCTCACTTTGTCAAGTCATGCCCATGTGCCACATATCTTCTTTCATAAGCATTGTCATATCAACATACCCCCTGCATACCATGGTGTCAATCCTCATGCATAGGCTGCATTAGCTCCCACTAGCTTTGCATTCTGCTTGTCCTCCTCATCGCCTGATGCCTTCCCAATTCCCTGATCCTGTGAGCTCCCATTTAATACATCATGCGTTGGCGATGCCAGTGCATCTTCAACTCTTTTTCGATGTCACTCGGCAGCGATCGAAAAAAAGCGGATCTCTCAGCAAAAAAAACATCAAGATCGCCAGCTGCAAGCCCACAAACGATGCGACTGACTGAGGTGGAGGAATTAATTCCTAAGAAAAAAAAAAAAAGGAGAATTTCGAAAATGTCAACCAAAAAAGGGACTTTTTCTTTTTCTTTTTTTGACAGCCTCGCTTCAGAGTCGCAGTCTGCTGCCTTGGTGAGTTGCATCCAATTTAGGCCGTTTCTTGGATTTTAGGCCGTTTCTTGGATTTCAGGGTCGACGACCGCTTTCGGTCGGAGAAAGGAGAAGCAACGCACGGTCCAGGTGGCTTTGGACAGGGTTGAAGCTCAGCCAAAAATCGCTTGCTCCTCCGCTCAGGACAATTCAATACGTTCTCACCTCATCCCCTTCTCCCTCCCACCATCTTCACGCATTCTGGATCAATACCTTGTCTCTAGCAGCAACTCAGTTCGGAATACACGACACAACAACTAGGGCGGGTTTAATCATTCATGCTCGTTCCAGGGCTTGCCAAATAGACAGCCATCCGCATTGCCTGAACGATTGCGAGCTGGGACGCGCTCGCTACACAACACACAACATCGTTTCAACGGTATTTTGCGTCCCATCATCCGAACCAAAACAAGAACTAGACACCGCTTCGTCGAGCTCAGGGCGGCGCCAGCACCATGTTGGAAGGTGTTCTTGCCTCGCTCCTTAACAGGCTTCTTGCCGCATACGTCGACGGTCTCAATACCAGTCAGCTCAATGTAGGCATCTGGTCTGGGGATGTCAAGCTGCGCAACTTGCGCCTCAAGACATCCGCTCTCGACAAGTTCAGATTGCCCATCGATGTCAAGGAAGGCTATCTCGGCGATCTCACCCTCTCCATCCCGTGGTCCAATCTCAAAGGCAAGCCTGTTCGTATCCTCGTTGAGAATGTCTACCTTCTAGCAGCACCCAAGAACAGCAGCGCCGAAGTCGACGAGCAAGAAGAAGCACAACGTGCACAGGCTGCAAAGCAGGAGAAGCTGGCCAATGCAGAGCTCCTCGGCAGAGAAAGTGGTCAGGGTGTCGGCATGTCGAGTGAAGACGAACAAAAAAACCAGTCCTTCACTAGCTCGCTCATCACTAAAATCGTCGACAACCTTCAATTCACCGTTCGCAACATTCACATTCGATACGAAGATAGCCTCTCAAATCCAGAACATCCCTTTTCGGCAGGTATCACGCTCGCCGAGTTCTCCGCCGTCTCCACCGACGCCAACTGGAACCCCACCTTCATTCAGAACAGCGGAGATGGCATTCACAAGCTCGCTCGCTTGGAGTCTCTGTCCGTCTATTGGGACACTGACTCAGAGTCACTAGCAGGGCACGAGATCTCGCAAGCCCAAAAGAAATTCAACGCGCTTATTGCCCGCGATGGCAGCACACCCAGTCATCAGTACATCCTCAAGCCCGTCTCGGGTGCTGGTAGGCTCGTCATGCGCAAGAAGATGACCTCGGAGATCCCCAAGATGGATGCACAGCTACTTTTCGAAGAACTCGGTTTCGCACTCGACGACGAACAGTACCGCGACGTCATCTCGGTCGCCGACCTTTTCCACTTCTACACACGTCAAGCACAGTATCGCAGGTTCCGTCCGTCTCCAGAAGAGCTCGAAGAGAATAAGCCACGTGCTCTGCTGCGGTTTGCAGGCAAAGCCATTCTCAACGAGGTTCACGAACGCCATCGTGTCTGGAGCTGGGACTATTTCCGCGAGCGACGCGACGATCGAAAAGAGTACGTCGAGCTGTTCAAACACAAAGAGAAGAGCGTACAAAAGACGAATCAGCAGCAAGCAGGTTTAGCTATCGCTCAGAGCGACAGTGGTTCTCGCTTGGAGGAACTCGAGAAGAAGCTCAACTACAAAGATATTCGCTTCTACCGTTCAATAGCGCGACACGAGTTGCGCAAAGAGTCGCTCGTAGCTAAGAAGGACGACATTGCCAACGGTGGCACCGGTGCCAATGCTAACGGTCAGAAAGCCGGTGGCGGCGGTGGATGGCTCGGCTGGATCTGGGGCGGTGGTGGTGACAAACAGCATCATGACCAGGAAAGCGGCATGCTCAATGAAGAGCAACGAAAAGAGCTCTATGATGCCATCGAGTGGGACGAAGAGGCTAGTGCTGCTGCATTGACACAGTCAGTCGACGCGCCAAGGGACGCGATGCATTTGCGGCTCATCACCAAGCTCAAAACAGGTTCGGTTGCTCTCAAGGACCATGCACGTGGTACCGACATCCTCTCGCTCGTGTTCGACTCGCTCCAAGCCAACGTCATTCAGCGTCATGACAATCTCGAAGCAGCAGTGGCACTCGGTGGGCTGCGACTCTACGACGGCACCACTCCCAACTCGCTCTACCCTCAAGTGGTGCGAGTCAAGGATGAAGAGATTGACAACCCAAGCCGACAGAACTCGAACGGAGGCAATCTCAAAGCCATCGAACACGAGATCGACCAGGAGAGCGATCCAGACAATCCATTCTTCTACGCCAAGTATGAGCTCAAGCCACTCGACGACCGTGCCGACAACGCACTCACGCTCAAGATGCGGTCGATGGAGATCATCTATCATCGTGGCTTTGTTGAGTCAATCGTGCGCTTCTTTAAGCCGCCGGAGAGCGAGCTCGAATTGATCGGTGCGCTGATCGATGTTGCCAGCGAGACTATAGAGGGTATCCGCAAAGAGACACGCGCAGGTCTGGAGAATGCTCTGCAGAATCACAAGACTATCGATATGCTTGTCGACGTCAAAGCGCCCATTATCATCATCCCTGAAGATGTGACCACGAAAAAGTGCCAGCATATGGTACTCGATGCCGGTCGTATTGCCGTGCGCTCGGTGCTTGCTGATCAGAACGCGCTCGACACTGTGCGTTCCAAGCAGAACCGCGCTTACACTGACGAGGACTACCGTCAGCTTGAGAATCTCATGTACGACCGCTTCTTCGTCAAGCTTGAGTCGGCCCAGCTCGTCATGGGCAATGACATCGATTCGTGCATGAAGGGTCTTCATTCGAACTCGACCGATCACGGCTTGCATCTGCTCGAGCGCATCAATCTCGACTTTACGCTGCACAACTCGATCCTCTCTTCAGCACCCAACCTGACCAAGTTCAAAATGACCGGCCATCTGCCTACGCTGCGCGTCAACTTCTCGGATCGCAAGTACAAGACCTTAATGCGCATCATTGAAGTTGCGATCCCCAACTTTGAGGATGAGACTTCGGATGGTGAAAATCCGACTAAAGGTCTGGGCACTATCGAAGAGGAGCTCGAGCCCGTGGCTATCGGCAAAGCCAGTCAGGGTGGCAAGCGAGCTGATGATGACGATGGAGACAATGACGACGACAAAGAGACAGCCAGGTCGCGGCGAACTCGAAGCAGGGCATCCGAAACGCTTGACCTCAACAAGGCGCGTCGGCAGCGACTTGCGGGTCAGCTGCGTGGCGAGGATGATTATCTGATCGGCGCTGGTCTCGACGATGACGATGATGGCAAGGACGAGTTCCAGGATGCTGAAGATGCTACGGTTGATAAGGTCAATGCGCATCAAAAGACGTTTGAGCTCGAGTTCGTCGTCGACTCGCTTCAAGGTTCTATCTTCCGTTCTGCCACCGATCCTTCGCAGCCTGATCGCTTGTTGGTGGATGCCCGCTTCGAAGGCTTCCTGTTGCATCTTGCTGTCTACCCTTACCATATGGACGTCGATGTGGGACTGCGCAGTCTCGAGTTAGAAGACAAGATCGTCGACCAGGGAGCGCAGTTCCGCCACCTCATCACTTCCAAGCATGTGAGGGATGGTAGTTCGCGGCAAGCGACGGGCGAGTCGGGCGCTTCGTCTGGATCCGTCTCGCCTTCAGAGCAACGTGATCTCGTGAGCGTCAGGTACACACGCGTCAGTCCGGACTCGCCCGAGTTCATGACCAAGTACGAAGGTATCGACCAGACAGTCAACGTCGAGCTGTCAACCATCAACATCATGCTCACGCGTGTCAGTGTGCTGGCGGTGTACGATTGGATCATGACCACGTTCGTTGCTGTCGACGAGCCGAACTCATCCACGGCGCAGTCACGGGAGCAGCAGCAACAGCGTCGACCTAGCCGATCATCAGATCGACGACCGAGCGATGCTGCCTCGAAGCGGCCTTCGATCCGACCTTCCGATTCAATGCAGAACACATCAGCAGCAACGGGAGCTGTGGCCAGTGCAGGTGATGGTGAACGCAAGGAAAAAATGCGGGTTCGTGTCAAGCTCAACTCGATCGTGCTCCGTCTCAACAACGATGGTACCCTGTTGGCGACCTTGACGCTCTCGACCGCCGATGTTGCCGTGATGCTGCGGGGCAACACGATCCGAGTTGCTGCCCGTCTTGGCTCGCTTCTCCTCTATGACAATGCCAAACGCAGTGTCGCCGACCCGCATTTCAAGAAGCTGCTTAGTATTCAGGGCGATGAGCTGGCTGACTTCACCTACGAGACTTTCGATGACGCTGATGCGGCTTCTTATCCCGGCTACGATTCGTCGATCTGGCTGCGATCCGGTTCGCTCAAGTTCACTTTTGTCGAAGAGCCCATTCGTGACCTCTTGCAGTTCTTCAGCAAGTTTGCGCAAATGAAGGCAGTTTACGACGCCGCAACACTCGCCGCTTCCAATCAGGCTTCGCAGCTGCAAGAGCGTGTTGACAAGATGCACTACGACATCATCATCAAGACACCTATCGTTGTTCTGCCTAGGTCGGCTGACTCGCCGGATGTCATGACGGCCAATCTGGGTGAGATTTACGCCAAGAACACCTTTGCGCTTCGTGACAAGGAGGCCATTACCAAGATCGAAGCGGGTCTGCGACATATTCGTCTCGCGTCGAGGATGCGGTATGGTAGTCAGGAGTATCATGTACAGATGATTGATGATGTTAATATCTCCCTTGATATGGTGCAGTCGGATCGAGGTGGGGCTAGTCCAGGTGCAGTTAGTGACAGTCCAGAGACGCAGATGGTTGCGAAGATGTCGGATGTGCATATCAAACTGACCGAGGCGCAGTATTGTTTTGTGATGGAGTTGACGCAGTCTATTCCGCGTGCGTTTGCTGGGTTGGCTGAGGAGGCGAATGCTGATGATGATGGAACGACAGCGTCTGGTGCCGTTACTCCAGCTACTCCAGCAGCCTCGACGCCAGGTGCAAACCAGGGCGTAGGGAAGGGTCAGCCTCTGCCTCTGCCGTCGCGTCCGAACAAAGCGGGAACTACCACTCCAGGCAAGAGTGGTACTGCAACTCCCGTAACCGCTGCGCCTCCCAGCAAAGGCCCTGGTGTCGACATGCTTCCTGAGCTGGGCACTATCGTGCACAACGACGATGGAGATACACCTGTCCATACGAGTCTCGACATGTTCTTCGACGTCAATTCGATTCAGCTCGAGCTCTTCACTGCGGCTGCAACAGGTCAAGAGACACTGTACAACGCTCAGCTGGCGCGATTCTCCATCAACGGCTCAGAAGTCAAGCTCAAGATGCTCTCGGATAACTCACTCGAGGCTGAGGTGGCGCTCAAAACGTTCACTGTTACGGATCAGAGACCGGATAAGGACACTAAGTTCCGCGAGATCGTTCCTGCCGTCAAGCACGATGGACATCAGTTCATGATGAGCTATAGTGTCTCGGGCGGTGATGATGGGTCAGCCTTGGCGCTTGTTACTGTTGACAGTCCCAAGGTGATCTTTTCGCTGGATCCGGTCTTTGCCCTGCTCAACTTCTTCATGAGTGCGTTCCCTGATACGCCTCCGGCTGAAGAGAGGGAGGATAATGGGACGACTGCGGCGAACAACAACAATGCTAGTGGCGGTGCTGGTGCTGCCCAACCAGGCAATAATGCTGCTGGTGGAGATGGCACACAAGCTGCCGCTGCGGCTGGCACCTTGTCCTTCCGCGTCAATGTGGTCGATCCAACCATCATCCTTCTCGCTGCTCCTGAGCGTCATGATACCGAGGCGATCGTGCTTTCGATCAAACAGGTGCTCATGTCGCAGCAAGGTATCTTGGCGCTCAAGGTGGATCAGTTCGGCATGTTCATGTGCAGGATGCATCGTCCAAAGGATACCCTGCGACTGCTTGATAACCTGGATATGGCTCTTTCGATGGATAGCCGCGTCAGTGCTACAAGCTCGTTGACCAGTATCGAGGTCGACGTGGAACCGCTGGTGTTGCGTGTCTCGATGCGAGACATCATGATGATCCAGAGCGTTGTCAATAAGGCGATCGAGCTGTCGTCACAGCAGCTTTCCGCGGTGGGTAGGAGTGATGCCAAGAGTATCACTTCTTCGCAGCGTAGGCAGAGCTCGATGACTAGCGATAGTCATACCATTGACTCTCTCACCAGAGTGCCTAAGTTCGGTCAAGATGATGGCAAGAGTAGCACAACGATCGACGGTCGACCACCACAGCGTATTGAAGATGCCGAGCTTGTTGTCGCAAAAGAGTCGCTTCGGGCTGACTTTGCGGGCTTGCAGGTGATCCTGATTGGTGATGCTCATTCGTTGCCCATGCTCGATCTTAATGTTTCGAAGTTTGCGGTTGATGTGAGAGATTGGTCGGGCGATATGCATGGCAGTACCTTCCTCGATCCGTACATCAATTATTACAACCTGTCGAGGTCGCATTGGGAGCCGCTCATCGATCCATGGGGTGTTCAGTTCCACATGGAGTCGAGTGCTTCTCCGGCTCGCTTCAACGCTACAATCTCGAGCAAGAAGAGGTTGGAGCTCAACGTCACCACAACTCTCATCGAGACTGGTCTGTCGGCTCTCAACATGATGAGCGAAGTAGACATTCAGGATCTGCAGCAACGCAATCGTGCGCCGTTTGTCATTCAGAACCGGACTGGTTACCGCATCTCGCTCTGGCCCGAGAATGATGAGCGGGAACGCAAGAGCAAGACTTCACCACAGCATCTCGATGATGGCAAAGACATGCCTTGGAGGTTTGACGACTGGAAGGCGATGCGCGAGCATATTCACGAGAGTGGAGGCAATCGGCTTTCGCTTCAGATCGATGGGATGCCGTGGGAGCGATTAAGGCATATCTCGGTTGACAGGGAAGGGGAGTATATGTTGACGCTGAGGCCTAAGCTGGATAAGGTGGCGCACCGGATTCAGTACGAGGTGAAGCTGCATAACAACGTCAAGTATATTACTTTCAGGTCTTCGTTCAAGATCGAGAACAAGACACTGATTCCGATCGAGATGGTCATACTGGATCACGAGGGTAAGGTGACGGACCAGGTGAGGCGGATCGGGCCTGGTGAGGACTGTCCTGTTCCCATCGAAGCTGCTTATCACTGCAGAGTCAAGATCAGACCTGATCCAGGGTTCGAATATGATTGGTGTCAAGAGTCTCTCAACTGGCAAGATCTGCTGAAAAAGTCAACGCGCACCCTAACTTGCAAGGCACATGATGAAGGCGAGGCGCCATTCAGATTCCAAAGTTTCGCCATCTACGATCGACAGGATCCCAACAGCCGACAGTATCCCCGACTTACGCTGCGATTGCGTGCACCTGTCGAAGTGGAGAATCTCTTACCGTACGACATCCAGTATCGCATCTTTGACAAGAACCTCAATCATAACTGGTCGAGTTACCTGCGCAAAGGTGGAATCAGTCCGATACATGTAGTGGAGTTATCGCATCTGTTGTTGCTCAGTGTGGATATTCAGTCTTCGTGTTTCTCGCCTAGCGAGTTTGCGATCATTGCGACGGATAATCCGGACGATTTCCCAGTGGAGAAGATGTTAACGCTGGCAGATGCGGAGAACTTGAAGCTGAACCTGAGGTTGCATTACCAGAAGCATCCTGATTCGGGTGGAGCATTCAAGGTTCAGATCTATTCTCCGTACATCTTTATCAATCAGAGCGGATTGCCATTTGCGTTGAAGACCAAGTCTTGGTTGGGGAGTGCGAAGTTGGTTGCCGGTCAAGATCAAGGTGGGGTTTCGGCAGCGATTAGGAAGGAGCGGGAACCGTTTTTGTTCTCGCACAACTCGAATGATAGGAGGAATAGAGTGCTGATGCGGGTAGGGGATTCGCAGTGGTCGAAACCGTTATCGTTTGAAGCGATCGGGTCGGAGACCGAGGTGGTGATTGCTTCGGCTAGTAGGAATGAAGAGATTCATGTGGGGTTGACGGTGGAAGATGGGTTGGGAAAGTTCAAGTTATCGAAGGTGGTGAAGTTGACGCCGAGGTATTTGGTGAGGAATCGACTTAGCGAGCCGTTAAATCTGAGGGAAGCGGGTGCGGCGGACTTTGTCACGATCGATCCGGGGCAGAGGGTGCCATTAAGGTTCTTGCGAGTGGGTGCGACCAAGCAGATGACGCTTGCCTATCCTGGCATCAACAATAAGTGGAGTGCGCCGTTCAATATCGAAGATGTTGGAAGCGTCTTCTTGCGTCTCGCTAAGGATGGGAAGTCGCAGCAGCTTATCAAGGCCGAAGTATTGCTCGAAGGTCCGACGATCTTTATCTCGCTAGGGTTGGAGACTGGACCATGGCCGTTCATGCTGCGCAACGAAAGTGACTATACGGTGCAGTTCATGCAGGCTACTGAGCGAGAAGAAGAGGGGAGTGGGAAGAGGATCGATGAAGCGGTGGGTAAGAGGTATGAACTGAAGCCGAAAAGTAAGATGAAGTACGCATGGGACTATCCAGCTGTCAAGAACAAGATGATTAAGTTGGTTGCGAATGGGAGAGAGAGGAATGTGAACATTTTGGAGATTGGGAGTTTGCTGCCTTTCAAAGTTGCTCCAGCGGATAGGGATAAGGAAGGGGTGATAGCGTTGGATGTGAGGGCAGATGGACCGACGCAGACATTGGTATTGAGTAATTGGGTACCAGAGTTGAGCAACTTCAAGCGCAAACGTGGTGGACCGCACTCGACCTTCTCCCGCACAGATACGATGTCGAGCGTTAACAGTAAAGAAGCTCAGTTCGTAGCAGTCGATGTCGATACGAACATCCTTACAGCGTTCAACGTCGAGTTTGAAGGAGTCGGAATTTCGCTCATCAACCAAAACGTTCAAGAACTGGCGTATGTCAGCTTTAGAGGGTTGGAAATGCACTATACTGAATCCGAGGTGACCACGGCGGTCAATGTGATTTGTAAGTGGATTCAAATCGATAATCAGCTCTTTGGTGGGTTGTTCCCCATTGTACTGTATCCGACGGTCATTCCGAAGGATGGGAAGGATTTGGAAGTGCATCCGACTTTGCAGGCTTCAGTGATCATGTTGAAGGATCAATCGCATGGTGTGATGCATATCAAGTACGCATCCGTGTTGCTGCAGGAGATCACGGCCGAGTTGGACGAAGATTTCCTGTTTGCGCTTTACGAATTCAGCAAATTCAAAGGTGCCGCTTGGCAACTCGAGGCGGAGAAGGAGACGGATTTCATCGAGCATCCGAGAGAAGTTCCCGAGCCGAGTGGAGCGCAGAGTACGACGGATGATATCTATTTCGAGATCCTGCATCTTCAACCTATCTTGCTGAACCTTTCGTTCATGAGGACGGAGAGGGTCAATGCGGATGAAAAGGTCAGTTCTCGAAACCCGCTTATCTTTTTCTTCAACGCGCTTACGATGGCGTTGGGAAATGTAAACGAGGCACCGGTACGACTGAATGCGTTGGTGATCGAAAACGTTCGTCTTAGCAATGCGGTTTTGCAGCAGAGGATCATCTATCATTATTCGCAAGGCTTCCTTTTGCAGCTTTACCGGGTCTTGGGTTCGGCGGATTTCTTGGGTAACCCGGTTGGATTGTTTAACAATGTTTCCTCAGGAGTAGCGGACATCTTCTACGAGCCGTACCAAGGCTTGGTTATGCACGGCAACAAGGAGTTGGGATTGGGAATTGCGAGGGGAGCGAGTAGTTTTGTCAAGAAAACGGTGTTCGGCTTGACCGATTCCGTCTCCAAGGTCACTGGATCGATCGGGAAAGGTTTAGCGGCAGCTACGATGGATAAAGAGTTCCAATCTCGTCGAAGGATGACTAGGTTTAGGAACAAGCCTAGACATGCGTTGTATGGGATCACAGCCGGTGCCAACTCCTTTTTTACCTCGGTGGCGAGCGGGTTTGAAGGGTTGGCCTTGAGGCCGTTGGAAGGCGCAGAGCAGGGTGGTGCTGGTGGCTTCCTCAAAGGTGTTGGAAAGGGGCTGGTCGGAGCGATCACCAAACCTGTCGTCGGAGTTTTCGATTTGGCAAGTAACGTAACGGAAGGAATGAGGAATACGACGATGGTCTTTGATCAGAATGATATTGATCGTGTTCGACTCCCCCGTTACATTGCATCGGACGGCATTGTGCGGCCTTACTCTGATCGGGAAGCTCTCGGTCAGACTTGGCTCAAGAACGTCGATAATGGACGGTTGATGAAGGATAGCTATGTGGCTCACGTGGATACAGCCTCGCAAGAGGCCGATTCCGTGATCATGCTGACGGTTAGTAGGATTCTGTTTATAAGGACGATGCGGTTGAAGGTCATGTGGGAAGTTCCACTTAGTGATCTCAGCAGTATCTCTTTGGAAAGCGAAGGAATTGCGTTGGTGCTGAGGGGTGGAGTGCAGGGACCCTTTTTGCATCTGCCGGATGTGAGTACGAGGAATTGGTTGTTTAAACAGGTTAGTAGGGTAGTTAGGGGGTATAATGATTCCCGTCAGTCCTAGACAGCGCGTGGGAATGGGAACAGTCAAGAGCATTTGTTTCTGCAATGATACAGTATCTGATTCTATGTTATGCTACAGAGTGTGATCGAATGTGCAGGCGAGTGATGGTGTCCCCCCCTTTCCCCCTTTGGGGATGGGTGTTCGGCTTCTTATGCCAGGAGCTCAAGCTGAGAGGGGGGAGAACAGAATGGGAGGGATGTGAGGAGCTTGGATGCACTGTCGATCGATCTTAACTGCACTTCTGTCGCCACGGGTGGAGAACAACTCCTGACAGAATGCGCGTTTGAGGAACGCGACTCGCACCCGCGCTGAAAATCCAAGACCAAGATTTCAGGGTCCAAGCAGCATTGCCTCGGCTATTTTGGTGAAGGGAGGCACCCTGAGCTGAAGGTAAGGGATTTTGGGTTTGCATTTGGGTTGCCGGTTCGAAGCTCGGATGCTCGGATGCTCCGACGCTGCGCCTCTCTCAGATGCAGGCAGGTTTGTGCTGAGGGTCCAATGCACAGGCGAGCAGACTGGAATGGAGATCGAAGGCGCAAGGTGCGTGTGTCTCGAGCTGATCAGTCGCTGAGCGCTTGGTTCTCTCTGGGGCGCAAAACCCCACTACAGTGTATCTAGGCTACGGATCAATTGAAGAAAACAATTAATATACGGCGTTATCGGGGTCACGATCAGACTCCCTTTGCCACAGCCGTATGTTCTATGTAATGCGTGGTTTTCTTAGTGTGTGACTAAATGACAAACACATATATATACTCCATTCATTGCTCTGATCCCATCCGAGGCAGGGTGTGTTCCTTCATTTGTACCCCTGTGTTGCTATGATACCGGGTGCCACTGTGCTGTCACCATGACAACAATTGCGTACCTCATTGTGCTCCTCGCTTATGTGAGCCTCCCGTATCTCGATGTCTCGGCCGTAACACGTGCACCTTGCTTGAGATGCCGACGCATCTTCAACTCCCCCCTTTGGCGGGATCTCCAGTCCTATCATCCTAGCCAATCGTGAGGTGTTAAGACCCTGTAAGGGTTTTGTCAAGACATCTGCAACGTTGTTTGCCGTTCCGACATATTTGATCTCCACATCGCCCTCTTGTACGTGATCGCGTACGAAATGATACCGTGTGTCGATGTGCTTTAACTTCCAATGTTTGGCTGGGTCTTTACTCACCTGTATGCACCCCTGGCTGTCTGTGTATAGTACGGGCCGAACGCCCGTGGCCTCCAAATCCCGGAGCAAATATGAGAAGAATAAGGTTTCTCGTACCGCTTCGGAAGCGGCGACAAACTCTGCTTCGACTGCCGACAGTGCCACACACTTCTGAACGTGTGATTTCCAACTCACCGGACATCCATACACATATGTTATCGACCCCGAGGTACTTCTTCGTCCATTTGTGGGGTCGGATGCCCAGTTTGCGTCAGTATACGTCGTTACCGGTGTATCCGAGTGCTCGTTTGTCTCTCCTCCTAGGTGCAACTGATATTCGTTCGTTTGGTTCAGGTACTTTACCACGTGGACAGCTGCCTTCCATGCGCTGTCGATCGGGATCGACATATATCGCGCCAATACGCCGACGGCAAAGGCAATATCTGGTCGGGCTGTGTTGGAGACCCATAATAGTTGGCCGACCAATTCTTGATACCTCTTTGCTCGCTTAGGTTCACATCGCTCGCCTCCGGCGGTGTTTGCTACACTCAGCATGGGTATCCAGGATTTCTCGTTTGCTCCTCCTAACCATTTGTTCACCATTTCCTTGATGTATGCCGTTAGACTCAGGGATATCCTCCTCCGTCCTCTATCACGTATAATCTTGATACCCAGAAATTCTTTGATCCTTCCATTGTCTTGCGTCTCCCATTTGTCCATGATCTCCCGCTTTGCGCGGTCTACTTCCTCACGACTGGGTGATGTTATCAGCATGTCGTCCACGTATGCTGTGATGATCGTGATCTTGTCGCCTGTCCCTCTTGAGTATAGGCATGGAGCGCTCTGCATGCAATGAAATCCGATCGTCCGGAGGTGTGAGTCTAACTCAATGTTCCATTCTCGGCCCGACTGTTTCAAACCGTACAGTCCTTTCACTACCTTCAACACTTTTCCGGGTGGTATTTCGATTCCTACTGGGGGCTTGAGGTATACATCATGGTGTATAGTGGAGTTCAGGTACGCTTGCTTTACGTCAATAGAATCCATTTCCCAATCTCGTACTGCTGCGACCGCGATCACCCCTCGAATGGATTGGATAGGTGCTACTGGTGCGAAGACCTCTGTATAGTCGATGCCCTCGCGTTGAGTGAAACCTCTTGCCACGAGCCGGGCTTTGAACTTTGTTGGCACGAGGTTTGCATCGGTTTTGATCTTGAGTACCCAACGTGTGTCGACGGTGTTTGCACCCTTTGGAAGGTCGACTATCTCCCATGTGCCCATCGCCTCTAATCCATCCAGCTCCTTTCGCATGGCCTCCTCCCAGTGCTTTCTGTCCTCTCCATTCATTGCTTCATGTATGGTTGGGTCCAGGTTCTTTCTCCGTTCCGGTCGCGTCGCTACGAGTCCATAAAATTCGCTGTCAATTTGAGTTTCGGCGATTGGTCCTTGTTCCATCACCTCTGCTATTCCTTCGCGTAATCTTTCTTCCGAGTCTGACTCCATATCCATGTATTCTCGTAGTGGCTCTTCATCTGTTTCGTCGAATATATTTTCTTTGTTATATCCTAGATCTTCGAGATTTTCTTCTGTCATCGTCATTGGGGGTGCCTTTGTATCAACCGGTCGCCACTCTGTTCTGTCTGACCAGCACTTTGATTCCATGAATTTTGCTGAATTGCTCCAGAAGATGTTCGGATTGTAGTCCGGGCTGTAGAAAAGCCAGCCCTTCCTCTCTAGACTGTACCCTAAGAAAATGGATGCAACGGCTCGCTGGTCCAGTTTCTTGTTGTCCCGTTTAACTTTGGGTATGTTTACCCATGCCAGACAACCAAACACTCGTAGGAGCTTTAAAGCTCGTTCCGGCGACTTGCCAAACATCGCTTGATAAGGGAATTCATTATCAACGCTCGGAGTGAGGTTTATTTTGAACGCTGCAGCTCTGATCGCGTATGGCCAGAACTTCTTCGGTAGTCTCCTCTGCATTAGCAACGTTCTCATCTTCTCTCCAAGGGTCCTGTTCATTCTCTCTACCCGTCCATTTTGTTTGCTGTTGTACCCTACGGTGGTTTGCCACTCTATGCCCTTTTCTAGCGACCATTCTAATGCATCATTGCTTTTCCATTCTGTTCCTTGATCGGATCGGATCGCTTTTAGCTTCCGATCCGTCTGTGTCTCCAGGAACGAAACAATCCTTTTAAGTTGCATAAAGGCATGACTCTTTCGTGTCAATGGCTGTGCATACACATACTTGCTATGATCGTCGACCAGCACCAACGTGCATGTGTACTCCGTCACGTGGGACGAGTCTATTATTAGATCGACGTGGATAAGATCCAGGGGCCCTACGGCTCTCTCGCCGCTACCTTTCCCCATCCGAGCGCTTTTGCTCTTGGATCGTACGCACTGCTCACATGTCAGAGCGGTGTTTGGATCCAATTTCATGGTATGCTTATCCTTTAACTTGTTTGTGATCGCCTTAGCTTTATCTCTTCCTGGGTGCCCGAGACGCTCATGCCATAGTTGTTGCTTTGAAACTTTCGGCTCATTCTTAATATGCTCGAACTCCTCATCAACACCTTCAAACAATGGTGCTGATGTGGCCATCGCGCTTTCTTGCCATGTGTCGCCTCGGAACTCCAGAAGTCCTCGCTCGCGATTCTTTGCAATCTTAAGTGTCATGCCGTTTGTTAGGAAAATTTGGCCGCCGGTTGTGTCCAATATCACTCGTGCTCCTTCATCCGTTAATGAATTTGTTGACAGAAGGTTAACATTAAGGTGCTTTACATACAATACATTTTGCAGAGGGATTTCCCCGTAATCTGTTGATATGCTCGCATCTCCTATAGCTGCCGCTTCCAAGACCTCGCTTCCGGCGGTAATTATCCGCTTTCGGCAAGTTCTCGGGTGAATGAGCATGCTGTAGTCGTTCACCATATGATAACTCGCCCCCGAGTCCAAGATCCAATGAGCTGTTTCTTTTGGGTTCGAGGGGTCCTGCCATTTCATTGGGAGGGTGAGGGAGCACCACGCTTCCTATTTGGGTTCAGCGAGGGGAGAGTCCTTGGGAATGGTAACCAAGGCGTCGCATTGGCTGATACCATGTCCCGGTCGCTTGCAGATCCAGCATCGGATTCGGCGTGGTTTGCTTGCGTTCCTCGGGCTCGCGTGGCTGTTGTCGGCTTCGGCTTCGGTCTCTCCGGCCCGTTCATTTTGATCGTCGTTGCCGGCGGTTCTAGCGCTGGCTTGTCGGGGGTCGATCCTTTGTGCGGGGACACTCTCGACAGCAGTCTGCCGGATGCTTAATGCGGTGGCAAGGGCGTTGAAGTCGATTTGATGGACGGTGGCAACCGTCTCCTTGTACACCGGATGCCGGATCGTGCATTTCTGCAGGGCCGAGAACAATGTATCATCGGCGAATGGTTTTCCGAGGAGACTGCTTTCAGTTTGTATGGACCGGATCTCTTGGATTAGCTTTCTGGCATCCGAGTGAAACATCTTTGCATCGTTGAGTTGCGAGATAAGCGCAAGTCTGTGGGACGTCTTGGTGGCTTCATTCGTGAGACCGTTTTCGATCTTTCTCCATACTTGGTTGAAAGTAAGGTACTCCTTGATTACATCTAGAACGAGGTAGTTTACATTGTGTTCTCCGGTAGTATCGATTGTTCCACGCAGGGCGTTAATTAAAGCATCGTCAAGGGAGCGGCTCCATTTCGGGTGTTTCTTGTCGTACGTTCCCTCGAGATGTTTCATCGCATGAGGCACGGATCGGAGGAAAGATTTCACGTGAGCGCTCCAGCTATGGTAGTTTCGTGACGTGAGCTTTGGCACAGGTTCAAGGAGCTTTGCTAGGGTGCGAAAGTTATATCGCTTGTCGCCATCATCAAAGTCGGAGTCGGAATCGGTGTCTCCGTCGGCTTCATCGTTGATGGCCTCCGGCTCGTTCTCGCTCGTGGCATTATTGTCGACCCGAACCTGGGTGTTCTTGCCTTTTCTGCTTCCTTTAGTCCTCATTTCGGTGTCTTCTACCATGGTTGTCGGCGAGTTTTCGGTTAGCTCGGTGATAGCTTCTTCAGACTCTTAATCAATTGAAGAAAACAATTAATATACGGCGTTATCGGGGTCACGATCAGACTCCCTTTGCCACAGCCGTATGTTCTATGTAATGCGTGGTCTTCTTAGTGTGTGACTAAATGACAAACACATATATATACTCCATTCATTGCTCTGATCCCATCCGAGGCAGGGTGTGTTCCTTCATTTGTACCCCTGTGTTGCTATGATACCGGGTGCCACTGTGCTGTCACCATGACAACAATTGCGTACCTCATTGTGCTCCTCGCTTATGTGAGCCTCCCGTATCTCGATGTCTCGGCCGTAACACGTGCACCTTGCTTGAGATGCCGACGCATCTTCAACTGGATCAACTAGCGGTTGGTCCTGAGTTGCGGGGTGCTAAGGTAGTCTGGTTGCAAAGGGCGTCGCTTCATCCCGCTCTCCCACTCGACGACTTTGCCGGGTTTGCGAGGTTCGATCGCTCAATCTGATCTTTACCACTCTGCCGAAAGTGTCAGGACGCTCATCTTGTCTCGCTGCGTGTTGGCGACCACATGGAAAGAGTGCCGACACACAGGGTGTAAGTCAATGCGCTTGGCTGTGCTTCGCTTGTTCACACGTCGGAGCATCCGCCAGCGCGAGGTGGCGGTTGGAGAGATGTCTGCCGTCTCGAGGTCTGTTCAAGCAGAAATCGCCATCTCGGACCTGCATTCTCTAGTTTGGTCTTTGGTGAGATTGCAGACACACCCTAAACTCAGGTTGTTGCTACTGCTTCGAACAATAAGAAAGCAGACCGTTCGGGACTGAAACAAACAAAAGCGAACAAAAGGGCAAAAAGGATTCTGACAGCAACTCGGCCTACAAAGCTTGGAAATGAACGCAGCTGATTCTCTTACTTTCTTTGAGATGTGTGGGTGAGAAAAGTGTCGGGCCTTCCGCTTCATCAGACTGTACGTACAGCTTTGAAGTGGCGTGGCGTGGGATTGAATGTGCTCTTAACCCATCGGCACCATCCGAACAATGCTCAGCAATCTCAATGTGGCAAGTGAGCGAGCGAGGCCAAGGCTTGCCTAATCTGTCATCTCAGGAGCTTGGAGAGCGAAAAGCGCACGGTGGAGTTCAAGCATAGATTGTCATGCTACGATTGGAGGTGCGTCGGGCACTTGTCTGAACAGGAAAGGCAAGTCTGCTCTCGTATACGGCTGCTTGCAGCCACACCGAGACACTAAGTGACTGCCCATCTGCCATTCCTCTCATCATTCTTGCTTCCCCCTCCTTTACGCAGCGGAGAGTGAAAAAGACGCGTCTTTCATTTCTTTTTTCTTTTTCTTTTTCTTTTTCTTTTTCTTTTTCTGAGAGTGCTGTGGCTGGCTAAGTTCGGAGTAAAAAGTGTTGGTTGTCAGTTGGCTTCGCGTGTTGGAATAGCAAAGTGACATATGTCGTCTGTCGATGAAATGCACAGCTAAACTCCCTTGCGTCTGCCTTCTGTCCTGGCCAGCAGCACATTGGCAGTCTGGCTTAATCTCATCTCGAACTTGCACAGCTGTCAAAGCCATCATCACACCATCATCATCAAATGACCGCGCTCGAATCCCTTTTGCTGCTAGGCAACGCACAACGCCTGGCACATTCCACACGCCTCGTCAATTTCACTTGTCTTGGCTCATTTCACTTGCTCTCCTGGGATTCGGCTCCTCCGCCCCAAACTCAACTGTCATTGCGGTTTGTTTGCAGCGGTGGAATTGATTGACTGATTGATTGGTGAACAGAAAATCAATTTATCGTAAAACTCAACAAAGTGCAGAAAGTGGATTTTGATTCACCTCTCTCTCTCTCTCTCTCTCTCTCTCTCTCTCTCGCTCGACTCTACTCAATTTCATGGCAGCTCAGCCTGCCACTCTCCTCATCCTTACTCTTTCCTCTCTCTCTCCTCCTTCTCATCGTCATCTCTTGTCCATTCACCTTCTCTCTTCTTGCATTCCATATATATCCTGGCTCCCACTGTATCTCTATCTCCACATCCATTCCTCATAGCAATCCTCTTACCTTTCCCCCCATCTCTCATCCTCCTTCGTCTGGATACGATACGAGCTTGTCCCTTGATCACTCTCGCTCCTCTCTTCTTCTTCGCTCCACACATACACTTTGCATCCACATTCTCTCGCTCCATCTTCCTACCCTGCTACTCTCTGCACAAGCCTCTCCTTACCAAACCATCTCTTTTCCTCTCCTACACTCTTTGCTCTCGCAACTGCATACCCTGCTCATCTCTTCTCATCTGCATACCACCTACCACCTACCACCTATCACCTCTCGCTGCACGCTTCAGCACATCAGCGTCACAAAGAGTCTAGCATCTAGCATCTTCATCACTATCACTACGACTACTACGTACGACGACAATGATATACGAAGTTGCCGCAGCAGTCGAACATATCGTCAACCTCATCCAAGAGACCAAGCGGGAACAGCAAGTCGCTCCCGAGGCACTCGCCGGCTTCGCATCTACCCTCAAGGATGCTCTCGAAAAGCGATGCCAACGATGCTGGAGGCCAGCTGAACCCGAGATTGGTTCCGCCCAGCGATCTGTCGCTTGGCAACTCCATGCCGCAGGTGAAGGTGCTGATTGTGACCTCTTTCGTGCCTTTGCCTCTGTTCTAGAAGCTCAAGCAGAGGAAGGCGAGATCGTTCACATACACCAGTCCAACGTCGTTGCTCTCGCTCTTCAGTGGCTTCCCATGCCTTTTACTCTTTGGATCGACCCCGGTTGCGTCGCTGTCCGCAGAGGAAGCGGTCCCGGTGCTAGTCGCTCTTCGTACGATTTCGACCTTCTCAAGTCTGGTTCTAGCTCTTCTTCTTCCTCGATCCATGTCATTTGGGGTCAGATGGTTGCTACCACTGCCGAACGCGGCAATGTGCCTCAGCTCACTGTCAGCAGCACCCCTCGTCCTATTCCTATTGTCAAGCCTACAGCCACAGTTACTGCTGCTGCTCCTTTGCACTTGCGCTACCCAGTTCAGGTGATGAGCAACCCTCCTCCCCAGCACCACCACCGTGCCCTCTCCAACTCCTCTTCCGCCTCAAGCTCCTCGGTGGGCCTCGTCCGCAGTGTCAGTCTCTCGAGCACCCACACTGTCTTCACCGATGCCACCAGCGTCAGTGATGGGCTTGACAACGCTGACAACGACGCAACCTCGGAAGCCTGTCCCAGCCTCTGCTCGCCTTCTTCCTCTCACATGTCGAGTCAGTGCACGCCTAGCACCGGCAATGACCGCGACTCGGTCCATGACACCACCATCGGTGATACTACTGAGCGCTTCGCTGGTGTTCGTCTTTTCAGCGGCGACGATGACAAGGATGAGCAGGAGGAAGAAGAAGCGGGTGATCTGACCATCGGTGCTGCTGCCTCTATGATTGGACTCAACCTCTCGAAAGATGCCAAATCGCAGCATATGCTCGGTGCTAGCCCTTCCCTCACCAAGCCCCTTGCTTCTTCGACTCCAGTCAAGTGTAACTACACCACTCACGACAATGGCAATGTTGGTGTCCTTGGCGGCGGTGTTCGTCTTGGCGGCGGTGGCAGCTCCAAGCCTGCTCAGCCCCAGCCCCCTCGACACCGTCAACACTCCAACTCCAAGAGCATCAGCCACCTTCAGGGAGGTCTTCATAACCAGCTTCTCCCTCCTTACATGCCTCAGCAGTACCTTGCCCAGCCCATTCCTCGTCAGCTTCGCTACATGCACGCTCCCAACTACAGCGCTCCTATGCGAACTGACCCTCTTCCCAACGTTAGTATGGCCCCTCAGCAGCAGCAGCACTACCAGCCCTCGCAGTACGGCTACCAGCAGCAGCAGCGGGACAACGCTGCCATGATGCAGCCCTTTGCTCACCCTTCGCAGCAGCTTCCCGCTCCCTACGGTTACCGCGCCCTTGCTCCTCAGCAGCAGCAAGCGTACGGCTCACGATTCGTTGCTCAGCCAGTCATGTCCTCCAGTGATCTCTTCTTCGTCGCTGCGGAGGCTCGCGCTGGTGACAACGATGAGGAAGCTGACGAAGTCGGCGGCGCTGGTGTTGGTGGTCGACGTCGTCTTCGATCCCGCGGTCGTCGTTCTCGCGGTCGTGGTGCAGGACGAGCTGCTCGTCGTCAAGCCACCGCTCTCCGCGCTTCGGGGCTAGGAAGTACCGACGAGCTCCCTGAGTTCGCCGATTATGGTGAAGAGGAGGAGAATGACGACTTGATCTCTCGTTGCTCCACTCCAGCTACCTCATCCGAGTACACCTACTCTTCATCGACTGCTTCGTCTTCGTGCTACTCCAGCGCCATTTCTTCGCCTGCGAAGCAACAGCGGACACGCAGTGGAAGGGTCTCGCACAAGTCGTCTCGTCACAACCTTCGCGCTGCTGTCAACAAGGAGGAGATGGCACAGTTTGGAATGCAGCTCCACTCCAACCTTGCTCGTCTTCAAGCCTTCGCTTGATCCTGCATATACTTTTCGACTTCTTGGTTCCCCCCACTCTTTCGCGGGGGTCCCTCTTTGCTTTCTCTTCTCTTTCTCATAACGATGCAGTGCATTTCGAGAAGAGAGAAGGAGGAGGTAAAGCATATTCCACAAACAATTCACTTTGCGCCTAGCCCCACAAAAACCGCTTGTTCCGGGCTACTGATTCTCATCCCATCTCAGACACATTTCGACTTCAATCACACAGACTCCAGCCTCTCTATCTATCTTGTATCACCTCTATCTTGTAGCATCATTATCAGCATAGCAGTAGTGGGTTTGGCGAGTATAGTGGCGCCTCTTTCCGGGCATGTCCTTTTGGACTCTTTTCTTGGCATTTATAAACATCACTGTTCCCTCTCATACAGCAATAGCATCCTGGCCGTGGTCCATTTTATAGCAATACCATCTGTCTCTTTCAGCATCTTTTGTTGGTTGTGTGACTGGAACTCGTTCGTGCGCTCGTGGTTGTGTTGTTCACCTCTGTCCTGGTTTGATGGGGTTTTCCTTTCGCAAAACACAACGCAATTGGGCGCGAGTGATGCTAGGGATGCAATAACCTTCACAGACGAGAGATCGCACAGAAAAATGTCAGGTGGCATCCGAGAAAGAAGCGAAAAGAAGAAGCACAAGTAGAAATTACAACCACCAACCACCATAAGTGGTGAGGTGTGTTAGAGGGAAACAAGATCAATCCTCGCGCGATCCCAAAGAGAAGAATTGATCTGATCCATCCCGCCTCTTGCCTCGAGTTGCTCCTTCTTGATGGGATCCACCTGAACTGCTACCACTGATCCCTTTGCTACACTTCCTGGTTGAATTACCGTAGCGCTGTTCACCACTCTGATGAATGGCTTGGTGATCTTCCCACTCGGTAGTATCAAAAGATCTGGTGTAACCGCTGGGAAGTTCAACAAGTGACTATGACTCGTATCGTACGCCAGGTTTGAGGAGGTGGGTGGGGGGAAAAGAGGATAGAATGAGCGTTGTGAGATGATTGAACGGCTGTAGCGTGTGTTTGGTTCTTTGTTTTTTCCTGCCACTGCCTCCGCAACTGCGATAGGGAGGTTAGGGTTGCGGTGGGGAGAGGATTCGATTCGAGTTACAAACTCTTCGCTCTTAAGATCGCCCAATGAATCGGCGGTGGTTGTGCCGAGGACAAGTTCGTTGACGTAAAAAACGGATGGATTGGGTAGACAACGGACTCGTTTAGGTAAACCCCATTGCGAAGTGTCTTCTTTGCTGAATGAAGGTTGAGGGTAGGCAGAGTGAAGGTTTAAAATGTCGTCCGTGCTAGGGATCAATACGACCATTGTTGCCGGGTACTTGGTGGTGAGCGTTATTAAGCGGGATGAGAAATGTCGTGCGAACAACTCTCCCGGCAACTCGTCAGAGAATGGCAATCGAGGATGGGAGGAAGAAATGAAAGGACCAGTGAGGATCAAAGTATCTGGTACCCCCCTCCTCTCTTGGCTGCCGTCGGGAAACGGCAACCCTCCAGCCTCCAATTCATCCATCAACCGATGCCATCCCTCAAACTCTAACCCTTCCTCCCCCGTAAACGGCCCTGCTGCAGCCACAATATTAAGTGCTTTCGCATTCAGCTTCACGGGGGAATACGAATGATCTCTAGCCTCATCCACCGTATGAACCGCAAGTGGCAGTGGAGGAGGAAAGTGGATTTCAGAAACAGCAAACTTTTCCGCTCCTGCATTGATTCCTCTACACATCACAATCTGCCCAGGGAAGAGGCTCAACGTAGTCGCACCCCCACCTGTTCCTGGATCTTGTGGAGTGTATTTGACTATACAACCCTTGTTGAAGGTCAGTGGGATGCGGTTCCCCGACCCCATCATACGGGACGATTCGAGTACGACTCCTGTTTCTGCTAGTTTGGGCAAACCGAATGCCGCATTTTTTCCCTCTACTTCGGTTTTGCTCCGTGCAGCGGCTTTCGAGCGGAGTGTTTGCCCAGCGGAGGATTCTGATGCGGGCAGAGCGGGACAGATTCTCCCAACAACCCAAATCGGTTCCTGGGAGGGAAGTGAAGGATCACCAAATTCTTCACTCTCATCGATGTTGTAGGCGGTTCGGAGTAGGGATGCGAACTCGTCGATTCGGTCGTCTAGTACTTGTGATCGTTCACCTTTCTTCTCAAACATATATCGATAGTTCCAAGCTTTTGGGTCCATGGCCATTGCTAGTGAGACTCGAGAGTTGGGTTTTTTGGCTCCAGCAGGGGTGGGTGGGCAAAGCTGCGAGCCTGAGGTTGAGAGCGGGATGCTTTCGTTGAGACTTTCGATAATGGAGAATGCTGGATTTGTGGAAGTGGTGGAGGCATGGGGGCGGAGGGGAGAATCGATCTCCGCCATGGTCACATCCGCAGTGCTGGCTGTGTTGTTTGCGGAAGGTTTGTACGCAGAAGCGCTGGCCGGTGTCGCATCCGCACCTCCATACGGCGAGTGATTCTGTCGTTGGGGAGTCTGAAATGCGCCTCCCATCGCCGATGGAGTCTTCATCGGAGTACCCTTGATCCCCAACAGAGCGCTGAAATCACCAGCCACCTTCCCCCTATTCAGCGCCGAACTTGGCTTGAGTGGCGTCTGATTCCCCGCACTCTCTCCCCCAGCACCAGCGGAAGAAGAGTTGATGGAGGAAGCAATGATCTTCCTCAACTCTCTCGCATGATCGATCGTCAGCGGTTCAGATTTAGGCAGCTTGTGGTTGAAAGCAAAGGCTTCCCATTTATAGAATAGATCTTCGGGGGAGACGCCATAATGGGTACAGATGGAGGTGGTTTCTGAGAGTAAAACCGGATCGGAGGCTAGGTGCGGGCCGAAATGCTCAGAGAGTCGGATTGTGAGGTCGGTGGCTACTACCATTGTTGTGCAGCAGTAGCGGAGCGGTTCCGAGGGGAAGATGTGTGAGGTGGCTGGTAAGGTGGTGGTGGCCTTGGACGAGAAGAGGGAGAGGGTGTGTTTCTGGAAAGGAAGCTGAGCTGAGTTGAGTAGTTGCGCCGAAGTGTTGGTGTTAGACTTTTCAAGCGCGTGACACGGTGCGAAATGGAATTTTGACAGACCGCGTCGCGTTGATGAGTTGAAAAGAAAGCTCGGATTTCGGGGGTTGGAGACTCCACCTTGTGTAAAAGTGCAAGTTCAGGGTCCATCCAGTTGATCTTCTCGACGTTTCACAATCTAACCCGGTCGCTCCTTCCATCCATTCTCTATCGGGTGCAAGTCGAACCCTCCAGGGCAATTACAATGCATCCGGCAACTAGCCGTCTGGCGTAACGGACCTATCTGCTAACACGATGTCAGCCTCCTCGGCTGCCAAAGGCAAAGCACGAGCCATCGATCCAGAGCTCGACTGCCACAATGCAGCACCAACCACCGACGCAGGTCTATCCCGACACATCAAACCACAACCCATCCCATCAACAACCCTACTCAATATAGAATACCCCGGCATCCTCTCATACGACTCATCTTATTCCCCTCGTTCATACCCTAGCCTCGACCGCGCGCTATCCACTTTACATCCATCAGCACTACCACCTTTGACAAGTAGCTCCTGTGAAGGGCTCAATTTCCTTTCGAAGATCCCGAACGAGGGGGTTAGGCTCGTCGAGTGTCGGCTGGGCGGGTTTGGTGATCAGAACAAGGCAGGGGGATCTTCTTCGAGTGCGAGTGCGGGAAGGATCGACGATGTGTACAGAGCACCGTTGATCGGGGAGGCTGTTCCGACGAATAATGTTGTTATTAGGGTTGTTAAGCGGGTCTGGAGGCAGAAGAAGCGGAAGCGAGCATCTTTTTGCTCCCCCTCCCCACGGACTGCAGGACTTCAGCAGGACGTTATGGCTCTCGATCCAGCACTCTTTGCCGATACCGAAGCTTCTCCAGCCGAGCAGCCAGCAAACGGCCACATCGACCCTCCAAGCAAGCAGGATCGCTATACAGGTGGAATCAAGAAAGAGTACTGCATCGAAATTCTCGGTCTAGCCACCAACACAGTGCGGTTCCGAAGTATGGCAGACTTTGCTTTTCAGCCTTCCATCTCCACCTCCTCTACCTCTGATCCTGGAGCGGTACAGCAACTCGATCCAGTAATGTCCCTCCACAAAGCTCTGGCGACAATGGATCTCGAAGCGTTCCAAAACTTTCGTGTTCCTGCACAACTCGAAGACTATCAAATCCCAGATCCCCCCACCGGTCAACTTAGGAGCAACCTACACATGGTCCCTCCAGCCTTCTTCAGCCGCATGGACGTACCTTTCAATTATGGGTTTCAACAAACTCCATATAGCGAATTACGAACCGTCGCCGCGCCTCCGCATCTCCGCAAACCTCCAGGCGCTACATCCTTCGCACATGCACTCAAACGAGACGATCTTGCACCAGGCCAAATGCAACGTTTCGTTAACCGCGTAAGACTATCCAACATCGCTCCTCAACCTTTCAGGCCTGGTAGGGATACCAAGATCCCAACTAAAGCGATGCAAGATGTGATTAGGATCGAACATCGATGTGATCCCGCTGTACTCGCTCGGCTGAAGGAGTTGCTGAATGAAAGACCGATTTGGTCGCGAGTAGCGCTGAAGAATCAACTCAGCGATGCGGAAGTGAGGGAGTTACACGGGTATAACGAGAAGGTTTACTATGCGCTGGTGGGGTATTCGATGGTTGGTGGACCTTGGAGAGATGCGATTGTGAGGTTTGGGTACGATGTAAGGAAGAATGCAGATAGTAGGATTTATCAGAGGATTTTTCTTCGTGGGGGGCCAGCGACTCGCGAATCCAGGCTCAACCAGCAAGGCGGGGCAGATAAAGAAGAAGATCAGGGTGAAGAAGACGACGCAGACGAACAACCCCCTCCACGTTCCAGCACCGTCCCTATCCCAGGCAAGGAGAGAGCGAGAAACACACACATCTTCGACGGAGTCACTCTCCATCGCAACATCGGCAATTTTCATTTGTGCGATATCGAAGATCCCCTCATCATGCCGTTTATTTGGCGAGGCAATGATGAGGATCTGCCCGCAGAATCGGTGCTACCGGAGAACGGGATGCAGTTGGAACCGATGGGGATAGAGTGGTTGAGAAAAACATGGGATGCCGAAACGGGATGGTATACGAAGAGGGCGTTGGAGTTGATCCGTGCGTTACTGGGGGCGAGGTTTAAGGCGTTAGCTGAGACAGGGAGGGCGTTGGAAAAGGAAGCTGTGGATGGGATTGTGGGGAGATTGAGGAGGAGGTGGAGTGAGGAAGATCTAGCAATGGCGGACAGTAGAGGAGAAGGGGAAGTGGATGGTATGGAGGAGAATGCGGGTGCTGGGGCAGGAATGGGGTTGCCTACTGATCCTGCTTTCACGTAACCCCGATCTCAGGTTGGGGCTGAATCGGGTCACAGAAGTTAGTGCCGATCTCACTTTGTTGTCCATTCGCATTACAATTCGAGCATGTTTCGGATGCACACAACACACAACTGATAAGACGTTGTTGTTAGCATGTGATTGTGTTGTTTTCATTTGCAAACTGTGCTTGTTGGAAGAAAAATGAAAGAGAGGAAAAAGGCATGGTTCGAGGGCGAGAAAGCTGGGAGGGGATATCAACCCTTCAACGTCGTACGATCCTGCGTCGCATCGAGTCCGAGCGCAAAGTTTCCGTCGAATTGATCCTGATGACAGGGGCGCATCGAAGTCGAAATACCTGAGAAAGATGAACGATGCTATCCGGGTTACAGCTTAAGACTTGAGCTCTCCTTATATCCTTACACATATCCCTTTACTCCAACTTACTCCTTCTTCTCGGCGGTGTCATCCTTCTTCTCTTCCGCAGTGTCCTCCTTCTTCTCATCAGCAGCTGGTGCAGGTGCTGCCTCAGCTTTCCCACCAACGTTCTTCTTCTGTGCCGACTCAAAAGCCTCCTTGAATCCGTTTGCATTCTCCGAGTTAGCGAATCGGATAGCCAGCGTCTCGGCAGTAGGTTCACCATCAGCGACATCGGCAGCGACATTGTAAACCCACGATCGGTCCGAACCGACGTTGGGGCTGAGCTTCATGTCGCTAGTTACGTAGTGGTTGGCGCAGACTTTGAGCGTCTTGTCTCGACGCATGACGAGTCGGACTTTGTGAGTCTGCTTGTGTTCGAGAAGACGAACATCACCGGTACCGCGTTCTTTCCATTCCTTTGCGTCTTTGTCGAATCGGAAGAGCTTGGCACGCATTTTGAAGGTGACTTCTTCATCTTCTTCGTGTGTCTTGACTTCGACTTGGTTTTCGAGCTTGATGACGGGTTCGAAGTGAGGGTCATTTTCGGGCTCCTCGGCGGCGGCGGCGGCGGAGCGTGCCTCGTTCTGCAATTCAGCATGAGTCCAAAGCGAAGTGGGATCAGGTGTATGAAGGGGGGGGGGGGGGGTCATTTCTGTCAGTCAGTGGCGTGCTCTTTCTACGGCGGGAAGCAGCAAGATATGCTAGTGAGTTGAGGTGCTGGGAACTTACAGCGTCAACAGTGGGCTTGGTAGCTTCAGTGTCAGCCATCTTGTATGTGTGATATAGAAATGTGTGTGTGTGAAGGTTGATGGTAGTGGAGGAACAAACAGCGGAGCTATATTTGTTGAAAGAAACACATACACACAGTGACGAGTTGTGTGGCTCAGCGTTTCGAGACCAACATGTCAAAAATTCCAACCCGACAGACAGACAGACAGACAAACGGCTTCTGCTGCTGCTGCTCTTTCCCTCACCGCTTCTCAAACACACACAGCAAGAGATAGAAAGCTTTGAACGCGCACAGCACTCGCAGATTCAAGTTCCTACCCGATCACTACAAATAGGGCGAAGCAGCAATTCAAAATTCAGGTGCAATCGCTTCTTGAAACAACAGGCGCCGGTCTTTTCTCAAGTTTGTAACATGCATAGGCCTAACAACATATGCAATTTCCTCTGCCGGCTCTAACACCTGTGAATAAAAATCCTGAAGGCTGGAACAGCGACCACGTAGCAACGATGGAAGAGGCTTGAGCTCATGCCAACGCACTCGTCTCGCGAGAAGCATCTTCTGAAACACACAGATTCAACCTTGCTTGTCATAGACACCATTTCACCTTTAGCTTTTCCTATCGTCAACATCCTGCTCCCGTGTTTGGTTGGTTGGAAGCAGCTCAGCACTGACACGACCTCCGTCGTTCTCCCATCACCATTGCAAACCGGAAGCACCGGACCAACACCTTTCCATCCCACCTCACCGCCATGTCAAGACCCTCACCACTCTCCATGCTGCTCTCAGCATTGGCATTCGCCCTCCTCCTCATCCTCACCCTCAGCACCACCCCGGCGGAAGCACACATGATCGAACTTCTGCCACACAGCAAAGAATGTTTCTTCGAAGACTTGCATCATGGTGACCAAATGACTCTAACCTACCAAGTAGGAGGAGGAGGACATCTCGACATCGACGTTGTTCTGTACGATCCAAAATCGCGTCCATTGTTCAAGCAAGATCGCAAAGACACCGGCACATATTCGTTTACAGCTCAGGATGACGGTCGATACACATACTGCTTCTCGAACGAGTTCAGTTCGATTTCGGATAAGACAGTCAGCTTCAACGTGCACGGAATCATATATGTCCCGGATGAAGGGGATATGTTGCCGATTGAAAAGGAGATTAGGGATTTGGCAGCAGGGTTGCAGGCGGTGAAGGATGAACAGGAGTATCTGGTCATTCGTGAAAGAGTGCATCGTAACAGTAAGTAGCACCTAACACCGACCAGATGCGCACAAGGCAAGCAGGTGAATTTTGAGCTGACCATCTCAAATCTTCTACATCCCGATGATGTGCTCATCACAGCCGCTGAAAGCACAAACACCCGTGTCAAGTGGTGGTCCATCATTCAAGGCTTCATCCTAGTTGCTGTATGCTCTTGCCAGATTTACTTCGTCAAGCGTCAATTCGAGGTTCGAAGGGTTGTCTAAATCGCACGGCCTCCTGCTCCTCGCGAAATTCAAAAAAGAATCTTTATCGACATCCTCTTCGTGCTTCCACACTGAGTTCTTTGTATGATATCAGACCGGATAGCAAAGTACAGACTAAGAAGATGAGTTAGAACGTATTACTACAGCGACCGGCAAAAGCAAATGAGCACAAAGAATCGGAATGTACAAAGAAATGAAGGGATGCAAACCCGTACAGCTAAACTAAACGAGCATGAAGGTGAGACAAAAATAAAATAAAAAATGATGCTAGGATGTGTCGAATCTAGTCCTTCTTGGACTTCTTCTTCTTGCTCGACCCTGGTTCGGACTTGGGTGTACCGTTAACTTCGGCTTCGTCTGCCGAACGCTTCTTCTTCTCCTTCTTGGGAGTTTCGACACCGTTACCTTCTTCCTTCTTGGCCTTCTTGAGTGCTTTGCGTTCTTCCTTGCTCAACTTGTCATCACCAGCGTCAGAGGCGGCAGCGGGTGTGACAGGTTCAGAAGCAGCTGCTTCGGACTTTCTTGCCTTCTTAAGTGCCTTGCGTTCCTCCTTGGAGAGCTTCTTCTCATCAATGTCATCAGCAGCGGTGGCCTTAGATGGTGTCGAGGGAAGCATAGATGGTGCGATGCTAGCAGCTGCAGCCATGTCGCTAGGACCAGCAGCATCAGCAGCGGCGTTGTACGATCGACCAGAAGCCTCCATCTGGAAACCCTTCTGCTTGTAACCCTGATCACCAGCAGCACTCCTTGCCGAGCGCATACCCGAAAGACCACTCTGCATCTCAAGCGCACGCAGACGCGACTCGAGCTTGGCACGTGCCTCGATACCAATAGTGGGAGCACCCTCCTCACTCTTGCTGTCAGTATCGGCGAGAGCGTCGAGACGGATGGAAAGAGCAGCCTTGGTGGCGACCATACGTGCCATCTTACCCTTGAGCTTCTGTGGTGCCTGACCGACAAGCGAGGTGTGGTAGATGAGACCGTACTTGGGCGTGTCGTGCTTGGTCTTGAGCGCGCGGAAGAGAGCCTTTTCGGCACCAAGGATCTGCACGGTGGAAGCGGGGTGCTTGGCAAGGTTCATGAGCGAACCTGCGTGGCTGATGAGACGGGCACCAACGAGGTCACCGACAAGGGCTGTGAGGTTGGGTGCGATGGCGGCCATTCGGTTCTGGAGGTACTGGTAGAGCTGAGTACGGTACTGGGTGATGGAGATGACCTGCTCTGCGAGACTCCAGATGTGCTCGAGATCGGTTTCGGAAATCTCAGTACCCATGGAGATCTCAGCAGCAGCCTTGAGAGTCTCCTCAATCTCCTCGGGAAGGATCTCGCTGAAATCGGTGGCGGAAGCGTTGGTTCGGAAACCCATAGCACGAACAACTTTGGCGTAGGCGAGGTTGTCGGAGATGATCTTGCCCATCTCGGGGAAGTGCCATCCGTACCATTCCTTGACACGCATGGCGTAAATGTTGATCTCCTTGTCAAGGTCGTCGAGCAAGCCAATAGCCTGAACAACCATGGTGTCAACTTTGTCGGGGCTGAACTTGAGCTTGTAACGACTCAAGCTGTGGGAAAGACCAAGGCTCATTGTGTTGAGGTCGCGGGGGTCGAGTGACTCTTCGCCCGAAGACGAGGAAAGAAGGGTAGCAAGGTTCTCGCGGATGCCTCGGTAGAGGTCGAGGAGCTCGCTATCGTAAGTGACCTGAATGCCGAGCTTCTTGGCGATGTTAGAGGCTGCGTTGTGTCAACAGAACGGGCAGGAGGGTCAGTATACAGCTCAAAGGCGGGGTCGTGGCTGTTTTGTAGCTCGTTTGGTAAAATGAACATACCAAGCTTGGATTCGGCAACAATGAGGTTCTCCTTCTCCTTGCCCTTGCCCTCAACGATCTCCTCGGTGAGGAACTTCTTGAGGCTCTTGCTCATCTTGCCCTCATTGACGGCAGAGATGTCCTCGACAGCCTCAGCAGTGTTGGTGAAGCGGTGAATGGCAGAGAGCTTGAGAAGGTTGCTAGCACCCTCAGCCGAGTCGAGCGACTCGTGAAGATTCTTAGTAGACTCGAGCTTGGAAGCGTCGGAGACGTTGAAGAGACAGAAGCCGACGGCTGTCTCGAAGAGGACCTTGACCATGGTAGCAAGGCTATATTAGCGTGTACGCTGTTAGTGCAAAGGTGATGGCCGGGTTGGTAGGGTGGGTGATAGTATTCGTCGATGCAGTGAAGTTGTCGACACTTCCTAGTAGGCTAGGACTGTAGAAGATTGCCGCTACTTCTGCCTGTTGTCGTCGTCGTCGATGGTTCCTCCTCTGTGCTGTGTGGAAAAGGGGGTCCGTAGGTGGATGAAGAGGTGTGGATCGAGAAGAAGCAAAAGTCAGTGGCCAGGCTGGAAGAACAGCAAAGCTCTTTCTCTCGCCTGCGCTGTAGCAATTTTTTCCTTCCTCTGTGCAAGAACCGCTAAAATTCAAACCTTCACTTTTTTCTTTTTTTCCCCTTTTCTTTTTCTTTTCTTTTCATCTCTCCGCCAACGCTCGAATTTCCAGCAATGCTTAATAATCATTATGTGTGACAAAACTCGCACGGTTTCATCTTTTCGACTCTCTGTTAGTTGTGGACGCGCGTCCGATCGCAAGTGAGAACTCCACCTGAGCGGCGTGAGAGGAATTACTCGAGCTCAGAGTGTTGCTCAGTCCCTCACTTTTATCGTCTCCGTCACCACACCTTCCTTATCGTCTCCATCGATTCCCGCTTCATTGCAAAGCAACAGACACACGCGTGCAGTGCTGTCTTTACAACAGATACAGAATCAAAGCGTTCACAGCAACACCACTAACTTTGCCTGGCACCAAACAACCCCACCCCTTAGCTCATAATGGGTCAAGCTCCCTCTGGCGGTGCTCCCGGCCGCGGAGGCAAAGACAACAAGAAAGACCAGCAAAAGAAATGGGAACCGCCTCTTCCCACCCGTGTCGGCAAGAAGAAGAAGCGTGGTCCCGATTCGTCCTCTAAGCTTCCGGCTGTCTACCCCAACACACGATGCCGATTGAAGTTGCTCAAGCTTGAGCGTATCAAGGACCACCTTTTGCTCGAGGAAGAGTTCGTGCAGAACCAGGAACGACTGAAGCCTCAGGAGGACAAGGATGCAGAGGAACGCACAAGAGTGGACGACCTCCGAGGCAGCCCCATGGCTGTCGGTACTTTGGAGGAGATCATCGATGACGAACACGCTATTGTCAGCAGCGCAACCGGTCCGGAATACTATGTCAGCATCATGAGCTTTGTCGATAAGGACTTGCTCGAACCTGGCTGCAGTGTTTTGCTCCACCACAAGGCTATGGCGATTGTCGGTGTGCTTTCCGACGATACAGACCCTATGGTCAGCGTCATGAAGCTCGACAAGGCACCTTCGGAGAGCTATGCTGATATTGGTGGTCTCGAAACACAAATCCAGGAGATCAAGGAAGCCGTTGAGTTGCCACTCACACATCCCGAACTGTACGAGGAGATGGGTATCAGGCCACCAAAAGGTGTCATCCTCTACGGTGTTCCCGGTACGGGTAAGACACTGCTTGCTAAGGCCGTCGCTAACCAGACTTCAGCCACATTCTTGCGAGTTGTCGGTTCCGAACTTATCCAGAAGTACCTCGGTGACGGTCCCAAGCTCGTTCGCGAGCTTTTCCGCGTTGCAGACGAGCACGCACCCAGTATCGTGTTCATCGACGAAATCGACGCCGTCGGTACCAAACGATACGATTCCAACTCGGGAGGAGAGCGTGAAATTCAACGAACGCTCCTCGAATTGCTCAACCAGCTCGATGGTTTCGACACACGTCACGACGTCAAAGTCATCATGGCCACTAACCGAATCGAATCGCTCGACCCAGCGCTTATTCGACCAGGACGTATCGACCGAAAGATTGAATTCCCTTTGCCGGATCAGAAGACCAAGATGCACATTTTCAAGCTCCACACTTCGCGTATGAACCTCGACTCGGACGTTGATCTGGAGGAGTTTGTAGCGATGAAGGATGACCTTTCGGGTGCGGATATCAAGTCGCTTGTCACCGAAGCTGGTTTGCTTGCGCTAAGAGAGAGACGTATGCGGGTGACTAAGAAGGACTTTACCACCGCAAGAGAGCGTGTGATTGACAGGAAGAATGAGGGTACGCCCGAGGGCCTTTACCTGTAAAGTTTCACGCAGCTTCGCCACTTTCCCCCTCCCTTTGTTCGTGGGATGTCCTCATGTACCACATACCGCAATCCAGTTCAACAGCTCCATCATCCAAATGCGACCTCGACGCTCTGTACATCTGCCGTTGCTTCCTTCTCTTGCGAGAAGAATAGTGTTGAGTGAGATAGGGTCTGATACAGTAGCGTTGTATGCAATGGTGTGAAATGAGCGTCGGATCTCGGAAGACCCGAGCTTGGCGGTGAGCCCATATTTTCAGTGAGAGCTGGAAATTCCGATTCCTCGCACTTGCCGCGAGAGAACCCTTGAATTGGAGTTTTTGGACTGCCAACTTCCTCGCCATCGCCCATTACTATCACCTTGCACCTTCCGACCATCACAAGATTGCTTTCACAGCTTGGCAAGACCCTATCTTTTGCAACTTTTTCTACGCAGATCTCCTCCAAGCTCTTCTCGGATTCTCTGTACTCGGAAAATTGGCTCAATCGGAAGCAATCCGAACCATCGCCTCCAGCCATGGCACACCTCCGACCACTAATGGCACCAGTATACGTCCCCGGCACAGAACCACTCCCACCTGGCGTAACCGAACAAGATAGAGCCGAAATCATCAAAATCGCCAAATGGAATAAGATCGCCAATATGACGATGGAATCTTGTCCCACCAAATGCATGCTTTCTGGAGCAGCAGGGTTTGGTCTGGGTGCCTTCTTCTCACTCATGTCTACTTCTTTTGCTGTTGATGATCCACTCCGACGTACAACTCTAGCTGCTAATGGGTTAGGGGATGCAGGAAAAGGTGTGGGGGAAATGACTACTATGCAGAGTACAAAAGAGTTTTTCAAGCAAACCGGGAAATCGATGTATAGGTCAGGGAAGGGGTTCGGGAAGGTAGGAGCTCTGTACTCTGGTATTGAGTGCTGTATTGAAGCTGTAAGTACCCCGACACATTCAGAGCAGGTAGGATTTGTGGGAGAGAGAGAGAGAGAGAAAGAGAAAGAAAGATGGCTGACATTACTTTGCATTTGGGTTGGCTGGGGTCAAAACAGTATCGAGCAAAGAACGATCTGGTTAATCCAGTAGCAGCCGGCTTCGCCGCCGGTGCAATTCTAGCAAGAAACTCAGGGCCAAAAGCTGCGATGGGTGGTGGTGTTGCTTTTGCTGCTTTCTCGGGAGCTATTGATATGTAGTAAGTATCGACAGACGCGCTGGGATTGCATGGTGCTTGTGAAAGGAGATTGTTGCTGACCCATCTGCACCTCTTGCCCCGAATCTCTGCCGCTTCGAATCAAAACAGCTTCCGAAGAGAAACACCAGACGACGATTGATCGACTCAAACACCTCCATTACGACCCTCATCCTCCGTCCTCATTAGACAATCCGATCGACAAAAAAAGGCGTTTTCTAGACGCATCACATCATGAAGGACCTTGCCGGACCATCTTAGACCCATCTTACACACACCTCACTCTGTACTTTTAGCTCTCTTCACATCGCAACACATTTTTGGTCTGACACTTCACTCCGTGACCTCTGAATCTTTCTCTCAATGTGACACAGGATCGCATTTCAAAAGTATGCAGATTAGTACGGCTTGAACCTTCTCCCAGCCTTCAGTTTGGCCACTTTTTCTTTGTCCGCTTCGAACTTTGCCCTCAAATCCGCCAACTGTTCTCTCTTCTTCTCTCTCAACTGGAACCTATAGAAATCTTCCAAACCGACCGATTTCTTCTTCGTATTCTCCTTAAACCCATGCTTAGCAACTCCAACGCTACCTCCACCCACCGCTGAAGCCCCCGCGCGGCCGTATTTTCCAGAACGTTGGACGATGATGAAACCGTCTTCGTCCAAAAGCTCGCCTGAGGGACCGATGGTGACGCCTCGAACGCCGATCTTGCGTGGGAGTGGGTGAGCTTTGCGATATTGATATAGTGCAATGCGAGAGTTGGCCCAGGATTGGATGGAGGGGAGGGAAGGACGAGAGAGGTGGTACTGATCGAGAAGATAGGAGAGACCGGTTGGTGGGATACCGGCACCGGCGGAGAGGAGGAAGGATGCGCTTGTGTTTGTGTTTGCTCGTTTTGCATGCTTTGAGGGGTCTTGGGTATCGAGGAGGGATTGTTTTTCGGCTTCTTTGCGAAGCGATCGGAACGGATCAATCCATTTGATACCTTGTTTGAGCAAGTCGATTGCGCGGGTGAAAGAGGGGGTATCGAGGAACATCACGTGTGCTGATGAAGAGGTGGAGAGGAACAATTGCGATCCCATTGCTTCCCTCGGATCCAAACTCGGGAGAGGAACGATGCGTGGTACTCGACTCTTCTTCGCGCCTTGCTGAGAACTTTTCTTCTTCTTTCCACTTTTACCCTGTGCTGCTGCTAGTTGGTGATGCTCTTCCATCGCCTCATCGCCCTCCTCTTCATCTTCGTCGTCGGATTCACCCTCACCTTCACCCATCTCCTCCTTCTCATCTTCCTCTTCCTCCTTCGCAACCTGCCTTCTGAACTTGACAGTCGAAATGTTACCTGCTTTGGCAAACACCTCTCGCAAATGAGACTCTGTTGTATCCGTCGGCAGATTCGCAATGAAAAGCGTTCGTTCCGATGGTAGCTCGTCTCTGAGTTTGGACGTAGACGCAAAAGCAGAAGCACTGGATGATGAGGTGTGCTTGCGAACATAGATCCAGTGTTTGACCTCGCCGACGGGTTTGCTTAGCTTGCTATGTGGGATGGTTACGGGTACGGCGAGGAAGCCGTTGGCGAGCATGATGGATGCTTCGTTGGTTTTCTTTATGCTGCTCGCCACCGAGGGCTCATTTGAAGGAGTGAGCTTCTTGGTCTTGCCCATCTTGACTCTCTGCAGAGCTGTTGACGGCGTGGTGTTGTGTAGAGATGGACGAGATGCGGGATGGGTAGGAACTGTAAGTGAGAAGCAAAATGTCAAAACTTGGAAGAAGCGATCCTGAAGCGTTGACCCTTTTTTTGCAAAATTTCGGGAAAGCCTCGTGTGGAGCTCTTCTCAAATAATAATAATAATAATACTACTAATGATAATAATAATAAATAAATAAAGCCGAAATGAATTGCCGGCCGAGTAGCACTATCAGGTGGCTTTGATCCTTCACGCCGTCTTCTTCAAAGTAGGCCTTCCACAACCGCACCTTGCTGATCTTGCTTAGAACCAACACAGGCCTCACGGAGGCCTAGCAACTCATGAACGCACACAGGGATATAGATCGGATCAAAGACGATGCTTAAACGACAAAATAGGACTAAAGTACAAGTGAGAAAAGGAGAGGATGCAAATTGCGGACAGAAACTAATTGGCGCTATACGGCCTTTTGATAGTAAAAGAAGATCTTGGGACGGAACCTGGAAGTCTGAGAACACGTAGCGAGCTCTAGCATGCCTTTACAAAGATCTAAACCTTCCCAAGCCAGGCGTTCTGCGCTTAGGAAGAGAAAAGACGCTTCTCATAAGAGTGCAAGCCATGAACTCCGCCCTCGACCTGAGCCGAAGCCGTCCTGAGCTCAAACCTCACCTGACCGCTCCCAACAGCAGTACGAAGCTGATAAAGGTGAGGAACACCCATATCCTGCAACGAATGCTGCAAACCGGTGTACAGATAAGGCAAAAACTTCTTCACCGATCCCTTGTCCTGCACAGCACCAGCGACCCCTTGAGCGACCTTGACAGCGTCGCTTTCGGAGAAGTACCGCTGAGTAGCGGCGTTTTCATCGGCAGCGACCTTGTCGGCTTTGGCAGCTCCCTTGCCTGTAGCGCCGGCAATCTTGCCCTTCTTCTGGTGCTCCATGGCTTCGATGGATCCCATACCACGGTAGCCTTTGAGACGCTTGCCGTCACGGTAGAAGTAGTCACCAGGCGACTCGGTGGTACCGGCAAGAAGACCACCCATCATGACAGCGGAAGCACCAAGAGCGAGAGCCTTGGCAATGTGACCAACGTTGGAGATACCACCATCGGCAATGACGGGGACGCCGAACTTGGAGGCGAACTCGGCAACGGCGTGAACAGCAGTACCCTGGGGTCGGCCAACAGCCATGACCTCCTGAGTAATGCAAATCGAACCGGAACCCATACCAACACGGAGAGCGTCAGCACCGGCAGCGATCAAGCTAGCAGCCTGCTCGCGCGTAACAACGTTACCGGCAACAACGTCAATGTGAGGGAAAGTCTGCTTGATCCATTGGATCATGACGATCTGGTAGACCGAGTTACCCTGCGACGAATCAAGGATGACAACGTCAAGACCAGCCTCGACGAGGAGAGCAAGACGCTCACGGTCCGAAGGGCGGGTACCGATGGCGGCGGCACAGTAGAGCTGCTTGCTGGCGGGCTGCTTGGAGGCGAGAGGGAAGTTCTGGTTCTTGAGCAAATCGGAACGAGCAAGAAGAGCAACAAGACGGCCCTCAGCGTCAACGATGGGAAGCTTGCCCTTCTTGCTGTCACGGAGGATGGTGTTGGCCTGCTCGAGAGTAATACCCTGCTTGGCGGTGACGAGGTCCTTGGTCATCACCTCGGAAAGAGGGATCGAGGTGTCACGGAACTGAACGTCACGAGCGGTGACAATACCGAGGAGCTTGCCGTGCATGGCACCCGTGTCTGTTCGGATCGCAGTACGAAATGGAAGGAACGAGTGTCAATTACAGCGTTCCAACAATGTATAGCGCGACGATGGTCGAGACGCGAGAGGATCAGAGTAATAATCGCATCTCCGCACACGCTCTCCCAAGTCTAAGGGAGAGGCTCGGAAGAACGAAGGTTATTTGCAATATGGTTGTTTCATCTTTTGGTGGTCTGGGGAAGGGGAGGAGGGGAGAATCGAGACGATGCACTTATGTCGAAACGAAGATGGGGATGTCGAACGCTGGAATGCGACAACTTACCAGTGATGGGGATACCGCCGAATCCGAGACGCTCCTTGATCTCAAGCACGTCACCAACAGTGGCGTTAGGGTCAAGGCAGAGTGGCTCGGTAATGAACCCGTTTTCGTACTTCTTGACCTTGCGAACGACGCTGGCCTGCTCCTGAGGGCTCATGTTGTTGTGAATGACACCCATACCGCCCATCAAGCCCATAGCAATAGCCATCTCAGTCTCAGTGACCGTGTCCATGGGCGACGAAAGGAAAGGAGTGTTAAGCGTAACGTTCCTGGTGACCCTGGTGCGAAGGCTAACATCGGAAGCGTTGAAGTTGATAAAGCCAGGAAGAACGAGGAAGTCATTGTAAGTGAGACCACCGTGCTGGCGGGAGTCGATCAACTCGGCCATGCTAAGACCATCGCCGGTGGAGTAGGTCTTGAGGTGCTCGAGAGCCTGCGAAGGCGAGAGGACCGCCTTGTCCTGGGGAATCTGGGGACCGTTGCTAGCCGGCATGTTGATGTCGTGTAAGGGTTGTATATGGGAGGAGGAAAGAGAAGGAGTATGAAACGACCGGAAAGAGGAGGGGTATAGTTGGTGTTGATGGCTCTTTTGGCGAAGAACATGTCAGGAAGGAAGAAGTTGCTCTGGCGTTCAAGGTTTTGAATTTGTCCCTGTTGCTTGCTTGAGTGAGTGAGGAAGCACAAAAAGTTGCTCTAAGCGAGGAAAAAAAAACAAAAAAAAAAAAAAAACAAAAAAAAAAAAAAACAAAAAAACAAAACAAAACAAACGACTCATTCATGCCGAAGGAAGCGATCCAATATGATGATACATGCTGACATAAACATAATCGGGGATCTGTCGGAACAGATCTGTCCAGAGATTGGGTACAATGTGTTGAAAGATTGGACTCTTATTGATGGCTATCGGGAGATGTCAATTTCAGCACGGTGTTTAAGCTATTGGGCTAAACACTATACTGTCATGGGCCTGGATGTGCAAGAAGTAAGAAGGTCTGTCAACTCATATGAAGGGAGTGCAGGAATCACAGAATTGGGCAGATTGTGGGATTTGCAGCAGAGTTCATTGAGATCTGTAGTAGAAGTGGTTCTATGACAGATTCTGTCAAGATCTGCATGAGCAAGGATAGTATCATGAATTCCACCAAGATCAGTAGTAGAAGAGATCATATAGCAGATTCCATGGAGATCAGCAACAAGAATGATCATACAATGAACTCACATGCAAGGAGGACCAAGCTCTGCCAAGACAGGGTCCAAGTCCAGAAGCATGCAGCTGGTTACCACTCAGGGGTTCACAATACAAGAGTCAGGAGAACAGTCACTGGTTGAAGAGGAAGGAGGGCTGTGTTGGTGACACTGGTGAATAAGACATCAGGAGGAAGAGCTGTGTTGAGGAGGTTGACACACAGCTCAAGAAGGACAGGAATGATGTTGCAGGGACTCCTGCACAGTACTTGATGAGTGTCAGGGGTCTCGCGCCTGAAACCCAGGTCGGTCTGTCGAGATACTTGGTGACTATCAAACTGTGTGACAGCTATTGTCTTGGTATCGGTGACTATCAAGTTGTGCAGTGACAGCAGGTGGCATTCGTTGTATATACTATCGTAGGTTTCGGCTGACCTCTGTGGACACTCCGTTCAGGGGTAGCTCGGCACGATCAATATCAATGTTATGATGACACCAAGGTCTGGTGTGAGTGTTGATGATGATGAGGTTGATGGTGTGGGTGGTGAGATTGGTGATGTCGATGATAATGAGGTTGATGGTGTTGGTGATAAGGTTGGTGGCGTCAACACAAGTGTCCAGTGTGTTGACTTGATGCTTGAAGTGATCCCCGGACCGCAGTGGACTACTGCCTTCGGTTCTATCTTGATCCGGACCACTAACCTGCTATGGGCGCCTTCGGACGTCAGGTAGTGGTGATACAACACACACACTACGATGAGGAGCAACCTTTGATGGATTGCTGCTATGCTGACTGAAACTAATATATACTTATGCTGAAGTGATAACTAGTTATGGTGAGTAGAGTGGATGAGGATCCACTCGACCTATGATGATGAGAAAGCATGGTTATATACCTCTTCACAGCATCGCCAGCGATGCTGCTCCTGCTCTCTCTCCAGAGAGTACCTTCTTCATCGAGTACTGTTCAGGGGCCTCTCCTGCTTGGTACCCCTGTGTCTCTTGAGTGGTGTCGACTCATTCGACACTGCTCCTCTTCCTCAGGACCTGCTTGCCAGTGTCCTATGACTCTTGTCTCTCGAGCCCCTGAGTGGTAACCATCTGAGCTTGGTCCTCCTCGTGGCTGTGCCTGCTCCTTGAGCTTGGTCCTCCTCGTGGCTGTGCCTAGCCCTCCTCGCATATGGGCTCAGTGCTCCTTTGCATGTGAATCCATAGGAGTCCATGGTCTCCATGGAGACTGCACTACGACCATGCTCTCTACTGGTATCGACTAGGTCTTCGATACCTGTGCTCCTTCCATATGAACCAGTGACCCTCCTGCTTCTTGAGCATCCAGGCCCATGACACTACCCCCCTCTTAAGAGCCGAGCTCCGTCGAGGCATGCTCTGGTCTGGTTCATGCTGACTCCTCCTCCTCCTCGACAACATCGCCAACATCATCCTTCCTCCTTCTCTCAACGTCATCCTCCTCTCTCTACTCCTTCTGTTCTCTCTTCCTCTCTCTACTCCTCCTGTTCTCTCCTCCTTTCTCTACTTTGTCTACTTTGTCTACTCACTCGTCCCCCCTCCGACACCTCATACTCCTGGATGAGGTCGGGACAGTTGAGGTTCTCTACTGGTTCCCATGAAGCAGCTTCTTCTGAGTACCCTCTCCACAACACTTTGTACTCTGTAGTCCCATTGTGTGAATGCTTGTCAATGAGTGCTTCGACTTCAAAGTTGAGGTCCTCATCTGGAAGTGATGGTATGGTGGGCTGTTCAGCACGTTGAGGAAGAGAACTTGTTCTTGCTGGCTCGAGCATGGAGACATGGAACACATCATGCACCCTAAGGTTTGCTGGCAATGTGATTCGATAAGCTCGGCGTCCTACCCATTCCTGAACTGGGTAGGGTCCTGAAAACCGGGTATCTAACTTGGGTGTGGGTCTCCGTGTCTTCCAGTTTCGACGGTTGATATAGACCATATCACCCACCTTAAACTCGATGTCCTTGTGCTTCCTGTTATACTGGTCTACTGATCTCTGTTGTGCCTCTCTGATCTGCTCCTGGAGGTACTTGCAACGCTCCTTTCCATCCATGAGGTACTCGAAGCGACCTGGATCATTGACTCCTAGTCGTTGAGGGATGTCAGGATGAGCTTTGGGGTTCCATCCATAGCATGCAAAGAATGGTGAGACACCAATGCTGTTGTGGACTGTGTTGTTGTATACAAAGGCTGCAGTGTCCAGCAGGTCGGCCCAGTCATTCTGCTCATAGTTGCAGTACATCCTGAGGTATTGCTCTATGACCTGATTGACCCTCTCTGTCTGACCATCGGTTTGAGGGTGGTAGGCCGTGCTAAGTGAGTGCTTCACACCCATTTGCTCTGCAAATGCCTTCCATGCTCCTGATATGAACTGCCTGCCTCGGTCCGAAACCATGTGATCTGGGTATCCGAAGAGTCTAACCATGTGTCCATATAGCAATACTGCAGTCTGTTTGGCCGTGACTGTCTTATGGGTTGGAGCTAGTATGGCAAACTTGGTTAACCTGTCGACGATGACTAAGATAGAGTCATAGGTCTTGGAGTCAAACTTCTTCGATGGTGGTAGTCCTTCAATGAAGTCGAGGGATATGGAGCCCCAGGGCCTGTCTGGTGTTGCTAGTGGCTGTAGCAAACCATATGGACGATGACGAGGAGTTTTGTACCTAGCACATACAGGACAACTTGCTACATAGTCTGCAATCCAAGCTGTCATGTTTGGCCACCAGTAATGTCATTGAGCTGCCTTGATGGTAGCATCTCTTCCTACATGTCCAGCAGTAATACCATCATGGCATTGGGTCATCACCATGAATTGCAGGTGTTCTACAGAGAGAGACTGTCCATCTACCTCCTTGGCACTCCTTGAGTGTCGGTTGTTGGTCCTCCCTGGCATGATCACTTTGGGGATAACCAACCTTCCTCCACTGTACCATAGGTTGTCCCTGACCTCGAAGGGCTTCTTCCTATGTATCTCCTGTAGCTCTTGGTCTAAGGGCTGGAAGATCTTGACCAGGTCTCTGAGACCTTTTGATGCTATGGACTCCATTGAGAGCATAGGGGCCACTAGGGTCGAGTCATGGTCTGCTGTCTCCTTGAACACTCGAGGAGGCAGTAGTTGCCTCACATTGTGATCCTGCTCTTCACCAGCAGGTTGCATGTCAGTCCTTCTGGTGAGAGCATCGGGTTCACCACCTTTGTCTCCTGGTCGATACTGCAATATGAAGTCGAAGTCTGCTAGTAGTATGGCCCACCGAGCCTGTCGACCTGTGATGCATCTCTGTGACTTGAAATACTTGAGGGCTTCATGGTCAGTGAGGATGACCAGTTGACTTGGTAGTCCAGCTAGCATGTGTCACCACTGAGTAAGGCAGGCGACCACAGCTAGGAGCTCCTTGTCATGGATTTCATAGTTCTTCTCAGCAGAAGACATCTTCCTAGAGTAGAAAGCCACTGGATGCCATTGTCCTTCATGCTCCTGCTTGAGTACTCCTGCTATAGCAAAGTCACTTGCATCAGTCTCCAACCTTGTTGGGAGGTGGTAGTCGAAGTGCTGAAGCACTCCTGCTGATGTGAAGGCCTGGATGAGCTTGTGGAAGGCCTGTTGGGCCTCCTCTGGTAGCTCGAACTTCTTGAACCATTCTATAGGCTTTACCAGTGCTGTCAAGGGCTTGGCTATGTGAGCAAAGTGGGCTATGAACCTTCGATAGAAGTTGGCAAAACCCAGGAACCTCTGGATGTCATGGATTGACTCTGGCATTGGCCACTCCTTGACAGTGCACACCTTTTCTGGGTCCATCTCTATGCCCGTTGGCTTGATGATGAACCCCAGGAACTCGACTGTCTTGGTGTGGAACTCACACTTCGACAGCTTAGCAAAGAGCCTGTTGCTCCTTAAGCGAGTGAGGACCTCGGTGACATGCTTCACATGTACCTCTTCAGTGTCACTGAAGATCAGGAAGTCATCTAGGTATACCACTACATATATCCCAATGATGTCCCGGAAGATGTCATTGATGAACGACTGGAAGTGAGCTGGAGCATTGGCTAGGCCAAAGGGCATCACTAGGTACTCATAGAGTCCCAACTGAGTGCCAAAAGCTGTCTTCCATTCATCTCCTTTAGCAATCCGGATGAGGTTGTATGCTGCTCTAAGGTCTAGCTTGGTATAGATCCTTGCCTTCCTGAGTAAGAACAGCTGCTCCTTGATGAGGGGCAATGGTGCCCTGTTCTTGACAGTGATCTCATTGAGACCTCTGTAGTCCACACAGAGTCTGAGACCCCCA